CCATCTTCAGCCGGATACTCTCTTATCCCACCCCCACGCCATCATTTCCCTGACATTCTAGGCGTCAATGCCCGGCATTTAGCCGAGCTCATCGCCCTTCAGCTTCACAATCATGCCTAGTAAAGCTCCTGCTCCCCCCTTGTTGAGCTGATCAGCCTAACCTCGTGTTCTCTCTAGTCCGTCCTTTTGATGACTGGGCTGTGGGCCGCACCCAGTCCCTCCCCCTCTCCGCCCTGAAAGGTGCTGTCGTTGGTATTGACGCGTCGCATTACATTCAGCAGCACCTGGTGAATCAGTCAACCCGCGAAGCCCTTTTGGGCGCCCTGGGTGGCTTTCCATTTGCCTTGCGGAGCAACATCGAGAAAGAACTGCAGGCCCTCAAGAACCTAAGCATCGGCTGTGTCTTCGTCTTCAATGGCCTCGAGTTTGGCAAAAGGGACCATCGCATCCAGACCCAGCCAGCATCCGTGCGCTCGTTTGAGCAAGCTTGGGAGCTATATGACCAACAACAAGCCGATCAGGTCGTCGACGCCTTCAGCAATGCCGGTATGAACACCTTTCCTTTTCAAAGCCCACCTCAATGGTCGACATCACCGCCCGCTTACAATCAATGGAATTGGTCGACTCCAATATACCCGATCTTGACTGACGAACATGCACCCCCAGGGACCCCGCCCCCAGAAACCCTCTTCAAATTCCTGACACGGATCCTTAGTCAAAATGGTATCTCCTTTATGGTGGCGCCGTATAGCGCGGTTGCACAGGTGAGTTCCTGGGAAAGAGCGGCAAACCGTCACCGATACGGCAAACGCGTGACATTAACGTGCAATTAGCTCTCCTACCTCGCCCGTGGCTCCAATCCCGTTGTCGATGCCGTGTATGCACCATCCGAGGCCTTCCTTTTCGACCTAGACAAACTAGTGACTCGCATCGAGACTGAACCTGCACAGTTCACCTGGCTCACAAAGCAAACCTGCCAGGAGGAGCTGGGGCGTTTGTCGAACGAGCAATTTACCGAATTCCTGCTGCTTCTGGGGTCTTCTTTCTTGCGTCCATGCCCTCTTTTCGAGAACCCCGCATTCCCAGGAAAGCTCCCCAACATTCGCGATGCTCTGCCGATGTTCAATTCTGCGGGGCGGACTGCTTTGGGCATGTGCGCCCAATACGAGGAGGATCGTCGCATGGTAGAGTACCAGTATGTGGACCGGTACAAGCGAGCATATATGAGCGTAAAACATCACGTCTATATGGATATTGATGGACGAGTTGTTCCTATGGAACCTGAAAGTACTTCTTCCGATCTACATGAGCTTATCGGTCAGCGTCTTCCGGAAGAGCTGTACTTCTACTTATCCAAGGGAATCCTTGGCCCAGATGTACCAAACTATTTGACATTGGGTGAGGTGCGGATTTCCCTCCCATTGGGCGCCGAGGACAACGATATCTACCGACAGCTTGTAGGCGACACTCTTACTCCAATCCGGACACAGTCAATCTGCCTGTTAGCGAACTCTCTTCACCGATTCTACCAGACCAAAGAGATCCAAATCCGCCCGTGGTATGATGAAAACTCGGACCGGAAGATCAACCTGAAGGGTATTCCCTCCGTAAAGGAGACCATTCAGTCCTGGAAGATCTCGTCTAGCCAGTTCCCAGAAAGCGTTAAGAAGCTGCAGGCGCCGCTTGGCTCCTTCAAGTTTGCCGTGCAAAGTCTGGGTAACTCAGACTTCGTACCTAAATCATTCGCTACCAAAGAAACCCCGGTATGTCTTGTCCAGAGACGCAGGTCCGAGTTCGTATCTAACAATTTTCTAGGCTCTGTCAGCACAAGAGGATATCCGATCGAATGTGATGTGGCGGTTCCTTCAACTGCGTGGCTATGTCGATGACAAGCATAAGCTCACAACATGGGGCAAGTGTCTGGAACAAGCACTGTCAAGCGTTAATCCTGCAGATAATCTAGAGGATGCTATTTTTATTGCCATTGAGATGCTCCGCTTTGATCTTTTGAACACGAAGAATTGGTTCAAGAGTGTATCCGGGGGTCCTATGAGAGGATCAGGTATGTTGCTCTCATGGCCGCAATAAATCCTTAAATCCATGACTAACCGGCCTATTCTTTTCAGAGGAGGATAAAACTTTCAACATGCTCGTTTCCCGTGTTGCGTGCATTGCAAAGTTGCAGCATAAGAACATCGGTTACTCCGGTCCTTTGAGCCGGCAGCTCCTTTGCTACCGCTCCTTGATCTCCGAGGTGCGCCATGCGCTAAGGAATCTGATTGAGGTGGTTTTGACTAGTCTGCTGCTCAGCGGAGACGCTGACCGCGACCGTAACGACTGGACTGAGATGACAATCAAGTATGTGGCCTGATCCCCGCAAAGAAAGACCCAAGCCGTTTCCTGAATTGTTCTAATCCTTTGTTCAGATTACCTTTTATTGATGATAATGACTGCGGCCTCGGAATCGCCGTTCGCACCTACTTGGACGATCTACCTTTGCAAGCAGATCCCACCTCACCCGAGGCTCGGGCAGAAGTCAAGTCAAAGGGCAAGGAGTGGTTCCAACATAGCGAGAGCTTCACAGGAAACCTGGACCAAGCCTTCAAGCTTTGGGATGCGGTAAGTTTTGCATGCTTTTCGCACAGCTAGCCGTTCGAGACTAATCCTCTATATAGGTCTACAAGACTACCCAGACGGCGGGCAAGGAGCTCAAGGATACGAAGTTGTGGGATGATGCTAACAAGTGGTTGTCTGAGCGACGTTAATGAGGCAGGCTGCAGGGCAGGTGTTCTTGCAACATGATATCACTGTCATTGAGAAGCTTTCGGGGTCTATATCTACTCGGGTTGCATCCGAAGTTGATATTTTTCGCTGCTTAATGCGCGGACCTCCAATCTTAGGGTGTATCGGCAAATTCTCTATTGTATTACTATCTAGTAATCCGAACCAGCAAACAATCAAGTTAAAAATATTTCGGGAAAAGGTGCATGAAGCCTACTTTAGTTGTTCAATTAACCCATCTTATACATGTACATGGATGAGCTCTCTATATATTTAGCGCATTGAACGCTGCGTCTGACACACGTATGGAAGACTTCGGAAGAGAATTTGAAACCCCAGGCCTCCTAGCCCTACCTGGAAGTTTCTACTCGAAGCAGCCACCAAGATCAACAATTGATCAATACAAAGCCCAAGAGTTGGATAGAAATGTGACATTGGGTAACCCCATAACACGGAAGTATATGGGGAAGATCTGCGGGACCAAGTGGCCTCTTCGATGTTTTGTCATCATCGCCCCATCTCCCCGAGCTAATCTACTGTATTCTTTTTCCTCCAGCACCTCCTCCTGTGTAATTGTCTTGCACATTTCAAATTTCATTTACATCAAAAACACACAAAATGGCCCGCCTGAGCTACCTGCTCCTGGGCACCCTCTCGGTGCTCGGCAGCTTCGCCAACGCCAGCTCCGCCGTCAAGGACCTGATCCCCAGCAACTTCGATGAAGTGGTCCTAAAGTCCGGCAAGCCCGCTCTGGTCGAATTCTTCGCCCCCTGGTGCGGTCACTGCAAGACCCTCGCCCCTGTCTACGAAGAGCTCGGTGCTGCTTTCGCTTTCGCCGAGGACAAGGTTACTGTCGCCAAGGTCGATGCCGATGCGAACCGCGAGCTCGGAAAGCGTTTCGGTGTTCAGGGTTTCCCTACCCTGAAGTGGTTCGATGGCAAGAGTGACAAGCCGGAGGAGTACAAGGGTGGTCGTGATCTTGAGAGCTTGTCTGCTTGGATTACCGACAAGACTGGCATTAAGCCCAAGGGTGCGCAGAAGGAGGCCAGCAAGGTTGAGATGCTCAATGATGCTACCTTCAAGACCACTATTGGAAGCGAGAAGAATGTCCTGGTTGCCTTCACTGCGCCTTGGTGTGGACGTGAGTAACAAGCTCCTTTCGTCATTTGGTATCCTCGCCCCTGTTCCCTTTTTTTACTGACTCCATTGTTTTCCTATTCAGACTGCAAGAGCCTCGCTCCTACCTGGGAAACCCTCGCTAACGACTTCGCCCTCGAATCTAACGTCGTTATCGCCAAGGTTGACGCTGAGGCCGAGAACTCCCGCGCCGTGACCAAGGAGCAGGGTGTTACCGGTTACCCTACCATCAAGTTTTTCCCCGCCGGCTCGACTGAGGCTGAGGCTTACTCCGGTGCTCGCTCTGAGGAGGCCTTCGTTGAGTTCCTGAACACCAAGACTGGTACCAACCGTGCCGTTGGTGGTGCTCTGAACACCAAGGCTGGTACCATCGCCGTTCTGGACAAGCTGGTTAGCGAGTACGTGCCCGCTGCTAAGTTCGAGAAGCTCGCTGGTGAGCTCAAGAAGGCTGCCAAGGGTCTGCAGGACAAGTACGCCGAGTACTATATCAAGGTTGCGGACAAGCTGAGCCAGAACCAGGAGTACGCCACCAAGGAGCTGGCTCGTCTGCTCAAGGTCCTCAAGAAGGGTGGTTCCGCCCCCGAGAAGCTCGATGACATGGTCTCCCGCAGCAACATCCTGCGTCGCTTCGCTGGCGAGGGCGAGGAGAAGAAGGATGAGCTGTAAACGATCATCTTCTATAGCATTGTTTTTATTGGTGCTCATTTCCGGGAAGCTGCAGTATATGGAATTGTAGTGAAACGGTGATCAGCGATGAATATAGTCTAAAGATTTAGCTATGGGAACCTATTGGCATCCCGCTGTATTGTATGAACCATGAATTGATATGATGTCCAGCGGGCGTCATGCCTTGCAATGAATGTTCGCAGACCTCGTTTACTTCATCTATCGCAACATACATCGCCTGGTAAATAATTTAGGTTGTCTCATTGGAACATAGGGTATCATGATTGCATATTAGGAAACAAAACTGCTGAACAACAGGGTGCGCGCCATCTCGAATGCAGCAGTCAATTGCTTCCGAGCATATTCGGACGCCATAGACTTTGAAAATCAAATAGTCTCCTATGAATGTCCTCTTACTACGTAGTAGTGGCTGAGGCCGCATCGCTCCCAGTGGCGGACAGAGAGGCCTCCAATTCATCTAGGCGGCGAGTCATGTCATCCACTGGCGGAATTAGTTAGTATATCAGCATTGATTGACCAAAAGGTCAGGACATACGTTTGCTGAACATTTCCTTGGAGACATTATCAAATTTGCCTTGCAGTTGGTCGAGGAGTTCATCGACAGCCGCAGTGAGTTGGCCTTGGGCATCAGAGTTCTAGACCAGGTTAGCGGGGGGTTCGCTGATGTTGAAGGGGCATGATGAGCTTCATACCGGTTGCGAGAGAAAAGATTCCTCCGCGGAGGTCTTAGTCGGTGAGTCTTCCTGGGGCATGATGTATTGGAACCTTTCAAAGAACGTGCAGACGTCGACAATCCGACTTGCAGTGTAGAGTTGACTGTATGGCAGTTGATAAGGCCGGATCATCAGTTAGTCCGGTTACCGACCCACGCTAATCTCAAATAGTGCTTATCGGCCACGCTAAGCCGTATCAGGACTGGCTCGGGTTCAAAAAAATCAAGAGCAATCCTCCGCTGTCTCTTTACAACCGGTCAATTTCCAACCCCCGATTTCCCTCCCACCACACACAATGGTTAAACGAAGCAAGCTGCTCCAGGCTCTCGATGCCCACAAGGGTCGCGACTATGACGCCGAGAAGCAGAAGAAGATGGTGAAGGCCGCAGAGAAGCGTAAAGGCGTGAAGAAGACCGACAGCCCAGCAAAGGCCAAGGAGACCAAGCAAGATAAAGAGGAAGTTGCTGTGAGCTCTGAAGCCGAGGAGGATGACGAGGAAGAGCAGGAGGAGCCCGAGGCCGAGGAGTCCGACGAAGAAAATGCCGAAGAAGAGGCCGAAGAGAACGACCATGAGGAAGAGGAGGAAGAAGAAGAAGAAGAAGAAGAAGATATTCCGCTATCAGACCTCGAAGATGATGAACGTGAGGATGTTGTCACCCACCAACGCCTAACCATCAACAACTCCGCCGCGATTACCGCCTCTCTCAAGCGCATTTCCTTCATCACATCGCAGACCCCATTCTCCGAGCACAATTCCCTCGTGTCCAAAGAGCCGATCGAGGTTGAAGACCCCAATGACGACCTGAACCGTGAATTGGCCTTCTACAAGGTCTGCCAAGCCGGCGCAGCCGAGGCCCGTGGTCTGCTGAAGAAGGAGGGCATTCCCTTCACCCGTCCCGGTGACTACTTCGCAGAGATGGTCAAGAATGACGAGCACATGGACAGAATCAAGAAGAAGCTGTACGATGAGGCGGCTGGCAAAAAGGCCGCTGCTGAGGCGCGCCGCCAGCGTGACCTGAAGAAGTTCGGCAAGCAGGTGCAGGTCGCCAAGTTGCAGCAGAGAGCTAAGGAGAAGCGGGAGACTCTTGAAAAGATCAACACCCTGAAGAAGAGTATGTTTCACTGTGCTCTAGCAGAGCTAGTTCCGAATTCATTGTGACATTTACTAACAATTCTCAATAGAGCGCAAGGCTGACACTTCTGCTCCTACCGACGATTCCAAGGATCTCTTCGATGTGGCCATTGAGGATTCTGGCCCAGTTGACCGCAAGCGTGGTCGCGGTGAGGGTGGTGCCAACTTCAAGCGCCAAAAGAGAGACCAGAAGTTCGGCTTCGGTGGTAAGAAGCGTCATGCCAAGAGCGGTGATGCCGCTTCCAGTGGTGATATGAGCGGCTTCTCTCAGAAGAAGATGAAGTCCGGTGGTGCTAAGCGCCCTGGAAAGAGCAAGCGGGCCCAGGGTCGCATGTAAAGTCATGATGACTCGAGGAGGCCATGTGGTTAGACGGAGATGTGTGAAGGCGCATTCGGCGCCAAAAAAAAAAACTCATGGTGGAAGACTTCCACTGTTGCTTTCTGTAATAACTATAGTTACCCTGCATCTACGAATTGGCTTATTTCTTACATTCCTCTGAAAGTACCTCGACTCGACCTCTGAATCGATAAATGTCGTTGATAAGAATTACAACGTAATATGAATACCGAAGTTATATTTATATACGGCACAAATGTTGCATTAAATACGCAAATCCCTTATCGATACTAAAATCCCCTTATCGATACTAATAAATTACCAAAGCTAATCCTTAACTTTTCACTCGACGTTTCTCCCAACTTTATTCCGCCAAATGCGCGTTCCATTTGGCTCTCGACTCTTCCGTACCACAATGTCAGGCGAAAAGATCCTTGAAGGTTGCTTCGGTAAGCAACAACACTTCGATTCCACCACAACCCAATCCTAACGCAATCTCAACAGCCGTTCACAAGCCTCAAGGCGTCACATCCGCTGATGTCCTCCGCAAATGCCAAGAGCACTTCAACCCCTCCAAGCTCTTCGCCCCCTGGCTCCAAAATGAGCGTGACCGCCGTGAACGCGAAAACCAATTCCAGCAAAACCGCCGCCGCCAAAAGAAAATCGAAGTGAAGATTGGACACGGCGGCACCCTCGACCCACTCGCAACAGGAATCCTCATTGCCGGCGTCGGAAAGGGAACCAAGTCCCTCAGCAGCTTCCTAGAATGCACAAAGTCCTACGAGACGATCGTGCTCTTCGGTGCGGAGACGGATACTTACGATCGCATGGGTAAGATCGTGCGCCGGGCTCCGTACGAGCATGTTACGCGGGAGAAAGTTGAGGAAGCGCTGAAGCAATTCCGGGGGAAGATCATGCAGAAGCCGCCTATTTTCTCTGCATTGAGAATTAACGGAAAGAGACTTTATGAGTATGCAAGGGAGGGCAAGCTTCCGCCTGTGGAAATCAAGACTAGGCCTGTTGAGGCTTTGGAGCTGGAGATTGTGGAGTGGTATGAGCCTGGGACGCATGAACACCAATGGCCCAAGGAGAAGATGGTTGGCGAGGAGAAGAAGGTTGCGGAGCAATTGCTCGATCAGCAGGCTGGTGCTGCCCCTAAGGTGGAGGAGGCTGTGTCCTCTAAGCGCAGTGCTGCGGATACACCTGAAGTTGAGCATGACGCTGATAAGAAGCAGAAGGTTGGTGAGAGTGGTGAGGTTGCTGTGACTGAGTCTGCGCCTGCTGCTTCGGAGACTGCTGCTGCTGATACTCCGGTTGCCGAGGAGAAGACCACTGCTACGGAGTATTTGTCGGACTCAGAAGCTGAGGATGCGGATGGATCGGTTAAGACTAAGAAGCAACGGCCTCAGGCGCCTGCTGTGAAGATCCGGATGACTGTGACCTCCGGTTTCTATGTTCGGTCTTTGGCGCATGATTTGGGTAACGCTGTTGGCAGCTGTGCACTTATGAGTGAGCTTATCCGGACGCGCCAGGGCGACTTTGAGCTCGTTCCTGAGAAGGTTCTGCAGTATGAGGATTTAGCTGCGGGCGAGGATGTTTGGGGCCCGAAGGTGGAGGGATTCCTCGGCGCTTGGGAGGGCAAGATGGCTGCCAAAGCAGCAGAGGCTGACGCGGCCAAGGAACAAAAATAGATCAAGTCACACCAATTGATGTGATGTTTTATAGTATATAGGGTCTGGAGTTAGAAAGGGCTTTCATATTCATCTTTCCATGTTTCTAATAGGCTGGAGCTCATATATGATAAGAGGAACTTTAGTTACTGGGGAGAAGATAAATAATGGGCAATAGTATATCTGCATGCAGACACACGTGGACCATCTAATCAATCAGATATGATCTGACTGGTCTTCTCGGGTTTGTTTTCTTGGGAGTAATAGTCCAGCCGACATCGTGTTATTGATGCGATGAACGTCGAAGATAGAGCCTGTACTACAAGCAAAGGTGTATTTAATAAGTTATTCGCTAGTAATACAGCAAGTGGTGCCGCGGCAAAATATTAGACCCGCGTCTCCTCCGCAAAGTAAACCTCCGGAAATGCTTCCCGCATCTGTTGGTAGTGCTGACTGATTAGATACTTCATGAGATTGCTGACAGGAAGAGCAGTATGCATGCGTTGCTCAGTCTCAACCAGCTCGACTCGCATCTGGGTCTCCCAATCATGCTCGCCAGCGTGGTCTTCAATCTCCTTCTGGCGTTCCGCTCCTTTGGTGATAATCTGCTTAGGGCATCCTGCCATGCGGCATGTCCAAATTTCAGGCTCGGGTTGAGGTGTAGATTCCGGCACTGGCTCAGACTCAAGCCCAGAATGGCCATTTAACTCAGGAAGTGGTGGGATGCCTCCTAGGTCTGATTTTTCAAGGCTCATCGTTGATGCAGGGGTACTGGGTGTTTGGGTAGTTTCCTGAAGCAAGCTTTTCAAAAGAGAAGCTGCAGGACCGGATTTAGCTATGAAGGACCTGGTTCGGGGCTTTGTTGACGCCAACGGGGTTCGTATTAGTTCATGGCCGCGGGTCTTGCTAGGGGTTTCAATGTCGGACATTGCGTCTGGGTCATCGTCATCGTTATCTTCGTTGTCGGACTCTTGAGTCTGTAGATTTGCTGTTATATTTCGATTCCGTTTGCCCATTCCTTTGGCAGAAACGGCGGCACTCCTGGGGCGGAGTACAGACTTTTGAGTTCGGATGAGGCCTTCATCATCGCTGGAGTCTTCGAGGGGTTGCAAGGGTGTAAGAAGGCCAGGAGGTAGGGGTTCAGGTTGCGAGGCGGCATGAGTAAGTTCTCGGTGGATGACATAGCGTGACCATTTCACCCCAGATGTCTCATCTTCGTCTAGATTCTGTAGTACAGTGCCTGCTCTGGCCACGATGATTTTATGAGCATTCTCCTTGCTGAACGAGTAGCGTTCGGACAATCGCTCAGATACCAAGTCTAGATGCAAGCGGCGTTTTGCCAGATGACCTTCTTCCTTAAGCTCCTGTATGAGTTGGTAGATAGCATCTGTTTGTGATTTGACGATGGCGGCTGGATTGTGTCGAGGAGGGGTGGCTTCGGGCTCATCCTCACCTTCCTCGTTATCAGATTGGGGTGATAGGCGGTCCATGATCTCCTTGTATTCATCCTAACACATACAAAGTCAGCAACGCGGAAATATCTCCATTGTCACAATTCCCAAGCTACTTACTTTGAATTGTCGGCGGAGATGGATAAAGACATTGGTCTTATTCCAGTCCATGTCCTCATCATCTTCGATCATGCAACGCAGCAAGAAAGGCCCATGTTGGGTAAATACTTCGGCTGAACTCTCTCGTGTTTCGCAATCGCCATGTGTGTGGAAGACGTACTGTAATGCGTTAGTTGCGGGCGGACCGAACACAGTCGAGGCCTGAGGGAATTACTTACTTGCTCACAAAGATTCTTGAATGTGGGATTTAGCTGTTTCTTTCCATGCTGGTGCCTGTCCATCAGGAAGTAATACATATCCACGGCCTGGACCATGCGGTTAAAGGTGGGCAAGTAGCCCTTTGCGGGTGATATTCGGTACCAGCCCGCCTTGCCGGCCACCCAGAGCTCAACACTGCGATCTTCTGTCTGGCCGTAGGCATAGTGGGTAACATCGTCGATGATGATTCGTTTGGAGAGGATATCAGGGTCGAGCACTGTAGAGTGACGGGGAATTTAAGCAGCCGGTCAAACGCGTTTGCCGTCGGATAAGAGTTGATTGATCACGTACCTAAGTGTTCTTGATTCGGCTTCAGATCTAACTGACCAATGACCTGCACAGGATTATTCTCGTTGGCTTCAAGCAGATTCGCATAGAGCAATTTCCCTGGTCGTAAGACCTTGACCTCGGACAGGCCAAACTCCCACCAATCATTCTCATCTGAGATGGAGGGATCGATGGGAGGGAGGACTAATTCTTCGCGGGCGGTCATGGTGCCGGTCGCGGCATGGTGGAAGAAGAGAGGGTATATGGAGGAGCGAGGATAGATGAGACCCGCTCGTAGCCATGAGAAGACAGAATTGAACTGGAATTTCACGGGACGTCAACAAGAGTAGACCGGGGGATCGACCAGCTGAGTCAGGTGCCTGAGGCTCGGAATTAAGGCCCAATGTGGTGCACCTACTAGGTTCAGTATAGAGACCACCAGATTCCACCGGCATCGTCCACTTGGATAAGCTTAAATCTCTAAACTCCTGTGGCGATTCTTGGACTTGAAAGAACTCAAAGCTATATTTCCCTGATAGACATTCGCTATACACAGGTTCTTTAGGGACTAACATCCAACACTCCATTATAGTGACACCGCTCTTGGATTCCTTCTTCCGGATTCTTCACGCAAACCCAATTAGAATTTCTCGCACTGGTATTAATCACCTGATAAGCTGTCTGGGAAGCCTTGACCTGCTTCAAATCCAGCACAAAGTTCTCGATTTGTAATCCATAACGAAATCCGAATTCGAAGTTATCTTGGGCGCATTTGTTTAGTTCTATGCCGGGTTGTATATCGTTGCTTGGGTTCCTATGCGTAGAACGAATAATTAGATTTGGATCTCTTTACCTCTCTATGATAAAGAGAGAACAAGCAAGGAGTGGATGATGCTGGCATCGATCATTACTTACCAAGAGATATAGCACGAGTCTTCCAAATTAGTGCTTGAGTTCTGCACCGTAAACTGCAGATTCCCTAGTGTATCATTTGAATAAAGAGTGGCACATAAGCCCTGAATCTCGAATACTGTGTTTCGCTTCATTGGGCTCGCAAGGCCGGAGCCAAGAACCGTCAGGAAAGGAAGAAGGGTCACAAGCTGCATTTTGTATGGCCAGAGTGAAGATGGGTAGGAATCGAGCTGATGAAAATTTGGAGCAGAGAAAGATGAATGAGGTAGGAACGTCGTCACTTATGGTCAGATCAGACGGCTCTTATAGTCTTGGTTATCGAAAACCCTAAAATTAGGAGCATAGATACTGGGTGGGATGAACCATGGAACAAGAGCCGGATGGTGCACCGAGGGCATGCGATAGGTTCAAATTATCCCTCTCCATGTTCAGTTAAGAGGACTTCAAGAACACAGAACTTGAAATGAGTACCTGGAGCATAGTATTTAGAAAGACTGTCGGTGTGTTTCCTCAAGACTCGGAATACTCCTTGCTGCCGAATTGCATACCGGACCTTGTAGTGAATCGAAAAAGAAATCCAGGACCGACAGCCCAATCGCGAGATCTATCACGAGTCCTGTGTCGGACTGGTTTGCATGGGATGTTTCGTTTGTCAGTGTCATCATGATTTGTATGAGAAGGCGCGATTTTTGTTTTTTCCAATACCTCGCCTTGACTTCTTTTTATTCCTTCTTCCCTTCATTCTCTCCCTTGCAAGCCGCATTATTTTAGGTTCATCAAATCCAATAGGATGGAAGACAGAGTGGAGATATGCGAACTAGACGTCAGAGTATGAGTGCAAAACGCCAAAAACGAGACATGCAGGATTATAGCTTGTTGACTGGATACGCCTATCAAGGTAGCGAAGGTGCCTGATGGATCTACAGATTGGACCAGTATTTATAGCACAGAGGCCGTTCAAAATACAAATCACAAAGAAGGGAAGCACCAAGAGGTGTGAGTTCACGACAACGAACAGTTAGTGTGCAAATCAGAAAGGTGTTTGCGGTGCAAGATAGTGAAAAAACTCCTAGGCCTCGCAGGAAGCCGATGCTAGATAGAGCGCAAGGCCTGCTGTACATGGGAGAAGTGGAAAGAAAAATGAGCTTTTGACTCGGAGGGGTATACCAAGGAACATGCCACACATATCACGCACACAAATCGAAAAGACAAGGAGAGAGATGACACGGGGAAGAGAAGTGAGATAAGACATTTGGATGAAGGGAGTTGAAGGCACAAGGCCCAAACGGTGTCAAGATGGGAATAAGAGAAAAGAAAGAGCCGGTGTATCCAGAGTAAGACAAGACAGGTGCGGTGATCGAATGTAGCGCAAGCTGTGAGATAGTAAAAGATGCAAATGAAGAGAAAAGAAATAGATGCAGGGACTATCAGTGGGGAAATCCGGTCCTCCACTGATGGAAGATACTTATGATTGGTTTGCGAGGTGAGCCTCAACAAGAGCTGTGTCGCAAATTAGTACACAGAAGTACACACGAGAATGTCGAAAATAGACTTACACTGCAGGGCCGAGGTCTGTCCCTGGCGAGATTCACAAGCACACTGGAGAGTACTGCCATCCAAGAAGTTCAGCAAAATGCTGTTGGGGAGTTCTTGCATGTCTTCATCGGGAAGACAGGGTGTGCGGAATTCGGTGAGATGGTAGCGCTTGATCATGTTGCGAGCAGTCGCGTCGGTGGTGCCAGGGGTGAGCACAACGTATCCATTCTCATCAATGCGCATGCATCGACGTTTCCAGAGAAGGGTGTCTGGGAATTGGACATTGACCTCGCCGATCTCAATGGGTTTCGACAGACTTTGGTGCGAGGGAGACGGGGAGAGGGCCGACTCGCCAGCAGCAATGGAGGCAAGGTCTTCTTCCTTCACAGGCGAGCTCAGAGCTCCAATGATGCTGCGACGAGAAGTAGCCGTGATCGATGACATGCGACGCATCAGACGTGAGGCACGGGATACTCTCTTATCTTCAGCGGTAGGAGAGGACGACTGCAGATTTTCGTCGGTCTTCGTACGCGAAGACAACGACAGCCGACTTGTGGGGCGAGAGATGGAGGTCTGTCGGCTAGAACCAGCAGATGACATAGACATGCTTCGGTCCTCCACGTAGTTGGCAGGTTCCGCTGGTGGAGGTGGGGTTAAGCTTTGAGGCGCAGAATCCTCGGTCGACTCGTGCTCCACAGTCAGGGGGCTGGCTTGGAGGTTGAGGACATCGGACTCAAATTGCTCCCCGCCTGAAGAAGAGGGTGGGCCACTTGAGTCACGCACAATATGAGCTGTCACAGAGATTGAGTTGGTGCGGCGTGCCATGCTAGTAGCGGGGCGTGAGTCGTGTAGATTAACGCTTGGCGCGCGAGAGAAATCAGGCAGGGTAATATCGCCAGGGTAGGAAACTGATGCGCGCTTGCGGAGGTTCTCAAAGGATGAAGAGGCAGATGGCGCGGGTCCGTTAACGGATGGGTTAGGGGTGCCCTCTCGGCTCGAGAACTTCTCCAAGGCTTTGATGCGGCTTGAAATACCCGATGAAACATTGACCTTCTTCGCCATAAGCGGGGTCGCAGGCCCGTTGTCAATGTATGAGCTTGACGTAGATCGGCCGCCTACGGCGAGGGTCTGTGAGACGGATGGAGACGGAAGGCCATTGGGGCTCGAGACGGCTCGGGATGGGCTTCTCCAGGATTGACCACCGTTAGGTGAATTGACAGCAACCGGTCGGGCCTCCTGCACAGTGGCAGATCTCAATTCCTCCATGAAAGAATCGTCCGAAAGAAGACAGTCGTCATCCGAGTACTCGAGGGTTGGCACCTGAATGGGCTCTAAGTGGATCTTTCGTCGCTGGTCCAGGGGAATCGGGTCTGCCCTTTGAATCTTGGACTCTTCGAGGGGAGGTTCATCCAGTGGCACAGGGTCAATTGAAACAGTCACAGGCGCGACCGTGGGTTCGACCTCAGGGTTAGGTGGGGTATCCTTTGGCGACGTGGCGGGAATAGCAACAAAATCAGGGGCTTCTTCGGGGTTTGTTTCCACAACGGGAGTCCCCAACTGTTCAGTGACGGACACAGGGGTCTCTGGTAGGGGTGAGGGATAAATTGAAGAATCTTTGGGTTTTGAGGATTGTTCTGGAACTTCTGGAACCTCAGTGGAAACCTGGTCAAGGGGCGCTTCGACATCCACGCTAGAGGAGACTAGTTCCTCCTTAGTCTCGGTTTGGCCGATAATTGCGGAGTCCCCGAGCTCGGCGCGTGTTTCATCTTCAGGAACAGTCTGAGGCGTCTCAGACTTTAAGGCATTTGAGAAATCCCCGTGGTCAGTAGAGAATGTAGTATCAGCACTGGGGCCTGAAGTATGTGAGGATAGCCTCTCTTCGGAATCTGACCCAGCAATGTCAGCTGTGGGCTCTGGCTTGGAAGCTTCGAACGGGATCAGGATTGGAGATTCTTCATTCTCCATTGGAATCTCATGACGTAGCTCGGATACAGGTGGTTCAGAAACTCGCAGAGGCAGATCTGAAGACTTTTCTTCGCGCAGTATTGGCTCGAGCTCTGGCTTAGGCTCAGGCTTCTCTGGCTCAACAACTGCCAGATTAACATTCTCCTTATTTTCCTCCGGGTTTGGTGTGGTCTCAGATTGCGTCTTTGACTCATCGGCTTCGGTAATGCTTGAATTGTTCTTGGTGTTTTCCGCTCGTCTGGCCATAGCCTTTCGCCGTTGTTGCAATGCCTTCATCAGTCGTTCCTTTTCAGGGGTCAACCCGGAAGACGTAGACAATGCACCCAAGGATTTCGCTCCTGGGGACAATTGGGGTCTCGAAATTGGAATACTCGGAGGAGGGACAAGGAGAGGGGGGATCGGCGGGGCACGGCTGTTAGGTCTGGTCGCAAAAGAACTGCCTTGGGATCGGGGACGAGGAGGCTCCACAGCATTTTGCTTTCGCACGGAGGAGGTTCGCATATTGGACGGAAGGGAGGCAACGGGCCGTTGCTCAGCATTCTTGGAGCTTCCGGAAGTACGGGGCCGTCCACTCTGGTCTAATGAAGGACGGGGCCCAAGCTTAACTTTTGGCGTAGACGAGTATGTGGAGGCGCGTTCTAATTCTCGTAGTGAAGGCCGTGCGGATTGCGTAGACACCCGTATTTCTTCCGAAGGCCGGGGAAACTCGTCGAGGATATTTCGATATTTGGAACGCCCCGAGCTGGAGGCTGGGGATTGAGGGGTAGGAGACATAGACTCGGAATGCGTTTCACTGGGGGTTCCTCGAGAAGGTGGGGGTCGGGAGCTTGCTCGCGATGGGGGTGGATGGAGGTCAGGAGAGGGTTCGAGCTCGGGGGAAGAGGTCACTGGAGGAACGACGGTTGCCTCTGATTTCTGGCTACCAGAACGTTGCCTCACCTCACTTCTGGGGGGAGCTTGCGGTTCCGGCTGTTCCTTGGTCTCCTCCTTTGCGCCAGTCTCCTCTGCATCCTCCGTGATTTCCATCAGCCGACGTCTCCGCAGCGAGCTTGATGAAGAGGTAATTGACCCAGACGCCGTGTGGAGAAGACACGCGGATGACAGGGCGCTTTCGCTGAGATCGGAAGCTTTGGTTAAGGCGAGCACGGAGTCGTTCGGGGTAAATCTTTCAAGAACAGATGAAAACTGGACGTTGCTTCGCGCTGAAGGAACCAAGCGTATCGGTTAGTACGATTCGAGATGTAAAGGAGACAGCCGTTGACGTACCTAAAATGAGCCGGGACAGTCCCTCGGGCATGTACCGGAGGATGACCTTCCTTCGCCGATATTGTAGAAAGCCATAGAGAGGCGAGATCTCCTCATAGTTGTCGATGGCATTGCGCACCTCGGGCACCCCGCCGGTGCCTCGCTCCAATAAAGCCACCTCATCTCTTGCAATGTAGTGTAGAAGGAACCTAGGAGCACAAGTCAGATGGATTGACTCTAAGCATCAATCGTTGAAATTGAGTGTAAAAGGGGGCGTGGAAAGAGGTAAGGATAGGCGTGGATCGGGGGAGGGGATCGAAGATCTTGGAGAAACATTGCGAAGCATTCCGCTGGAAGGACCAAACTCACCATCCACCTGCATCAGCCAGAGCACTCTGGTAGGCTTCGACAACGACGGCAGTATCTAGCCCATTGAGAGACATGGCGTGAACGACATGGAGACTGATCAAATCGAAAGGGGGAAGGTTTAGGAGAAAAAAAGGAGGGGATAAGTCCCGAGAGCCTAACAACCTAAGATCTGGGCCGAGAGTCTTGAATTGGGGCTAACGGATTTAGATCTCACGATCAAGACCTCCAATCAAGGTAATTGGAGTTCCAGTGTCAGTCAGGATGGGACTGCGTAAAGGACTCCCGAGCAGGATGCTGATAGGCCTGTGTAGGCACGGAGCAGTGGTTTCTTGAGTTCCTTGAGTTTCTTTGGCTCAGGGGCATCCGCTTCCATTCGTTGGACGACTCCACTTGCGGCTATCCCAATTTAAGGTGAGCAATCTGAAACGCTCGTTCGGGTTCCCTGCTCTTTATAGCTAGATTTCTCTTAGATCAGAGGGGGAGGCATTCCCTAGATTCTGGATCAATGAAGAATGTCATCTCATCCGGGAGAAACCCGAACAATGCAGATTATAACCATCTTCGGTCATGTATGATCTGTGCGGATATTCCATTCAATGGGGTTGATCCCGAATTGCATCCCGGCCAGATCAGGATTCCAGATCGACATGTTCAGAGTGCATGTAGTTCGTGGAGGATAAATCGAGTATAGAGTACGGGAATGCATACAGTTCCGTGGGCGCATTTCTCCGGCCGAACACTTACAACACTCGGCGAGCCCCGATAGCGGGAACCTACTTAATACCAACCAACGTCCCCGCGAATGACGGGCAACAGTATAATCAACGCAACAATGGATCTTCCTGACATCTCCACCATCCCTTCTCTTCCTCAAGAGACCCAGCTGCGCGTGCTGGACACGCTCTTCGAGCCTTCTCCCGAGCTTCACCAACTGATGATCCCAGTCCTAGCCAACCAGACCTTCTCTTCATATGGCACCCTGATCGAGGCCGTGGGAGGTCGCATGTCGGCTCTCTCTGCCGTCAACTCCCCTACAGACCGGGATGTGCTGTTCGGCATCCTAGGCTCCCACCCCCGCCTCGGTCGGGCCCCCGCCAACCCAGAGCATTTGAGTGAGCTGAGCAAAAAGGAGCAGGAGCAATTGAACACCGGCGCTGAAGAACAGGGCGAGAAACTTCGGGCATTAAATGCGGAATATGAACAGCGTTTCCCCGGATTGCGATTTGTGTAAGCGCATTTCCCCGGGCCTATACTGGGTCGGAACTATGGCTAATTCGTTCATGATAAGCTCTTTTGTCAATGGCCGCAGCAGAGATGTGATCATGGTGGAGATGCGCCAACGCATTAATCGTGGTAATCAAGAAAAGGAAGTTGAAGAGACTATTCAGGTGCGCCTTTTAAATTGATGTCTCTTTTTGATCGCAGGACGCTGACGTGCATAGGCCATGTGTGATATTGCGAAGGATCGCGCCCGCAAACTCCAGGCGCGCATTTAGATATCAGAATATATACGATATATAAGAGTGATGTCTTGGCATGTATCAAAGGAATCTAGACAATACGATAAGCTCTCGGAGGCGAAAAGGGTCCAACAGTATAGGGGCTCCACCCGCTCCCAATTTGATGTCATCCATGACACTCCGGCCGTTGCCGCTTAGCCTATCGGTCTCTTTTATCTTGAAATCTTTTTTCTTTCTATAATCTTCAATCAATATTGTCCCTCTTTCTCTCTCTTCCCAGACTTTGCTCATATCCTTACTCTCCCCATGCGCTCAACGCGCGCCACAAGATGGTGGAGAGCAGCGCGGACCAGACATTGCCACGAGCGTCAATCCCCGCGATAGCCGGAGATTCTAAAGCACCACCTCCCAGGGCTGCAACGTTCCCCGGTATGTAGACATTGGGATTTGGGCCGGTCCTCTATGCGATTCGTCTCGTGTTTATGCGACAAGTCCGCCGACGCGCGAACCCCTATACCTTCTAAAATACAAACGAATCAAATAGAACCTGCTGACAGAAAACTTGATAGGCTCGGTGATCTCGGATGTCCCATCAGGATCTAGCAACAGCCAACAGGATGGCCAACGGAATTCTCGTCGTCCGGCGCCCATTGGTGGTCCGTTGGTCAGAAATTCTACCTCGTACACGCTGCATGAGACCCGGACCGAATCCAGCGCCATCGACCCGTTATCTCAGGTCAGCCATGTCTTTTGGCGCATGTTTCGCGCCGGACTGCATCGCAAGAGCTTTCTAATATTTCCTTACAGCACATAATTAAGCGTACCAATACGCAAAAGTCTATTCCTCTGAAGTTATTGGGTCGGGCATCGTACGAGGCCGATGCCGGGGGCTCGGAGTACAACTTGTCAGACCATAGTGCGGCTCGGGGAGATGCGTCAAACTCAAAGCTGCCCAAGGAAAAGAAGTAAGTTGTCAAACGTAGACTCTCTGTTTGTGGTTTCTCTCCCGCATATGCTTTTCTCCTCTCAAAAGAAAACATACGTTTGCGCGGACTCCGGGACCTCCGAGCTCCGATCATATTGACCTTGGCTGACGAGATCTGGCTTTCTTTCTCGCCCAACAGAAAAGGTGTTTCTTTTCTTAGTCGAATCATTGGTACCAAGAAAAAAGATTCGCTATCTGAAGCAGAAGATGATCACTCGGAAGCAGAAGCCAGTCGCATGTCCATCGACACTTCGCATCCAATAGGGTTCGTCCCTCGGCACCCGGCCCCATCCCGCTACATGAAGGTTCGAGCCCATTATAAGAAGGATAAGACTTTTGACCGTCTGTTCCTGGCACAAGAACTACAGGGCGCGGGCGTGCAGCAGTCTGTCGCAGGAAGACGAGGATCAACCTCGACGAATGCCAATGACGATACTGGAAGAGCGATTTGGGCTCTTAGTTTCTCCAAAGATGGCAAATATCTAGCTGCGGCGGGTCAAGATCGGAAGGTTCGAGTATGGGCCGTCATCACCTCACCAGAGGAGCGGGAGCAGGCCACATTGGCTGGTGATACTCCAGAGGCGCAACAGCTGAAATTCAAGGCACCGGTGTTTTCACCGAAACCTGTCAATGTGTACGAGGGACATACTGGGAGCATTTTGGACTTGAGTTGGAGTAAAGTATGGAAATCTATTGTGAAAGGTTTGCGAACTACCAGCTAACCGGCGCAGAACAACTTCCTTCTGTCTTCGTCTATGGACAAAACCGTCCGATTATGGCACGCGAGTCGAACCGAATGTCTATGCTGCTTTCAACACAGCGATTTTGTCACCTCGATCCAATTCCATCCCAAAGATGATCGATTCTTTTTGGCCGGCTCATTGGACTGCAAGCTACGACTATGGAGCATTCCAGACAAGAGTGTGGCGTTTATGACAACAGTACCGGATATGATCACCGCGGTAGCGTTTACACCAGATGGCCGGCAGTCAATGGCAGGATGTTTGAATGGCCTACTCAACATCTATGACACCGAGGGTCTCAAGGTATCAGGTCAAATCCACGTTCGATCGGCCCGAGGACGAAACTCTAAAGGCAACAAGATCACCGGAATTGACACCATGATAATCCCCGAGGAAGATCCGAATGGAGATGTCAAATTGTTGGTGACTAGCAATGACTCACGAATTCGGCTCTACGATTTCCAACTGCGGACTCTCGAGGCCAAGTTTCGGGGCAATGAAAACACCTGCAGTCAGATTCGGGCATCATTTACCGAAGATGGTAAGCATGTTATCTGTGGAAGTGAAGACCGCAGAGCCTATGTCTGGCCCATTGGAGCGGCTGAAGGAGATTCCGACAAGCGAGCCGTGGAGGTATTTGAAACCCAATCCGCCATCGTCACTGTGGCTGTGACAGCACCTATGAAAACGAAGCAGGTTCTTGGGCTATCCGAAGATCCGATCTACGATATCTGCAACCCTCCACCTGTGGCTCTCATGAGCCCCGAAGACTCGCCAGGAACTCCAAAGCAATCTAGTTCTGACATTACCAAGATTGAGCACAAGCACCAACGGTCCTCATCAGCGCCACGCGTATCCATCGTGAAGAAAATGGCGCATGAATCTCCTTCCTACCTGGCCCGGTCAAAGCACCCAGACGGGAGTATTATCGTGATTGCCGACTATTCTGGCAAGATCAAGGTCCTCCGACAAGACTGTGCCTATCAGAAACGTCGCTACGAGAACTGGGATCATTCCACCATCTCTAAGCGGCTTTTACGACGCTCCAACTCCACACACCATAGCATCGCCTCCTCAATGAGCAAAGACTCTGCACACAAAACCCCATCCGAGCGGATCGTCTCCTGGCGCAACTCCGTCATCCGCAATGGCCGCGCCAGTACAGAGGGATCCCGCTCCGGTCTTCGTACTCGCAGTCCGTCTCCACAACATCGACCAGCCGCATTCCGGCTTTCCTCATCCCGACCCTCAAGTATGGGTCCGAATGAGTCTCTTTCGGTTGTCGCAAATTCCCCGCCGCCCTCACCTCGTCGATCCCGATTAGATCATGGCCATAGCCACCTGGCCGAAGACTCCAATGAGCCAAACGAACGGTCACCCGACTCGCGCAAACTACCCCCCACAGCAGCTGAGATGGTGGCCAGTGGCAAGGGCAAAGAAAATCCACTTTGGTTGCAAGGAGATCACAGCTATGCATACTGGAACAAGATTACACACGATGCATTGGCGGCCAAATCCCGCCAGGCAAAAGATTTCCTAAGTCCTAGTCGCATCCCCTCCGGCAGCGATCGTAAGTTAAGTGTATCTGGCAGTGTTCTCAGCAGCGATTATGGATCCTCCATGGGCGAGACTGATGAAGATATTCTGAAATGTGAGCATTGCCGTGGTACTAACTTCCGTGGGGTCAAAGACCGGGGTGGGAAGCAGAAGTTGATTTGCGTTCAATGCAATCGCTCTGTTTCCTAAATATATTTCATTATCTCTTCCTATTTACAAGGTTTTGGCGCTTGTGTTTCCTATTTGGCATGATCTGTTGATACATTTTGGTTTACTGTGTCGTCAGTGCTTGGATATTGGTTTTGGAGTTGAGCGGAAACAGGCTGGATGCGTTGGACCTGGATCCTTACTCGACATGTATTATATATGGGATGACTCGGATGTGAAATATGCTGTAAAGAAATAAAATTCAAGTGTGAATATGTAACAATTCCCTCAAGTTCAACATGCGTATGCGAAGTAAAGTTGGTACTTTGTGGTTGTGGCCGATGCCAAGACATCGAAAAAGTCCGGCGACTGATAACTGATCGAAACCCCGGACTTCCTCCAACCACACCGTCTTCCAATTCTCTCACTCTAGAGACATTTTCCGGGCGAACACGCAGCACCAATCGCCAGAATATCCTGAGCAGCTTCTGAGTTTACACAGAGCTACCAATTCCCCATCAACCCCGCGCATCCCGCTCGCACTCAACCGGACGACACCTCACCTCAAAAACGAGACCGGCTCTCGTCCACACCAACCATGCCTTACCTCCCTACCACCCAGGCATACCTGGAGCAATCTGCTCTGCTCCTCGAAGCTTACCCGGAAACTGTAAGGTCCCACACACAAAGCCACATGGCCATCCCACCATCTATCTGCCCACGCAATCCAATATCTGTCTCCGCACCACTCCCACCACTAGCTACCAATTTCCATACCTTGAACAACCCTCCAACCCAACCCAAACCCAATCCACAGAACCAAAAGCACATACCTACCCTCAAAAACACGAATACCGCAGAACCCATAACCACAAACCAAACTAACAAAGCAGACCCGCATCACAACAAAATACAGCTTCCCAACCGAGCGCCGCGCCCAGCAACACAAGCGCGAAAAGTCCCTCGCAAAGAAACAAGCATCCTCCACACAAGAACCCGCACCCACTGACCCTACACCAAGTGCTCCCATCGCATCCCTCACCCTGAAAACTTACAACCCCACTACAGGCGTATGCCTGAAATACCGCACGAACAAGCTGCAGGAGGTTAGTCGTTTGATGACTGGATTGGGCAAGTTGGCTGGCGGAGCGGACGTGGCTAGCTTAGGGTTATCGGGGCCGGCCGACGTTGAGATGGTTGATGCGCCGGCTGTTGAGGAGGAGGTTGTGCAGAGTGGGAAGGCGGCTAGTGGGAAAGGGAAGAAGAAGGGTGGGAAGGGGAAGCGGTAGGCTGTTTATAAGTTGAATATTGAATATTAAATATTGATTGTCGTGTTCAGCGGCTTGGTATTGGTATAGGTATAGAAAATAATGACTTACGTGGTTCGTTATGGATTCATGGATTCATGCGTATGCTCACTCTATATGAAGACCTTAATATCGATCTACTGCGAAGGATATGTAACAGATAAAGTTTAGTGAGAGAGCAATGTATTTACTGCATGTGATCCAAACTACAAACTACGATAAGAAGCATCTTGAGAGTTTCTGGAAGTGTACACATCGAAGTGATTGAACATCTAAATACAAATATCCACCATCCATCCAATATTAGACAACAGAAAGTCTAGGACAGACCAAGAAAAGAAAAAGTAAATCGAACGCCATGCCCATGCGCAACCGTTGAGAACAGATCCCATCAAAACAAAAAAAGACAAGAAGCAAACGTGATATCATGTAGAAGAGCGGAGCGAGGAAAACCCACAACGCTGGGTATAAAATAAAAGAAGGGGAGTGGGAGAAGAGACAATGAGACAACATCTAGAAGTCCTCATCGAAGTTGAGACCACCGTCGTTGGCGGAAACCTTCTCACCATCAGCGTCCTTCTTGGTGCTGGCCATAACACCGGCCTTCTGGTAGTCACCAACACGCTTCTCGAAGAAGTTGGTCTTGCCGGCCAGGGAGATGGACTCCATGAAGTCGAAGGGGTTGGTAGAGTTGTAGTACTTCTTGTTGCCAAGAGCGACCAAAAGACGGTCAGCAACAAACTCAATGTACTGGCACATGAGAGTGGCGTTCATGCCGAGCAGGGCACAAGGGAGAGAGTCAGACAGGAACTCCTGCTCAATACCGACAGCCTCAACAATGATCTTCTCAACCATCTCAGGGCTGGGGCGGTTGTTCAAGTGGGAGAACAGCAAACAGGCAAAGTCAGTGTGCAGACCCTCGTCACGAGAGATGAGCTCGTTGGAGAAGGTGAGACCGGGCATCAGACCACGCTTCTTCAACCAGAAGATAGAGGCAAAGGAACCAGAGAAGAAGATACCCTCAACGGCAGCGAAGGCAACCAGACGCTGGGCGAAGGTGGACTCCTCATCCTGGATCCAGTTGATGGCCCACTTGGCCTTCTTGGCAATGCAAGGAACTGGAGAAGCGAGTTAGCTAATGCAAGATAAGAGATGCAAAGTAGATGAACATACTGGTGTCAATGGCATCGAAAAGGTAGGTGCGCTGCTTGGGCTCCTTGATGTAGGTATCAATGAGCAGGGAGTAGGTCTCGGAGTGGATGTTCTCCATCATGATCTGGAAACCGTAGAAGCAGCGAGCCTCAGGGACCTGGACCTCTCCACTGAAACGCTCAACCAGGTTCTCGTTGACGATACCGTCGGAAGCGGCGAAGAAAGCAAGCACGTGAGAGATGAAGTAACGCTCATCGTCGTTCAGGCGGTTGTGCCAATCGTGCAGATCCTTGGACAGATCGATCTCCTCAGCGGTCCAGAAAGAGGCCTCGGCCTTCTTGTACATCTGCCAGATCTATTGATCGACATGTCATTAGCCATGTGTTCTTCCGATGTGGCATGCAGATTGTCTGCCCCACAGCACTTTACGCGTGAACGCGTCACCGACGTGACTAACCTCGTGGTACTTGATAGGGAAAAGAACGAAACGGTGGGGGTTCTCCTGCAGGAGGGGCTCATGGGCCTCAGAGGCCTTGATACCAGCAGCAGTCTTGGGGGCCTCAACAACGGCCTTCTCGGTGGGGGCGTCGACAGTCTTGGTCGCGGTGGGGACATTCTCCTTGCCAACGGACGCGAAGTCGAGCTTCTTAGCAGGGGAGTCGCTCATCTTCAGGTTCTCGAGGGAGGAAGCAGCCTAAAGAAGCATTGAAGTTAGCTTTGCATGACAGCGCGACGCGTGTGGCGTCAGAGGCGAGTCGTGACATCACGTACCTGCTTCGATGGGGTAACCTGGGCAGCCATTGTGAATGTGTCTAGGGGCAAGCGATCACACAGAGAGATGAATTGCAAAGACACGAAGGTAAGGTAGAAAGGCAAAGGCTTGGATTGAGGAAGGAGTGGAAAACAGGAAGGGGAAAGAATCAATTAAGTAGTTTGGCGGGCGTGAATCTTTTAGCGCGTCCGAATCTTGTCACGTCTCACGTGACTACGTGTCCCTTAGGTCAGCCACGCAAGGCGCGTCCAGAAGAAGCGAAAACACAACAGAAATGTTCATGCCACTGCCTTTCCACCGGCTTCCGACGCTAGGGGAGTCGATCCATGGCCGTGCCTGCGGTAGCCCCCTCGACCATGAGTTGGCCCATTCCAGCTCCAGTATAATACTATGAACATATGTACTTTTCAATTGCTGTCGAGCATAATTGCCCTCCAAAATCCGTATCGACTACGTCCACCAGGCACTCAAACTTGTTTTTTTAGGCCGTATAATATAGAAAAGCCCGAGCGTCAATAACGTCAATAATACTGCAAGACCCAGTTTTCACGCGTCGTGTTTCCTAAAAATTTCAGCTCGACAGTGGGGCTCCTCGGCGTACCCACTGCCCACTCACAGGATGAATCATGATCTGATAAGCCCACAGACCTTTGACGCGCCAGGACGCGACAGGACTACATTTCGGATTTACGGATCTTATTGGTGATCTAGGCCAGCCATGACCTGTCGGAACTGGCTGGAATTGGCAAGTGTATGATGCCTTTGTCGGGTCTTAGCTGTTTACTCCCCCACAGACCAAACCAGTAAGCTCTCCACAGGAGCCCCAGCCACGGAGCACGACATTTGGCATTGTGTTCTGCTTGGACCTGTGGATTGGTGCAATTTGTAGACAATATCAATACGGTACAGCTGCCAGATCTCAATGTTTCTAGGAATGCAGTAGCTTTAAATGAAACTCGTATAGAAGGTTCTGGGAATGGGGGCCTGAGCAGATGCTGCGCGTCGGAGAATGTGCCGATCGACTCGCGTGCTGGATCTCGCGTCGATGGGGGCGAAACAAAGTTTGCCAGTTTCAGGGCTGAGCATGTCGGAGATGCTATATCCGATGGTGGCATCCCTTCATGTCTCCACTGGCCAGGTTTGGTGCTCAGGCAACCCCGACGCCCTCGAATGTGAGACCCACTACGGACGTTTCCTGGCACATTGTTGGTGTTTGACGGCGATGCCAATCTCAGGAACAGGGTGCTATTTCCCGGATACCAGATGTGGAGGCAGGATGTTTGATCACCCTTGGCAGTGGCAATTACTCAGTCGTTACAAATCCTATAGTGGCTTTGTTCGCAATGCTATCCCTGAGGTTAAAGAGCTGCATTTGTCATTACATCGTCACAGGACGCGTAGAAAGCGAGAGATATCTAAACTTAGTCACGCTGAAAGAGTTTGAAGCTGTTTGCAGTTTCTTGCAATTTACGCGTCGATTGAGTTGGCCCGTGCTCGCGACGCGAATAGAATAGTGAGTGGCTCATGACGCACCATGAATTATCTCTCTGAATACGGTAGAAGGCTTAGGGGAACCTGCATCAAGCTTGCAGTCATTTAGATCTCTAACATGTACGTGAAATCTTCGCCAGTTGATATCTGTCAACATGTGAGCTAAAATCTAGCTTAATTTGAAATGCGGGGAAAGCTTGCAGGCTATCAAGGATATCCCCAGGGTGAATGCATGAGAAGTATATAGTCTGTGAAACATAGATGACCGGATCAAATAATTTTGCAGTCATCAGTTATTCGTCTGCCAGACAGGCTTATGGCATGAGTCGGATGCTCTAGATCTCACCGATTACGGGAAGCCAAGAACCAGACTGTAGAGTTAAAGCCTCCGGCTAGCATATCACGTGTCGTCGTTATTAGTTAGGCCCTTTCTCTAACAGTGTCTGCTTCGGGGACTTCCATAACTGCGGTTTCTCTGGATCATTCCATCTCAATTTTTCTGCCAATGACGAAATCTCTTCTAAACTTCTTCGATCTGTCCAATATGTACAGAACATCTAAAGCAGGGAATCAAATGTCCCCAATTAACGCCCGATCTATTTCAATCCGGTATCACGCAAAATCCCATGCCGCTTTCCGATGCAACCTGGCACAATTCAACATAAACAGAAATGAAAAAATGACAAAGTTAGATACATGTTTTAACCAGATGTCTAGATCTTACCACGAAGATAATCAGGCAGGACCCGATCCTCGACACGGCGCATCAGCTTATTAGTCTGCTCAGCTAAGCTGAGGGTGATGATCTAGAGGTATAATTAGCAGGTGACATCTCCTCAGCCAAAGCGGAGTAGCCTTACTGTGTGGGGCAAAATGCGGGCAAGGTGAGCAAAGAAGCCCTTGTAGATAGCAAGGACACCCTCTTTGCGAACTGTCTTCAGAAGACAGTCAAATACGCCTCCGTAGAGGTTTCCAGTCTGGTTGTACATGCGCGCCATGATAGTATCTATGATTCGTATTAGCTTTTAGGAATTTTGTTTTTCTCATAGACTTCATAGGCTTACCAGGAGGGTGCATAAAACAGCACACTACGAAGCCGGAAGCAGCACTGCTAGCTAAATGCAAAGCGGGACCCTCTTGCATACCCAGGTGTCGGGTTAAACGACGCTTAGCGAAGAAGTAGGTCGGGAGCTGAACAGCACTGCCGAAACTCGTTCGGATCATGGCGGCGCCAACACCACGGTAGATACCCTTGATACCCTCGCCCTTGTAGATCTTGCTCAAGCCGTCAAACGAGTTCTTATAGTTGTGCTGAGTACCAACGGGAAGGAATGGAGAGAATGATTGGAGACGGGTTTTCACAAGGAAGAAAGGAGAGCCAGCGGCAGCACCGATGACACCAGAAGCTGCACCGGCGAAGACATTGGCGCCGAGAGACTGAACGTTAGCATCGTTGTAGATGGCGGATGTGACGTTGGAGCGAATTGGTTCATAGAAACCCAGACGGCAGCCATTTAGCAAGACTTGGTAGATGTACTAAGCAGCCCAAGGGGATTAGTTCCTGTTGACATATGCCAATCTTGTCTGTCATCCAATGGCGCACTTACGGCAGATCCAATTCCGCGGAAAAGACCTCGAGGACCCTCATTCTGAAGAATGACCTTCACACCATGCAAAGGACCCTTGTATTGCTTGACAGCCTCATTTTTGGCCTGTAATTCACCCTGTAGCTGTAGCCGAATCTTCACGGTCTCGAAACTATGGGTAACGGTAACCGCACCGCAAGCTGCGATACCTCCGGCAAGGAACGCTCTATATAGAGATACAAGGGTTAGCGCAAGGTATTTCTACCCTTTGAGAGCTTATAAGTAACATACCCAGTAGTTGTCGACATCGTGCTTGATGTTGGAAGTTGCCGCGGCGCGCACGGATAGATTGGTCGGTAGACTCGGTGACTGCACCGCAATCGGAGTGGCAATCAAAAGCACCAAAAAGGGGTCACCGTTGATATAGAAATCAAATTTCCAGCCTACAGCTCTTTTCTAGAAGAGCCAAAGACAAGAACGCCAATCTATAAGCATACAAAAGACCAAAGTAGGTGTTCGAGGGATGAGATGGGCGATCAGGGCTGAAAGGCACCTAAAGCTTACCTGCGGTTACTCATGGACTGGGGAAGAAGGCCTCGAAATTACTCGATGATGATTGGCCAATGCTGCTGGGCGAGCTCCGATCGCAGGAGGTCCTGCCACCAATGAATCACGTGAAGCTATTAGGCGGTGAGAGTGACAGATCGCCCATGTATCACGTGACGGGAGATGATTGGCAGAAAAAGGAAGGCGCAACAAGACAAAGAAAGCGCGTGGGGAGCTTTCCTATATAAACTGGAAACCCCACCTTCCATTGAACTATGAGCAAGTTCCTTTCTTGATCCTCATCTCCATAATTCTCATTGCCTACTCTACCTCTTCACCTAACATTCAACATGGCCGACTCCCAGGCGCAGACCCCAACTCAACCTGCACAGCCGATTGCACAAGAGCTGCCAACTCAGACTCTGCCAGAGATCATTCGTACCTACCGTCCTATCAAGGTGAAATGTGCAATTCTTACTCGTGTTTTCGAAAAACCATGCTCATTTATTGTTTCTATTTAGTCCTTCAGAGGTTCCAAGCCTGATGCCTCGACCCATGTGACTTCTCTAGACTTTGACGACCAAGGTGAATTCCTTGTTGCAGCTGGAGACGATGATGCAATTCAAATCTTTGATATCAAAGAGGGCAAGCTCAAAAAAACGGTTCCAAGCAAGAAATATGGCGTCCACCTCGCGCGTTTCACCCACCACCAACGATCGCTTCTTCATGCGAGTACCAAAGTCGACCACAACATCCGTTTGCTGGATGTGCATAACGAAGGTTATGTCCGCTATTTTATTGGCCATACAGATACAGTGACTAGTCTGGCACTAGCACCCTCGGGAGATCATTTCGTTTCTTCAGGCAAAGATGATACAGTTGCAGTTTGGGACCTGCAATCTCGAAACCCGCAGGGCAAGTTGAAGCTAGCGACCCCATACTTGGTGGCATTTGACCCTTCTGCATCGGTCCTTGCCATCGCTTCGCAGTCTACATCGTCTGTCCTTCTCTACGATTTCCGCAACTATGACAAAGCACCCTTCGCAACCTTTGACTTGGCTCCCTATGAGGAAATGTACACACCAACCACTCGTGGACGTGCCTGGACCCGGCTGGAGTTCTCTAACGACGGAAAATATTTGATGGTTGGAACGGATTATCACGGGCACTTTATTCTGGATGCATTTGACGGCTCTGTCAAGGCTTTCCTTACTGGGAAGAGTGGCGCGACTGGCCGTGCTGCCCCGGTGTCCACGACAGGCAAACCCCGCGGCCAGGGTGATGCATGCTTCACGCCTGATGGCCGATATGTGATTGGTGGCAATGGTGAGGGACAAGACATGCTCGTGTGGGATTTGCAGCAGAAGCCCGAGGCCAACAACCTGCTTTCTCCCGTGGCCAAGCTTCCCCATCGAAACCGGACAACCGTTGTTGAGTACAATCCAAAGTACAACATGATCGCCAGTGCCGATAAAGAGACTGTTTTCTGGCTTCCAGATGAGCTGCCGAAGCCATCGGAGAAGTAAGCCATTGATTCCAGGGCGTTCGGTCTTCAACTCTACGAGGCCGGGCTTATGTTTGTTTGATTACGACGCAATATCCAGATACCCACTTTACGGAGTTTTGTTCGACACTATGTACTCTGTGACCAACTTCTATCAGAGCATGATTGTTTATTTAGCATGAGTTAACCACATTGACAATGAATGTTTAGTCTTTGCGGTCCCTGTCTTTTCCTACTAAGCTTCTCGCTGTATCACATACCCAGACCAGGGGGCCCTCGAGGCCCTCGTCGTTGTCTCGGTTCTTTTCGATGGTAGTTTCGATCTGTTTATCGATTGTGCGATTGCTGGTGATGGTTGTCGTGCCTGTAACCCACCCATACATGAAAACACTATAATTTATATCCGACAAGCCTTCTGCAACTTCATCGGCCACACGAGGTAGCTTCCCCTCGGCTAAGCCGGCGTCGATCACTGGCTGCGCGTCTATCACCCTTACGGGGAGCTTCCAGTGATTGGGCACATGATGGTCAGACAAGGCCTGGAATTGTTTGATAAGTGACTCGCTCCCACCATCCTCAGAAGGGTCTCCCATGACGATCCTCATGCGAGCTTTTTCTGTATCGGTCCCTAGTAGATTCACAATTTCGCGCATTCGTGTACCTGCCTCACTGGTGCAAACCAGTTCGCGAGAGCCCATGGCTGGCCAGAGCTCGCTGGGGAGCAAGGGCATCTCTTTGTCAACCTCTATCTGCCGAACGATAGCCCTGTGGAAACTGGGCAAGATGGGAAGGTTCTTGATGTGAGACAAATCCGACACCATTGCCAACAGAAGAGTGCAATCGACATTCAGAATGGAAGTGAAATGCTTGAATGGCTGAGGCAGAAGTCGAGTAAGGTCTGTACTGCCTATCTTAGCTGACAGACTGTCCTGACATTCAACCTGAATACCATAACTCCGCATCTCAGCCAGAATATCATCAATCTCAGGAACATTGCCTTCTTCAATCTTGGGCAGAACAATCCGTAGTCGGGGATGCCTATACCTCACCCGCGTAGCATCGGCCGCTTTCCTCAGATCTCGAGCCAATTTGATCAGCTCTAGGTCATCATCATCGTCGTCCTGTCCTGGATCCTCCCCATCAAAGTTGCGTAGCACAGTTCGCCGCGCTGGGCCCTCGCTCCCTGATCCCGAAAACTCATCCTCACTGTCCGCTTCCCATCCTTTCTTCGCCATTTCAAAGAGTAGCCTGCTCTCCGAGATAGTCGACACCTTCACCCATTCCGTCCCATCGCCCGCCACGATATCGACAAAAATACTCTTGCGTTTATCTTTATTGGCCTGCTTCTCATTCACACCCTTCTTCCAAGGTGCCTTCGTCTCCCCATCCCAGTAAAACCGTTTCCCCATTGCAAGCAGTCCTTCACAAGAACTCAACACAATGCCCCACACAGCCTGGTAGAACGGCAGATTTGATGACCGCAGCGCATGCATCAGCCGCATCTCCACGTCAGGATCTACACCCGACTGGCATTCACCAACGGACAGCTGACTTTGTTCTCCACCCTGAAGCTCATTGTCGCAGCTCTCTTCCGCATTCTTTTTGGACTTTGCAACCTGGCTTTTAATCCGCTCTTCCAGCTTTAGAAGCATCTTCATCTCGGCGCTCACGTTTGAGCGGAACTGTCGTACCTCGACGAGCTGTGGGTTGCGGAGTGTCGCTTTCAAGAGCGCCTGGAAGGAGTCCAGGTCGTTGAGGAGATCCATGCATTGTTTGTGCAGCTCTGCGGAGGCCATGGCGGAAGCTTTTGTAGGTTCGTCGGGAGGGTTCGAGGACCCGGGGTCCTGCGTCATTGTTGCGGATTCCAAGGAGGTACACAGTCTTGTGTAGACCTTAATTCGTGGGTACAGCAGGATATGAATATTGATTGAATATATATTTGTGTATTATATGAGGAACTCCGAGCTTAAGTTACCTCCAATCGCGGTTGGCAGAGGTTTCAGGAAGGCGCTTTAGACTCGAAGTTTTTCCCCGCGGAGGGGATTGATAGTGCGGGTCCTGGTGGGATTGGCTCTATCTTATCGGATTTGCAGGGCGAGGCCAATTGAGGATTGTGCGACAGGGACCAGGAAGGTCAATTGCATAGACTTATGCTGCTAATTGGGAAAACAAAACAGGTGGAGGCTACTAGTGATCAAGTGTCATGTTTTTAGCCTTGTGAGCTCGGTGGACCCGCTTTGGTGAGGCTCTAAATGACTCAGAAAGTCAAGCTGCGACGAGCTTCCATTAATTTCGTTGCTAAGTCTGTAAGTAACGCATTATTTCACGAATCGCGATCAGCTACTGGTTTCAACAGAGGTGTGATTACAGCCTAGCTGATCCGCTACTAGTGCAACAAGGTATTCAACATATACTTTGGGTTCCAAATACAAGCCAGGGGAACTAAATACCCGCTACTAATTTGAGAGAAATGAAAATAAAGCCAACGCCGTGACATGCTTGTGACCATGGAGCGATACTGCAGGTCGGTTGGACCCAAGTGTAGGAACTCCTGAACTTCCTAGCCGAGAGTGTGGAGTTGCAGACCAAAGGCAACGGGAAGCTTCGCATCGTACAACTAAGATCTAGTGGGTGAGTCTTTGGTGCTCGCCTGAGTTGCGAGGGGACTCGTCATCATCAGACCACTTGTCCTCGTCACCCACCGCGAAGATGGTCTCTTCATCGAGAGATGCGCGCTGCGCAGAGGAGACAGGCTTGGGCGGCACGGGGGAGAGATCACGGCGACCCTCGGCGGTAGAGCTGCCAGGGTACTCGGGAGGAGCATCCAAAGGATCCTCCTCATCGAGCCCACTGCCGAAGGATCGGATCTCAAAGCCATCGTCATCTTGAGCAAGCTGTACATATTGTAAGTATACAAAGTTCGGTATTATTATATTGAAGGGAAAAAGAATTCTTACCTCGTCACTCATGGCGAAGCGCCGGTTGTTGGCTGTGGGTCGCCACAGGTAGGCCACGAAGCAGATGTCAAACAAGTAGACCAGGTTGAGCCAGCCATCCAACACAAACCACCGCGCCTTCCAGTGCTGAGGAACAAAGTCGGCATCGCTGCGGCCAGCAAAGGCGAAAGAGTTGATGAAAAAGAAACCGAAAATAACAATGATACTGGTAAGGATACACCACCAGAGTTTCTTGTACATCAGCGCCTTAGTCTTCTGCTTGCGGTCAATGAGATCCTTCATGGTGGCATTGAGACTGTTCAAAGTCCAGACATAGAAGGCAGTCAAGGTTCCAGCAAGAGGAAGAACGATCAGGAGCACCAGGGGTCCAGCGCTGTCGGGTGTAATGGAAAGACTGGCCACCGAGTAGATGACCGCGAAGACGAAGTGTGCAATTGCCAGAATGCGAACATAGATCATCGTGCGACCGAGAGAAGGCTTCACAACACCGTAGCCCATGCAAACGATGAGCAAGAGGAAGAACGAGAAGGCATTTCGGCCAGCGTTGAGAACCGCAACAATAATCATCAATGCCTTAGCTCCGGCATTTAATCCGTGGATGTTTTGGAAATTATAGAAACCCCAGGTCATCAACTGTTCGACGATCAAGAATACCACAATGGCTGTGATATAGTTCTGAACGGGTAGAATGTCGTGGCGGTTTTGAACATAGAGGAAGGCCCAGAAAACGCCGACGACGGCGTACACAATCGTCAAAGCACCGTAAAACGGAAGCTTCGCAATTTGCGCAGCGGGAAGTTCGCCATATGAGTTGCGGAAGGTCACCACTGCTGTGTAGGGTTCGTCCGAGTATGCATATGTGCTGACGCAGTAGAAGCCGGTCTTCCGTACGGTGTACTTAATTGCATCCGGATCGTTCAAGTGGACAGCGGTGGAGACAATGGGGTTCGAAGAGACATCACTCGCGTTAGCAGTCAAAAGGAAAGAACCGATCTGGTCTGCCGTGCAAAGTTTGAGATCGACATTGTTCTGGTCGCAGATAGTTTCCTTGAGCTCATTCTCATGATTTCCCTCAGCGGTCTGGTACTGGCCAATCAATTCCTCGTCCTGCCATTCGAAGATAACCAAGCTGGCTAGTGGATCACCCTGTGTTGCGGCTGACTTGGAGAACTTGACTAAGATGAAGGGGTCGACATTTCCTCCCCAAGCCTTGCGGCTGTACATCCCTGAGCAACGTTGTCGGTGCGCTTCATCGGATTTCTGCAGGAAAACAGCATCAATATGTTAGCCTGAATTGTTCGTCAAAGGGATCAGGTTCAAAGGAGTTTACCAGTTCGACATCATTGGCAAGTGCTGAGCCTGCCAACAGGGCCGTCAGGCCCAGTGTCCGGAGCCAGCTCTTCATCGCGATCAGGCAGCAGAAAGCAGGAGAGGCTCCAGGATTTGTTCAAGGTGCTAACCAAAACTACACCGCATCCAAGGTAGATGGGATGCAAGAAATTGAAGATGTCAGTCGTTTGGTTTTAGATGTGAATGTAGCACAGCTTGCGCAACCGGAATCGTCGAGCTCACTGCGTGGCCTTCTCGACCGGGGAAACCGCGCGTGGAGATTAGCTAAGCCCGCACCGCCACTTTTTTCTTTTTGTTCACGATCGACATTTACTTCCAAGATATCTAATTTCGCCTCCAATTTTGTCTAATCACGCTTCAAAATGCCGGCTAAAGAGACGAATCCTCCTTGTATGGAGTGCAATGAGACAGACGCCATTTTAACTACAAGGAATAGGTCATTCTGTGGGTATGTGATCTTTAATTTGCGACTAAGACCCCACCTTCAATTTGCTAACACTTATAAAGTCCTTGTTACCAGCGCTTTTTGGCATACAAAGTTTGGCGGCGCATGGACCATTATAGACCCAGACCACAAAAGAATGTGAAGCCCACGAAACCCGCGCAGCCCCAATTACTGCTCCCGCTTTCTCTCGGTGTTTCTTCCTCCGCTCTTCTACATATACTGGACACAGGCTTGAAGCGCCAACTTGCGAAATCCGGCAGAACATCATACGCCCTTCATATACTCGTCGTTGAGCCATCTACCGAGTTGCCTACAAGCGTGTCATACGATACGCACGTCGATGCCGTCCGAGAGGCTTTCCCCACCTACTCTGTGACTCGGATACCTCTCCACAGCATCTTTGAATATGTCCCCGATATGACGGATATTATGGCCGAATATGCGGGGCCCCAGTTCACTGATAATGCTTCTCAGTCAAATGAGGAGCGGCTGGCTGCTTTCCGGAGCACTGTCTCGACTGCCACATCCAAGTCAGACCTGGACACTGTTTTGTTTACCAGACTTGTCGTCGGCTATGCGAAACACGCGATGTGTGAGTCTATCCTGTGGGGGAATACAGACACTAGCCTCGCGGCGAAGACACTTGCGGGTGCTGCCAAAGGCCGAGGTGCCTCTCTTACCTGGCAAGTATCGGATGGAATGTCACCATGGGGTATAAAGTTTGATTTCCCATGCCGAGATATTTCCAAGCCCGAACTATCTCAGTACGGAAGTGTCTGCCCGGAGATTTCCGCGGTAGTCATTCCTGATGCACCACTATCGGACAATATCCTCACCAAGAACTTATCTATTGATGAGTTGATGCTGCGTTATGTGACTACGCAAGGCGAAAAATATCCTGGTGTCATGGCCAACGTATCAAGAACTGCACACAAACTCGAGACTACGTCGGGAAATGATAGTGCTCTATGCTCGCTGTGCGGAGGCATGATCGAGAATGTCAAGGGCAATGAAACTGGTTTGACAGTCGCCAGCCAGTTCGCAGGAAAGGGATCTCAATTTTGCTACGGATGTATGAGGTCTCGTCCTGAAATTATTTCATAATTAAATTATGGAGATGTGTATTATCAACAGCGCATCGAAAGTAACGCGGGCAGAAGGAAAGGGAGCAGATTGTTTACAATTTGGAAGATCCTCGATCACAAAAGATGGCATTGAAATCATGATTTAGATTTCTCCGTTCATGCCCCACGTTCTGGGTCCTCCTGTGGACGGCTCGCTCCACCAAACCATTTAGCGACGGTCCGGTTAGACCGAGTTTGCTTCGCAGGTGGAGGTCTTGTTGGGTGGGTGCTGGCCTCTGCCATATTTCTACCAGAGCCATGCTCCTGGTATGTCGGTGGAGAGTCACCCACCACACCACTTTCCTGCTTGTCATACTCGTCTGGGAGACTGTGATCCACTTCCTGAACCCGCCGTTCGCTCCTCCTGGTTGAACTGTTTTGCCTGGAGAGAGCCTTGGCGCCCTTGTCACGCAAATGCTTCTCGAGGAGCACGGCATTTCTTGTGTTGCACTTATACACCGCATCCGCGATATCACCGATAAATGGCACGAGACCAATGACAAAGTCAATGATCACATTCACAAGCATCATATATCGCAACCGCGACGGCAATCCCCCCTTCAATTCCTTCACATGTTCTCACCACCATCATAGCCAGTGCAGCGTCGCCAGCGTCACCGACACTATATCAAAAACGGTTAGATCGAATAGTTAGAATCAATGAATGTGTGGTGAACTCACAATGGAACAAGCCCAATCACACTACCCCAGCCGAATCGGATACCACATAAGTTGAACAGGGAGTAGTCAAGTCGATATGCTCGACGCTTAACCTTGGTAAGGACGTCGGCATCGTGTTCAGACAATCCTGGCGGAATAGCCTTGCGGCGCTTTTGCTTCTTCTTGCCTACGGCTCGACCTAGTCGAGAAGCAGGTACTTCTTCAAAATAGGGATCCTAGAAACACGAACCAGATGCCTGGATTAGCACCAAGTACCTCACAACAAACAGTAGCGCCCACTCACCTCCATTCCAAAGCGATTTTGCGCAGATTCCGCAAGCACGCGCTTGCTTATCAGAGAAAAAAGCGCGTTCGACATATTGATGGTTAGTCCTTGCGCTCTTCAGCTGAGTTGGGTGTGGTGTAGCAGGTATCGTAGAAAGCCTAGGATGGAGCAAGATATAATCTTCCAAGGGGTCCAAAAATAGACTCCACTCTGAAACTATTAGTTTCGACACGGCGGTACCGGTTTGGTTACGCGCTGGAGTTTGTTTCAAAGGACGAAAGAGAGTAAAGGAGAGCAAAGACAAAGGAGGAAGACACGACTCGGTAGGGTTGAAATTAGTACATTTGGGCGCCCGCAACGTCATTCCCCAGTCTTTATTTGCGAATCCTGGCATTTGCGCCGATATGTGGCGGTGCAGGGGATATGCTTCCGTGTGTGGCTATGCAGATCATGTGGCGAATGCTTTTAATGTCTGCCTTAGTTACATGGTCGACATTCATGGTCGTGGCTCAGGCGCGACTTGACTTTATAGAAAGTTTTTCATTCTTATACATTGTACTTACATCGTGTCGCTTTGAAATGGTCAATCTTCGGTGTGACTGTGTGCTTGCCTTATGTATGAATAGCAAGATCCACTTTCAAGCGGTTTAATAAAAAAGCATGGCCATCATTGGCGAGACTATCGATCATGATATCAAATGCAATTCTTCATCATTTCTTCAATTCTAACTAAGCCGCAGTTACAGTAAGGAGCTTCGCATCTGGAGGCTCTTGTTTATCAAAACGGTTGACCTCTTTTAATTTCCCTCATCAATAGGCGCACATATTATTACGTTAACGAATGCCACGTGATTTTGATTTGATATGCGCCCAATGACCTGCCATGAGTACAGATCCAATTAGGTGGGCATGATTTGCAAGTACCCATCATAGTAGATCCAAATAAGAGCAGCCATCTCTGATATTGGGAGAAAGCGAAAATCTTCCCATATATTGACAAGATCATAAGACACATTGTTCCGAGTATCCATACTTCAACACCGGCAGTATCCGCCCCCGAACACCTGGGCGCCACCGCCTGACTCAGCCGTCGTCACTTGGGCCGTTCTCAGTTCCGCTTTCCACCCAAGCTCCCCCCCCATCTCGGTGAATCTGGCTTCCTACTGCCCTCACTGTGGTATTCAACGCCTTTCACTTTAAATCTTCACACCTCCACCCGTCTCACGGTTTATCAGCAATCTTCCCGTTGATCCTTGACACCTGTCGCGTTCGCGACAAAAGCAAAACACCTAGTTTCGGTTGTCTGTGCTGAGATGCTAAGCTTCGTTGCCCAGTATGACCGAAACAAAGATGCAACTAGAAGACTGTGAGATTTTCGCCTATATCGGCCTACCTTATTTGTGACTAACTGAGGGCCGTCGCGCCGCAACAGGGCTGGATGACTTATGTGTCCGCTTCATTATCAACCTACCCCGTGAGGAGCTCGAATCCGTGGAGCGAATCTGTTTTCAAGTCGAAGAGGCACAATGGTTCTATGAAGATTTCATTCGCCCACTTGATCCTGCGCTACCGAGCCTCTCTCTGAAAGCTTTCGCTCTTCGCATTTTCCAACACTGCCCTCTTATGTCCCAATGGTCCCATTACCATCACCAAACCGCCTTCTCAGAGTTCCTGGCCTACAAAACCCGCGTGCCAGTGCGTGGAGCGATTCTGTTGAACCAGGATATGGATGAAGTTGTATTAGTTAAAGGCTGGAAGAAGGGTGCCAACTGGAGTTTCCCGCGAGGAAAGATCAATAAAGGCGAGAAGGATTTGGATTGCGCCATCCGTGAAGTCTACGAGGAAACTGGTTTTGACGTGCGCAATGCCAATCTGGTGGAAAACGACGATGCTGTCAAGCATATCGAGATCTCCATGCGCGAGCAACACATGCGACTTTATGTTTTCCGTGGCGTTCCTCGCGATACTCATTTTGAACCACGGACGCGCAAAGAAATCAGCAAGATTGAATGGTACAAGCTATCAGAATTGCCGACACTCAAGAAGAATAAACAAGATGATGGGCTAGCGGTGGCCAATGCCAACAAGTTTTACATGGTTGCGCCCTTCCTGCACCCGCTGAAGAAATGGATCTCGCAGCAGAAGAAACATATGTCCAAGGCTCAAGGTGGTGCCGCTTCCTCTCAGAATGAAGGTTACACTTCAATCGACGAAAGTGGGTTCCAAACAAGCGATTCGATGTTTCCGTCTGCCGCTGCACATGGTGTTCCGAGCGATCTGCCTGAAGTGACCTCTGTTGAAGATGTCTCGTCTCATCTCAAGCGACTTCTAAATATCAATGGAACTGTACCAACGCCAGCACAGGTTCAAGCCGCCCAGCCCGCACAACCTGCAGCGGTAGACCAGTCCAAATCAAATGCTTTGCTTGAGTTGTTGCGACAGGGCTCCCACGAAGCTGTTACTCAAGTTCAGAATGCTGCCACTGCCCCAACAACATTGCCTATGGCGCATGCACCTCACTTGGCGCCCAACTTCTTCCCCGGATTCCCCCAGCAGCAACAGAACATGGCCCCAACAAATTTCATGCAGCAGACATCGGCGCAACCCTTTTATCACGGTCCGCCACAGACAAACATGCAACATGCTCATTTCCCCCTGTGGGCCACCCAGAACTTTCTGGGTCCCCCGCTGTTCAACAAATTCATCCAATGCATACCCCGAGCTATCAGAACCGCCACCCTGCGTTTCAAGCCCATGCCTCGGCATCCCAAAGACAAGGCATGGCTCCGTTCCAGCAGACCGGGGATCCTCAATTTTCCCAGCAGGCCCAACCACCCCGGACTATGGGGGCAAGAGTGCCGCCGGCAAGTAAGCTGCCTCCACCAACGCTTAATAGTCACTCACTTGCATTACTGGATGTCTTCAAAAACGAAGCCTCCCAAAGCCCGAAAAACCCTCAACTTGCCACCCTTGCCGCTCCCGAGCAGGGCCTTGTCAAGGTGCGGAAGACGTCACAACACCAAGACAGTCTTTTGAATCTATTTAAGGGACCGGCCACTTCACCTGCTCCTCCGCCGGTAGAGCTGTCAGGCAATCCTGTGCCCCAAGCTCCAGCCGCACCTGCTGAGATCCAAATCCTCCAGCGAGCCCACCAGCAGGCAAGCCCGAACCCGCAGCGAGGACCCGGTACATACAAACAGGGTCAGGCTGCGGCCACTGTCTCTGGGCCCTTGAACATGCCACAGTTCGAGGCTATTTCCAAGCCAGCACCCAGGAAGGGACCGAATGGACCTAGTCGGAAGAACAACTTCAGCCGACGAGATCAGCATCAGACACAACAGCTCTCATCTCCCATTACAATTTTGCCACGGCCACAGTCGTCGAAGCGTGATGCATCCATCTCCGGACTCAACATGCAGACAACTCAGCCTCCGCGTCAGTCTCCTGCTCCGCAACCGCAAGCTCCCGAGCCAATAAAGCCTTTCCAGCCACAGATCTTGCGGCGTTCTGAGAGGACAGGCCATGAGGAGTTAATGGTCAAGACCACGAAGACTGAAAGTGTTGACCGCAGAAGTCCGGCCCTGGGTGTACAGACACAGACACAGACGCAGACACAGACGCAGACACAGACGCAGACACATACACAGACGGTGGCTCCTCACAGCAACTTTGATCGTCGACCCAGCCAGACAAGTGCCCAGAAGGAGGCTCTCTTGTCTCTGTTCGGCAAACCTGGTCTTTCTCCATCTCCCACATCCGCTGCTCAACCAGACCACCATGCTGCAGCAGTCTCAGGGCTGGTAAGCCCACTTTCCTCCCGTCATTTCCCCAGCAGCGGTGAATCTCCCTCACGTCATGGTACTCCCTCCGAGACCGATATGGTCCCCAATCGCATTGCATCACCAAATCACAAGGCGTTTCTTTTGGGGTATTTGCAAAGTGCAGCCAAGGGTGGCAAATAACTGTTTTCCATTTTCGACTATGCATTGTTCTACTGGCCTGAGAGCCATTTGTGATTATTAGACCCAGATACACCAATCCTGACACATTTTGTCGAGAAAATGTTTATTTGTAAAGCTCAAGCTTGAAACTCCTGGCCATCGTGGTATCTCAACATGGACAATCATGTCATTCCCAATCACAGCCAAAGTATGAAAATTCAATTATAAGAACTAAGATGACAAGAATCAATGAGCTAGTAACGCAGACTTCTGATGGGGCGAAAGGTCCGCTAATGAACACGCCGCCAGTGCTCTTCCATATTATCCTTCCTGTTGAAAGACCTCTCACACTTCTTGTCCGGACACTCGAATGACCGCGGAGTAACATGCTGAGTTTCAATATGGCGCATTAACACAGCCTTCCGCGCGAATAAGCCAGGATATCGACAATTTATCCATTTGCATTGAAAGGGCCCACAAGGATCACTAGGGAAGGAACATCAAATAGTCAAAACGACATTCCGCGAAATGAGAGATTTGTTGAATGGTGAAATCCTACATCTTTTTCAAATCCCGGCCACTATGGAGATTCTTATATTTCGCATCATGAAATTCTTCATTCACCGGCTGAAGTCTCTCGTCCGCGGGAGGAGTGTCCTCAGTATAAGGCGTAAAGGGCGGCGTGCTTGCGCGATAGGCATGGTATCCAGAGTCATGCGAAGATCGTGGATTCTTGCGGTCTGTTTCATTGTTGGGACCCGTCATTATGGAGGAGCTATTATCATTCAGATAGCAGGAGGTAGGTGGAAGGTGAAGCATAAGACTCGGGTCATGGGATAAAGGAGGAGCTTGAAAGAAGGGCCTGTATAGATGACTTTCCGAAGGCGACACTTTTGATTCGGTGAAGCAGAAAGATTGGCAGGTCAAAGAGTTTGGAGCATATTTGAACTGTTCGTCTCTCCAACTTGGATTCCCAGGCAGCCTCATAGTAGTTTCAATCCCATGCGAAGTCAATGCCATTCTGAACAAGGTTTGATGGGGCGTCATTCAAGTTGGATTTTCCATTTTTCAAAAGAATAAATTAAAATGACATGAGAGTGCTTGAGATTTAAATGTTTGCGCCGAAAAGCTCATTGATCTAGACGGCAATGGCCTTGGGGCCAAGCTTCCTGCAGGTGCAGGCAAAAAGCGGTATTGTATTCTCTGCCAGAGCAAAATGTGGGGGAAACACCCGGGTGAAACTAGCCTGGTTCTAGACCGATGCAAAAGACTTTAAGGCCGAGGGTTCTAGACCTCTGCAGATCAGTCTGAATTATCATTCAAGTGTAGCCTGGATCCTTCGAGAGGCGCTTCTCAGATCGATCGTGGTTCTAGACTTGCACAAAGTAGCGGTATAGTTCGCATAGGTGCGGCCCGAACTTTGCACTAAAGTATTTGCATCGTGAAGATTGCTCATAAGCCTCTTTTATGCAGCTAGCAGATGTCGACCATGGGCTAGACCGAACTATTTCAATGTGATCCTTTCGAATGAGGACCTTTGCAGCAGAATGGGCTGTCGAAGCGAGATGACGGTGTTGATCGATCCAACGCGCGATTCTGCCAATGCCCACCGCTCAACGTCATTCTCCGCGGGTCAAATGAAATACATCGATTCATATTGGTCCCGCTTTACACTCCTAGTTGTGCAAACATGATGCGCCCCCATCTTTCAATATGCAACCGCTGCCTGGGACGCAGCCGGTTATTCTCAACAACAGCTTCCAAAGCTGGAATCGCCAACAATGCAGCTCTCCCCCCAGATGCCGGGTACGCTCAACTCACGAACCGAGGCCTCATCTCCATCACCGGTATCGATAGTGCAACCTTCCTTCAAGGCCTGATGACACAGAACATGCTAGTGGCCAATGACCCAAACAAGCCAGTCCGACGCACAGGAACCTACACAGCCTTCCTCAACTCTCAAGGCCGCATTTTGAACGATGCATTCATCTACCCTGTCCCAATGCCAAATGGCAACGAACTCGAATGGCTGGTTGAGGTGGACAAAAGCGAAGTGCCGATTTTGCTCAAGCATTTGAAGAAACACAAGCTGCGTGCAAAGCTGAAGCTCCGTGCCCTCGAAGACGGAGAGCGCACCGTCTGGTCGTCCTGGAAGAACCACGAGCAGCCGCGGTGGGCCGCATACAACCTAGAATCGGATTCGACGGCAACATCTCCTTTTACCCACTCATCCGATATTATTGGATGCATTGATACTCGCGCTCCTGGATTCGGCTCTCGTATTATAACACCCGGCTCGGAGGACCTGCGCACCCATTTTCCGGATGAATCAGAGCTTGCGGGATCACAGGTCGGACTCGATGCATATACCGTGCGGAGGATCCTGAATGGTGTTCCAGAAGGCCAATCGGAGATCATTCGCGAATCGGCCTTGCCGATGGAGTGCAACATGGATATGGCGCGTGCTATTGATTTCCGCAAGGGATGCTACGTTGGCCAGGAGCTGACGATTCGCACCCACCATACCGGTGTAGTACGGAAACGCATCCTTCCCGTACAACTGTATACCCAAGAGATGAGCACCGCAGATGGCCCAGTATTTGAACCCTCTGCCGAGATTCCATCGCCACCTGTTGGAACAAACATCATGAAAGCCGGTGGTCGCCGAGGCCGGAGCGCTGGCAAGTTCCTGAATAGCGTTGGCAATATTGGCCTTGCTTTGTGCCGTCTTGAGATGATGACGGATATTGCTCTCACTGGGGAAGGAACGCAGTATACCCCCGGAAGCGAATTCAAGCTCTCGTGGACTAGCGAGCTAGACCAGCCCGTGGAAGTGAAGCTACAGGCTTTTGTTCCGTCCTGGTTAAGGGAACACATTCAGACTGGGGGTGTGCGGAAGGCGACTGCACGGCCTGTCGATACTGACGGTGAAAGGGCGCGCGACTTCGTGGAGCAGCTCGAGGAAGAGGAGGAGCAAGCGCACCGACGAGCGGAATAGAACCGCATCCGATCCTGAATAATCCTTGTATAGTATAAAAGACTGTAAAAGCCATGTAAATAGTCAATATATCCCACTTCATTATCCTACTTCAGCAATGAACCGCATAGCCCGCCTTCCAAAGTTGTAAATCTACGGATTGCACCTGGTATTCGGGGCATTAGGCCGTACTTGTCATAGTAATAATCCATCAAACAGCTCGTATCTCTATTCGGCCTAACATTGGTGGGGGTATCTTAAATGAGCCGGAAATCTATATAAAAAAACAAAAAGAAGCCTATGCACATAAATGAACTCTCAAGCTCCATTGGCCTTGGTTGAAGCCTCAGCAGCATCCGCAGCTTCATCTTCCCGTGCAAGTTCCTCTTCTAGAGCTTTGCGTTCCTTCTCACGCTGCGCAGCCTTCATCTTCATGAGAATTTCGTCTTGAAAACTAGGCATGCCGGCCGGCCTCGCAGATGCATTGAATGGGGATGCTTTCGGCTTCATAGAAGCAGCCGCAGATCCAAATGAACCAAACGATGGTGCTTTGCTCGAATTGGGCGCCGAGTTCAACCCCGGGAAGTTGAAGGCCGGAGCTGCAGCCGATTTGCTGGTATCGGTGGTCGAGGTCGATGGGTCAGAAGCCTGCGCCTTAGACGGAACCGAGCCAGCAGCTGCTCCCAGGTTCGGCCCATCACCCGATGCCCAACTCACCGAATCGATAATAGCCCAGTCACCATCCGCAGAACGGATCTTCTTCTCGCCATCAAGCACAGCCGCATGGGCACTGACAATAGAAGTGAAAACGATCATGCCAGTAGCCAAAGTGACCTTCCCCTTCTTCCCCTCCACCTTTTTCCTCTTATCCTTGAGTATGACAACAGCCTCAACAGCCCCAAACGGCGCAAAAAGCGACCTCAACCCCTCAGCCTCCAACTCCATCCCCCGTCCCTCCCGCACCCATCGCACTTTAACGGACCTTTCCAGCTCCGAAACATTCGTCTCCTGCGACCGGTCCACCCGCTGACTACTCCGATCAGCGGCCTTCCTCTTCTCTTCCTCTTCCCGCTCAATAACCTTTTGCTCTTCATCCAACTCCCGCTGCAACTTCTCCTGCGCCTCTTTCCTTCGCCGCCGCCCATCCTGTGCAATGCGCTCAATCTCCGCTGCAAGCTTCGCCTCGGCATCATTCTCCTCCATCCATGACCGTTTGACTCCTCGTTGCGCCGCGGCGCCTGCTCGTTCGCGCTTTTCCAGATCTTCGACCATTGACCGCCGGGCCGAGTCTAGCATATCGCGCTCGCGCTGCTTGCGCAGCCGGGCTTCGCGCGCATTGTCGTAGAGCTGTTTTACGTCTGGGTCTGTAAGGACATCGTGGGCAATTTGGAGAGTGTGGAACTTGTCGATGTCTGCTGGGGTTGGATTGGAGATCTTGTCTGGGTGGTATTTTAGGGCTGTGCGACGGTATTGGCGCTTGATTTCGGATAAGGTTGCTGCTGGGGAGACATCGAGGAGGGCGTAGAAATCTTGATCTGAGGCGGCGTGCGCCTTGAGGTCGTCTGATGACATTTTGGCGTGTTATCAGAGGCAAACGGGAAGTTTATTCGTGTTGTAGATCTTTAGAGACTGCGCCCGAGAATTGTGATTGATATAAAGGGAGGGGGTGAGTCCCTTTCAGGCGGTTGAGATATTTTGGAGTGGAGGTTGGAGAGTTGGAGTTGACGGTTGAGGGTTTCGGGGAAATTTGGTGAGTTGCGGCTCAGGCGGTGGCGTCATGCCCTAGATCTAGTCTCTTCATCTCTCGATTGCTTTGATGTTTCTGTTTACATTTGAGAACAGCACCTTTACCTGGCATATTTAGATATAATGCGTGGACCTGGCATCTACTGCCATGATCGCATATATATCGTGATAGACTCAACTTATAATTCGATTTGTAGATATATATCGTGAGCATGGAGGATCGTTGGCATACGTTGACAATTCCGAGTATTCAAATCGAGTCCTCAGGTTTGGCGAAATATGACTCTGACCTCGGCGATCAATACAACCATATCCCTATCATCAAATTCATGTCAAGCACAGGAGACTGGAGTCGGAAGGAAATCTGGCAGAAATTTGAGAGCATATGGTAGCCGTGACTTGACTTGTACAACACCGAACCCATCTTAATTAACCAAGCTGTCTAATTCCTGAAATGGAGAAATCAGGATTCTCAGGAGTTATTGCTCCAAGCAAAACCCATTTGGCCTTTGCAATCGCTATTGTGAAACATAAGCCCCCGGAGAAAGAAGTCAAAGGTGAGTACACGCCCAAGTTGTGATACCCATTACCAGAAGCTAATTTTCACAATGCGTATTTCGTCAGACTATATCCTGGATATTCGTCACTTTATCCGAAATGGTATGCAGGTCGAGTCACCGGACAAATTCTTTGACAGTGTCGCCTTCTGGCAAAAGGCATACAAAGAATCAGAGACAGAGCAAGTGAAGCTACTCAACAAAGTCTTCGAGTTGGAACAACGTACTCAGGATCTCCGGTCTAAAATCAAAGAGAGTCAAAATGCGGGCAATAGCTTTTCTCCATCGAACAAACGGAAAGTCCCCTCATCAGAGAGCCTGAAGAGTTTGCGCCCACCAAGAAAGAAGACTCAATCGCGCAACTCACAAACTCAAAAGGCCCAAACCACCGACAATGAGGATGATGAGAATCCTGATAATGCAAATGGTTCTTTTCAAATCTTCTGCCCACGGCATGAGAGCAGTCAATACTGACCATAGAGTAGCTCCGAAACTCATGAGACAACTATACACCGTCCAACGTGCTCTCCAAAAGAGGCATAACAGCAGACCACTTACGACCAATGCCGTGACCTTGTGTAAGATAACGGAGACAGAGATTTTGGAAGCTATGATTCGACTCAATACCCCAGAAAATCAATGGAAAATCCCTTCCAGTCAACAGGTCCCAAAGCCAAATCTGGTTGCCGTTACCAAAGCTGCAGAACTATCATTCAATTTGGTCCACAAAGCTCTGCACAAGGTGGTGGGGACACAGGAAGAAGATTATTGCAAGGGCCAGATTATCTACTACCTTGTGTGTCTATTTGAATCAACAATGGGTGCCCTCACTCAGATTTGTACGGCACCAACACGCAACCATTCAAGCGCGATTCTTCGAGAAACTTCAAATGGCAACAAAACGAAAGCCAAAGGTCAAAGAAACAGCCGAAAGAAAAAAGCCCCTATGTTTTCAAAAGGCGATAAGCTAGAGACTGAGAAGAATGCAGCTCAACGACTTCTGCTCGACCTGCTATGCACAATGGCAATGTCCCTCGATTTGGCACGAAGCGAAGATCAGGAGGTGATGGAGGGGCTTCTTTTCATTGCGATAGAGCGCCTGGGGAAAATGCTTGCACTGTTTGTCTTCGAAAACCACCCATTGCCATCAGACAGTTGTCCAGACTTGGAGGCTCCACAGGGCATTCGGGCCATGAAAGAGGAGGGAGTGACGCACAAGCTGGCACAACTCGAAGCGGAACACCTTGTCCAATTCCTCGACCGAGTTTTGAGCCCCCAGATTCCTGGAACGGAGATTATGCACCTCCGTTTTATTCAAAACACGAAGAAACGGCTACAGAAAACTCTTATGCAAGCAGTCTTTGGGGGCGAAGACCCGCTTTTTCGAGAGGGGCTGGTTCGTCCTGTAACGCCGCCGGCTTTGAATAGTAATGGCCGATCACCCGCTCGACAGGAGTTCCCTGAATGGTTTACTGAAGAGCTATGGCGCCTTGTTGGCTGGGATCTGTTAAGCTCCATCCCGGAAAGAGGATAGATTGGAATCGAGATATTCTTTGTTAGGTCTCATATATATTGGGTTATAATTACGTGGAAGGCAGGAAGGACAAGAATGGGGTTGGAGGGAACCGAAATGATGCAGTTGTGTCTTTTACCCACATGCTATATACAGCAGAATGAAAGCGTGTAGCATTTATTTTACTCAAGTCCCAGCTTCAGAACACGATTTGCGTTACTCCCTAGAACCATGCCAATTGAATCTGCCTGCTCATCCCCAAAGCAGCTCCGAATAGCCTTATAGTTCGTAGTAACGCTAGGCCACTTCTCATCTTCATCCTGCAGAGGTGGGAAAAACGGATGATCGGTACCTATCAGATTTTAGCCCAAGTTCAATGCAAAACCAATACCGGAATAAATCTCACCAAACATAAGACGATCATGACTTCCAGCCGCAACAGCCGCCTGCAAACCCGCAGAGCCGTAGATAACCGCATCAAGATATATATTTGTTTGCAAAACATCCCAGATACTACGCTGCGGCCCCGGCTCATCACCGCCATTAACAACAAACTTCCGCTCATGCATGATGCAGCTTTCAATCCTACCCGCCAGGAACGGAAGAGTCCCACCAGAATGAGCGAGCAGCACCCTCAGCTGCGGGAACCGATCAAACACCCCACTCAGCAACATCCGCGTCACGGCAATAGTAGTCTCCAGTGGAAAGCCCAGCGCAAGCGGGAGAACATGTCCGTAACGAGTAATGGCCTCAGGACCCCCAAACGCCTCATCTGGTAGACCGTAGTGCGGGTGCAGGAAAAGGAGCAATTGTGTTTCTTCCAACGCTTTCCAAATGGGATCCAATGCGGGATCATCGAGTCCCTTGCCCAATCCTGATGTGCCCATGATCACACCCCGGATGTTGGGCAGGGTGCTTAGCCTTTTGATCTCGTTAACGACGACACTGGGTGGCGCACTTAGTGGCAGAGCACCGAATGCGAAGAGAGTTTGTTTCTCCGTTGCAGACTTAGTTCCTTCTGGGTCAGAGGTCTGGTTCACCTGTGCACAGGTCGAGTCGAGATCATTGTTGATTCGCTCGGCCCATTCCTGTGCTTCAGGACTAGGGACGAAATCTAGCCAGGGATTTGCGAGTGAGATCACGCTGCAGTGGATGCCGTGCTTCTCCATAAAAGCTAGCTTGACGTTTATATCTGAGTAGGAGGTGTCGACTGGACGGCCTCGTTGATCGAGGGGAGTGGCTGGGTCATCATCTGATGATAGGATGATTAGACGGGGTTCACCTTCGGCTGGATCGTGGACGTAGGGGACTGTTTTGCGTGCGCGAAGCATCGCCATGTACGACGGTGGGTAGACATGAGTGTGGATGTCGACAACGAGCTTGGTTGCCATGATGGAAGCTGTTGTTTGGAGAGGATTGGGGGATCAGATGCGGAGTATTAATGAAGGGTGATAAGACCCGCAGATGCGGGGTTGATAGACCTGATAGACCGATAAACCGATAAACATATGCGATTAACGCTGATTAGGTAGATATGATTAGATTGTGTATCCTATCTAAGTGTTGGTTGCGATAGAGGCTCGAGTCGATAAGATTGTTTATCGGAAAGTGCTGACTCTGGATCCTTTTCATATGCTACTGGATTCTTTACGATGGCATGGGTTGAAACTCTGCAACACTACAACTTGGCTGATTTTCACAAGCTTGATTGGTACATTGTAATTTGCTGGATTAAAATAAAGCAAATAAGGTATCGCCCAGCAATTCCTCGCATAACATTAATCCTTCTGATTTCCGCCTTTGACGTCTTGCCTGCCCACAATTAATTTACCGCCAAGTATTCCCAGCCAGGAAGTGAGCTTACAAGACAAATTGGCGCTTAAAGTTGGTTACCAGCAATGGTAATGGGCTTCTTGTTGGTGAAGTTGGGGATATCGGCAAAGATGGAGCCACACTCAGGGTCCTTGAGGGCGTTGGTAGCAGCCTCCTCGCTCTCAAACTCAAGGTTGGCAGAGAGGTAGAATTGGGACTTGGAGCCGTCGAGGGAGGTGCTGTACTTGATGATCTTCCAGCTGATCAGACCGTGCTTCTTCCAGACCTTGTCAACAAGAGGCATGTGGGTCTGCAGGTAGTAGGTCTCATCGAAGGTGATGTCATCCTCGTTGGGGTACAGAACGGAAGCGTGGTAGACCATTTTGAATGATTGAGAAGAAATTGAAAGATCTGAAAAGCTTGAGATGGTCGAGAATGGTATATTTTGGTGGAAAGAATGAACCGAGAAGTGAGGGAGGAGGGGCAATTTGTACTTCAGATCTGCAGCTTAGATAATGTGACCGAGGTCCAGGAACAGAAATGTGGCCCCAACAAAGTCCGGTGGGGGTCGGATTAACCACAAAACAAACCTTGGATCACTAATATAGAGCTGGTTTGTAATACTTTCGGACTTCAATATTGTCCGTGATTTGTTGATTCGGAAAGGGTTCTGAAGCTAGTCGCTCATCATGCACGGGAAGAACGGCCCCAACTGGGGACGCTTAGCCGCATTGATGAGGTTAAGCTTGACAGCCGCTTCCTCTTGGGGGCGAAGCCGGACTGTAACTTAATGACCGCCCCATTATTGAAATCGTCGGCTAGTGCGCGCAACGTAATGCCATATCATCCCGAAAGAGGAAGTTGAAGTTCTTCGATGTCTCCATCGAACATGTTCGAATATGTTCGAGGATATTCCGTGGGATTGACTGATTACCAACCACCTACAAGGGGCTGTTGAATGCTTGGTCGGACAGGTGGAGACCGGTCTATACCTTTTGACATCAAGTCCAAGAATACTAAATAAGAAAATTATAAACCAAGCCAAACAAAAATCAACGCGGAAATCCCGTCCGCTATCGAATATCATTTTTTGATAAGAAGGATAAGACCCCCGATTAGATTTGCCAGTATCATGAACTCTATGTGGAGCTGGCTAATCAGATGTGGGGGGCCATCAAGTGGACGTTTTATCAAGATGTACTGAGCCCACGTGAACCAATGGACGAAGATACATAGGCATATGTCATTGTGATCTCAAAGTACTGTAGGGAACCTGAAGCCAAGGTCTCTATGATAAAGAGGTAGATGTATTAGATGTCGGTCCGAGCGCATAGAGCTTATCTCCACATTCTTATCTTGCTTCCCCTCTTCATTGTCTTTCCCCTACTTATCAATACTCTTAAGAAGCTTATTCCCTCTCTGTACAATTTCATTTGAACCAGAAATTGTGAAACATAACAGGGTTCTGATCCAATATGGCCAACGCCGCCCAAGAGATCCACCCAGCCTCCACCGCCGTCGAGAAAGACGACTTGGTGATACCTGTAAAGTCCCCCGATAGCTTTGCTTGGAATAGTCCTCAATAAAGCTCATTTGATTTCAGCTTATCGATTTCGGCCCTTTCTTCTCGGGGACCCCGTCCGATAAGCATGCGGTCGCTCTCTCCATTACCAACGCCTTCAAGACCTCTGGATTTCTGTACCTCAAGGCTCATGGAATCCCACCATCCGTCATATCCCGAGTCTTTGCCTCATCGTCCCGCTTTTTCAGTCGATCTCAAAGTCAGAAGGACAGTCTTGGCTGGACTACCCCACAGTCGAACCGTGGTTACATCGCAACCGGGCGGGAGAAGCTCGCCCCCCTCGAAGAAACAGAGGGGATTGGTACACTCCGCGGCTCCGCACCGGATCTAAAGGAGACGCTGGAGATCGGTCGGGAAGGTGTTGAAGGCTTGCCGAATCACTGGCCGGACCATCTCGATGACGAAGGCAAGGAATTTAAGGAAACAATGTTGTCGTTCTTCGAAACATGCAAGACTCTACACCGACAAATAATGAGTGCGATTGCTCTTGGCATGAATCTGCCTGAGCATTTCTTTGATGGCTTCGTCGATGAAGGCGACAATAATCTGCGTCTGCTGCATTATCCGCCTGTCCGGAAGGAGGTCTTCAAAGACAACCCCAATCAAGTTCGGGCGGGCGAGCACAGTGATTATGGCTCGGTCACATTGTTGTTTCAAGATCGGCATGGTGGTTTGCAGGTGCGCAGCCCGAAGGGCACGTTTGTGGATGCAACTCCTATTGCCGATACTATCGTTGTCAACGCTGGAGATCTGCTAGCTCGGTGGTCCAACGATACCATCCGCAGTACTCGCCATCGAGTAATCCAGCCACCCATGCCCGCGGGCGAGGATGCTGACGAGTCCGACTCGTATCCCTCCCGATATAGCATCGCGTACTTCTGCAATCCTAACAATAATAAACTGATCGAGGCACTCCCGGGGACATACGGTGAAGGTATGCAGATAGAAAAAAAATATGCCGATATCACCGCGGGGGATTACCTAGTCTCGCGACTGACGGCGACTATCTGATACATACTCACCAGTGCCATTGATACCCAGTTTCATGTCAATTACATCGAGCACTGCAAGAGCCCATCTCGATTCAACCAATCTAATTTAGAAGTTATCTATCACATCTATGTAAAATTGATCAACCGGCCCGGCATTCATTGTAGATCAATACGTAGCGGGTGCAACAGAGAGTCGGCCACCATCGGTAACAACAATATTACCATTTAAGTAACCACCCGAGGCACTCGCCATCCAAACAACCAACCCAGCCATATCCTGTTCCGCTCCACCCCTCGTCAACGGAATCATTTCTTTCGGGAATGAACCATCCGAGATTCCCGGACCCTTGACGCCTTGAGTCTCGAAGACATGCTCAGCCATCTCCGAGTGGTACAAACCAGGGGAGATCCCATTGAAGCGGATATTGTACGGGGTGAAACTCGTAGAAAGCATCTTAACAAGATGATGCACGGCAGCCTTGGACGTATTATACGCATAACTGAATGGCGGCCTCCGATGGAATCCTGCAAGGGAACCAGTGATGACCACCTGTGCCGTCGGAGGGGACAGAACACCCTGCTGCGGCGCCGCCCGTCTCTTATTCGCAGCCTCAAGAAGAGGAAGGAACGCCAGAACAGTATAATAAGCGCCCGTTACATTGACATTCATCACGTTGGTAAACTCCCCCATGGGGATATTATATAGCTCATCCCGGACCTCCGTGATGGAAGGAAAGGACCCATCTGCTTTGGGCTGAGGCGAACGCATCGTCGGACCCATGATTCCGCTGTTTGCGAACAAGATATCGACGTGGGTAGTTTGTGCTGTGATCTTTTGGTACGCTGCTTCAAGGGAGTCTTTGGAGGTTACATCGCACTGGACGGGGATGACAATGCCCTCCGGAGCCTGCGCGGCCGTTTCACGGAGAGCGTCTTCGCGTCGGCCGAGGATGAAGATCTTCGAGACTCCGTTGACTGCTAGTGCACGGGTGATGATGCGGCCCAGGCCTGATGAGTCGTGTCAGCGGCGTGACTCTTGTGGTTTGAAAAGAGTGTTGGTACTTACCACTACCTCCTCCGGTGATCACCACTACTCGGTCTTTGACTGAGAACAACTCCGATGCTTGTAGGTGCGACATTTTGCTGATTCCTTTGCCAAGATTGACTGGTGTTGAAAGATGTGGGCAAAGAGTGAGTCAATGTGGCAGACTGGCGGTATTTCTAATCCCCTCGGCCTTATCCTTATCCCCGCACTGGTGGTCTCGTCATTCTCCACTTGCGATCTGCACTGGCTCCACCGAGAATCCACTGGCTTTGAGGCATACCTTGCTTTGCTACTAAGCATTGCCACGTGTGTCGATCTTTGCATTCGAGGATTGCGCTCGAAAACGTTGATTTGGACATTGGTTATGTAGAATGAGGATCGAACCAGCGGGGGAGGACCCAAAGTTTATCAGACTGATATCGGCCTTCGAATGCGCCGGACACGTGATGTTTTTCCTAGCATCATTCCACGAAGTTATGCTTCCTGCTTTGTTCAAACTACTCTAACCGCTGGTCAATTTGAAAGCCGGGCTATTCCGGACCTAGGACATGGCATTGCTTCTGCTCTGGTCCATGGATAAGCTACGACGTCATCGCCGAGATAAGCCGTCATTATTGACTCGAGCGTCGAGCGTATGGCAGCGGTGAATATTAAAAAGCTATAATTAGTATTTTAACGCCTTCCAGATACATTTAACTTTTGGTTGTGTAATATGCCGATGTTTTTCAGATGACTTCTGGCAACAAAGCAAATATCACTTCGCTAAACATGCAAATTCCTACAGAACCGCTCGCAACCAGTCACCAAATGCATTGACCTACCGAACTTTGAACTTGCTGACACAACCCTTTGAGCGACTCGGAGTATATCCCGTGAGGTCTTAATCATGACCGGACACTGACTTCAGTTGTAATAACCCTGATGTTCTGCGCGAGAGCATGGGAGGAAACCGGATCTGTAAACCATTAGTTGCGTCAGTCAAAGCTATTGTTTGCTCGAGTTATATAGGACATGAGTTGCACATGCCCGCAAGTTCTTGGCCGTACGACCCCAGACACATTTCTATTTAATTTCCAAGATTTCTCCATATTCTGTGTGAAACCAAACGCTGAGAATACTCTTGACAATGATTCGGGACTCTCTTGCGTTGGGCCTGCTGGGCCTGTTGACCTTAGCATCTGCATTACCGAATGAAATAGTGGCTAGGGAAACCTCATCGAGTGCTTCAATCTCGGCGCCACCTACCCGGTCTCATCCAACTAGCCTGCCGCATTCCGCATACAACGGAACCGCGACCGTTACTGGTGCAATTACAGCTTCATCCATTGGAACTGGTATACCCCCCGGTAGCGTTGCGCACAGTGCAACGACTTACCCAAGTGACGGGAAACTTCACAATGCCGAGCCGGCACCTTTTGACCCGGCCGGAGGCATTGGAACCAACGGGTCAATCCCGGTGTACAACGCCAAGAGTGACTTTGATTATGAATCCTTGGTATGTTCCGCGATCTATACCCTCCCAATTGCTTTGCAAAAGGTCTAACAATCAAGCACAGGCCCTCGCATTGTATCAAGAGTGGATTGAACTGGATCTGTTCCAAGATGCGTTGAGGCGGTTTTCATTGAATGATTTCAAAGCCGCTGGGCTGACGTCCAAGGACCGAGATCTGATCGCATTCATGGCCCAACAAGAAGTCGGCCATGCAACCTTGATCAGTAACATGCTCGGTGCTAAAGCTCCACAGCAATGTGCATACATCTACCCATACACCACCGTGCCCGAATTCATCGACTTCGCTCAGAAGCTGACCCGATTTGGCGAAGCCGGTGTATATGGGTTCCTAGCACATCTTGACTCGCGCGAAGCAGCCACACTACTCACTCAATCCATCTCAACCGAGGCACGCCAGCAGTTGATCTTCCGCCAGTTTGAGGGCCTCTTCCCCATGCCGGAATGGTTTGAAGTCGGCATCCCACAGTCATGGGCATGGACACTGCTTGCACCATATATTAGCTGGTGCCCGATGAACCAGACTCGGCTTGTATGGCAGAACTTTCCCGCCCTGAGAATCCTCAATCAACCTAGTTTGTCCAGTGGGACAAGTGGTGGTAACAACGCATCCACGGCTCAAAATGTTACTCTCAGCGCAGGCACGAATGTAGTGAAAGGCGGTAGAAGGAAAAGAGCCTCGCCCTCGGGTCGGGACTGCGGTGCTACAGTCAGCACTGACAATGTCGCCCCACTCTCTTACCCAGGTCGTCAGGTCGCATTGCAGTGGGAGAGTCCGGGGAAAGCTGTTGGGCCAAACAACAGTTATGTCACTACCTCCAAGGCAAAGATACCCAAGTACGTGATATGGGTTTCGCAGCTCAATATCACGTACACGCCGCTGAAGGTTAATGGAACGCGTGGACATACTATTCAACCGAATTTGCAGACGTATCAGGGTGATCCGGCGGTCAATGGGACGATGTTTATTGCGATTACTGACTCGGACCCGGTTGTGAGTCCGTTCAATCTCAGTCTGATCAATCCGCATATCGTTGCTGGGCCGGCTATCTACCAGGCGGGTTGAATATCGTACTGAAGTTCACACTCCGAGATTGTTCGATATGGAAAAATTGAGGGTTCAAATGTACTGTACTGGAGTAGATTGTGAGATAATGTACTTGGGCATGATTTCTGGATTTCAGACCGAGAATATGATGGTGATTTCAATGTTCAGCAAAATACCGTGATTCAAGTCGTGTTCATGCATCGCTAAAAGTAGAGAACGCTTATATATACACTAGGTAGGAGATATTATTTGCCTTTAATCAGACCGTGACACACGACCAAACACCAGTTCTCCAAAGAAGTAACCGACAAGCACCGCGAAGAAAAACCCGACATTCATGGTCATCACTGCAATCATGCTGAACAAACCAGTAAGCAATATGTCATCAATGAAGTTCCAGAGGGAACATTGGCTTACAGTAAATATGCGATACCTTGGTGAACCATTCGTAGTGCCGCTCGAGGCAGATTGACCGAAAGCCGCCATGCCGACACAAGATCCGCTTGTGTGGGTTGATCTTGACCACCATTGATCAAAATTGAGTACCTTGCATTCTTCGCCGCCCAGAACGCGTCTAGCTTGGAAAGCATCGCAGCTGAGGCCCGCCATATCACGGACAAGAAGAAGAGAAAGAACCATGAGCCCACGTAGCCCGCAGTGGTAGTTGGCATCCACGACTGGGAGAAAAGAATTGCAGAGAGGTTGTCGGTGTTGAATGCCATATCGGACACGCCCATGCTCTCGGATGTGGAAGACATCGTCATGCTGGAGGTGGTGGTGGTGGTGGCCGTCGACATGTCCATTGCGAAAGAGACCAAGTCCGATTTTTATCAAGGGGCTAGACGGGATGAACGATGAGCATGCTCGATGTGGAGTTAGTGAAAATCAGAATTGGAGAAAAAAACGGGGATCCCGAAGTCATCCCTTGCGGCAGAATAACGCGACACGTGGAGACTGAGCAGATTAGAGGGGCAGCATCAGGTGAATCTCGATTTCGAAGCCTGAAGATGCTTCTAAGCGTCGGATTCCGTGTCTCCGCGTGCTTGTTCTTGGTTGTGGTAGGTCAATTCGTAAACTCCCGCAAATGTGCTCAAAACTAGACCCGAAACGGCGGAGAAGGCTTGATCGTGTCAAGCTTCAATATCCGACAGGCCAAGGGACCCACCGGCACTCGTATCAGTCCTCTGAGTTAAAATCTATTCTTAATCGATGGATCTTCCGATCAGAGAATATTTTCGCGTTCCTGTCTCATTCATCTCGTCGCACCACGATGGACATGAATATGGACTCAGGCATGTCGGGGGGTCCCGACCTGACAGATGAGGGACTGGACATGTCAAATTATACCGTGGCGTCGGATTTCCTATCCGCCCTGTTGGATGACTCGACCCTTCAGCAGACAGATTATGCTATAGCCCGTGCCTTTTGGTACGGCATTGTCATTGTGATCGTGCTCGTCGGTATAGCTCACTGGACACAATGGGCTACCCTAAAATTACGGTTGGTTACTGCTAAATATGCTATAAAAGGATCCATCGACTGACTCGCTGATATAGATTGCGTGCTGCGGCAGCGAATCGTGCCCGGCCTTCGAGTCCTTCTAATCGAGTCACTTCCGCATTGGCGGGCTGTACAGCGGTGATACGGGAAATCTCCTATCACCAACTCACTTTTACAAACTCATGGCTGCGGATCCCGACTATTGGATCCATTGTACTTATTTTGGGTTATTTTGGGTATATCATGGGATTGCAGTTCTATGAATGGGATTATCCCGGTGCACAGTATTGGCAAGCTCAGAGCATTCGGGCCGGCTGGCTGACAATTGCCCAATTCCCACTGGTTCTGCTTCTTGCCGGAAAGCGGAATTTGATTGGATATGCTGTGGGTGTCTCATATGAGCGCCTGCAGATTCTGCATCGTTGGGTGGCTCGAGTCATGCTGTTGACTGCCACCATTCACGGCGCTGTGCAAACATATGGATGGCATAAATATGGTGTGATGAAGCTTGAATTTGATACCGATAGCTGCATTCCTACAGGTATAGAAAGCAACTCCAATTCTGCATTGAATTTAGACTGACAGTGAATAGGCTTTGCGACTTGGATGATTCTTGTCTGGCTAGTCTTGTCTGCAACTGCGCCCATCCGCAACTGGCGTTATGAAATATTCGTTGCACAACATATCATCACGTTTATTGGCCTTGTTGTGGCTATTTTCTATCACTTGCCATCCACTGCTTTGAGCTCACGGTATGTATTTCCTCACAACAATTCCGTTCAATTACTGATCCGTAGTAGGATATACGCTTGGATCGGTGTCGGCCTCTTCATACTCGACCGTATGATTCGAACTATCATCTACACATACGTCAACGCGAAGCCGGCAAAGGCTACCATAACTGAGCTTCCCGGCGACGTCACAAGAATTCGCATTGCATCCCCCCGTATCAAAAAGTGGAGTCCAGGCCAGCACATCTTCCTGTCAATTCCGAAGCTGGGACTCGGACAGTCACACCCAGCTACCATTTTATCAACTCCTTCATCCCACAACAATGATCTCGTCTTCCTCCTACGAGCCCACCGTGGTTTTACTCGGCGACTAATTCACTCCGCCAAATCCTCCTCGACTAATCTAATAGAAAAGACTGAGGATACCCGAACTGTTCAAATTGCAGGGCAACACCTCTCCCTCCTCGGTGGACCATACGGAGGATCTCAGTCTGATTTCGCGGCCTTTGACACCGTCCTCCTGATATCTGGGTCCACGGGTGTTACATTCACATTATCTATCCTCCTCGATATTGCGCAGAGAGTGAAGACTCAAAAGCTTCCTGTCCGGCGTTTAGTCTTTGTTTGGGTGATCCGAACTTTCTCATGCACAGAGTGGGTCGCCAATGAATTACAGCAAGCAATGGAATCACTCATAGACGCCGGTATCGAAGCTGAGATACGCTTCTTTGTTACCTGTGACGCAGAGCCATCAGGGCCATCAGAGAAGAAGATTGGTTGCCCATGCAAGAATATCGAAGGGCCGTGCTGTTGTAGTGGTATTGGTTCCTCTAGTATTGACGTGCTTCCTGATCCTATTGTCGGGTTAGAGGATAAGAAGAATGTCACTTCTTCATCTATACCTCAAGACGCAGCGAACACCTCCGTGCCAATACCAGCCTCTGGCTTTACATCTGGGCGGCCGGTATTGAAGCCCATGCTCTGGGATTTGCTAAATCATGCCAGGGGCGAGACCGGTGTCGCAGTCTGTGGGCCCTTGGGACTGGTTAGTAATGTCAGGAACACGGTAGCTACAGTCAGCGAAGAGCGCGGATCAAATAAGGGGACTGGGGCCGAGGGAGTATATTTGCACGCTGAGAACTTTGCATGGTGATTGCCACTGCATATATTTGCATCAAACTTTGTACAGGACTGCTGTGGTTAATGACACGACATGAATATGAATACCCATAATCAATATACATTTCATGAGTGAAGATTGTTTCGTTTATTATCTATAGCGTCAGCTTCATCTAAATATCGTACATACTACCTACCATCACAAGACCAATATTCAGATATGATATCCCCATATGTCTCCATCAAGGACTGAAAAGCCACACCGGCCGTCTGAGATCCTCCGATCGATACATCGAGAGAAAGAAGCGCTTTGATCAATGCGTCGATTCTGCCATTCCCAGCATCGTCGTAGCCAAGAAAGTTCGTCTCGACTATCGGATCTTCCAAGCTATAGGCATTCATAACGTGCAAATCTATACTATGCTCCACAGCCTTTGCAAGTGCTGAAGTCATGAGACTAGGTGTAACATGATATGCAATGATAGGAGTCTCGGAACCAAGGCTGTTCTGAATATTGAAACCAGCCTCATTCGGTAGTGCAGACACGGCCTGGATTATATGCGTCATAGATGAAACAGCGACTTGGCGGCACAACTGTAACTGTGGGAAGATACTTGAATCACAGAACTGATTGATATCTTCGATGAATGGCAAAAGTGAGTCCGCGAGTACAAGTACACCAAGACTCCAGAATGAGATCATAGAAGCTATGAACACTGTTAGACAATTATTCAAATTAGTGTGACTGAGGATATCCCACCCACCGATAGATACTTTCCGAGCAAGAGAAAGACTTTCAAAAGATTTGGTGCAGTCCTGCATGAAAGGCTGATAAGTATCATGAAAATCTTGAACAGCCTTCACTACCTCGTGTATCGCTTCGGAAGTTTTGTTTGGAATGCCGGAGGTCATATGATCTAGCTTCTGAAGAGCTCCCCTAACATCGATAATTTGCCGCCAGATACAGAAAGACCGCACAGTTGCTCCATGGCAGATCGAATGGTCCTTGCTGTCTAGATCATGGTAGACAGGCTGTACTGGAGAAGAACTATTATTTCTTTGTTCTAAAAGGAATGTCAGATTTAGTAGTGATTAGATGACGATATCATTAATGTCGAACGCACCTTTCCCACGAGCTAAAATAGCCGGAAGCTTGCACTCATGACTGGCGGTGAGTGCTGCTCCTAAATCACGTATATATCCGCACCAACGAACTAGGCTTAGACTGGCCTCTGCAAGAGCAGCATATCTGGAAAAGGGACCTAACGTAGCACAGTATTGCATGACGAGTTTATCCAAAGTGGAAAGAGTTTGAAGGCCAATGTCAAGAAACTCATGCTCGATACCGGTGAATCCCAAACTGGCGTGAGCTTTCATCGGGATAGCAGTGCCATCAAACAAGAGAATTGCAAGCACAACCCTAAATGATCGGATATGCTGGCTAGCCATTATTTGGGATCTCGCATTGAACCAAGCATTGATGTACGTTTCCAAGCACGAATCACGATCAGATGGTGGTCGAGTATCCGACGAGGGTTGAGGTAAGGGTATCCATTGGAGTGCAAACACTCGAAGAACAGCATACAAAGCTGCGTCTGACTGGTTGCGCGCAGCAAGTTCTAACTTATTACCGTAGAGGCCTGCGAGATGATCCAAAAACCGCGCAGACCCGATCAAGGTTATATTGTAGGCATCTCCCTGATCAGCCGACGTGCTTGACAGCCGGCCCGCATTAAGCTGCGGTGGAATAGAAGAAGCATTGCTTTGACGCGGTGAGTCTGAAGGTATAAGGTCCCCACCACTCTCAGCTAGAGCAACTTCTGATTCCGGCGAGGCGGAACTAGTAGAAGTGGTGCTGTCTTCTATCTGATACCGATTCTGCGTTGCGTATAAATTGCAATTGTAGTCTAGATATCTTGACGCGCATCCATCGACAATTATGTTGAATATTCGTGCTAGACGCGCGTCCAATATTGTTGCATCGAGCTTCGAGTTCAACAGATATATCGGGCTGCGTCGTGAGACCCCAAGTAAAGATAAAGATCTTGCACTCAAAGGTAAGACGGAGCGCTCTTTGCGTAGGTGGTTCGAAGCTAAGGTGGTTTGATTGCCAGATTGATACCCGTCTGTTGACGCATATTCCGGGCCAGAAATGAAATCCCCTGTGTGGTAGTTTTGATTTGATGACTCTGCGTCGTTATATGATGAATCATTGTCAATATTGAGCCACTGTTCGAACAAGTCTCCACCATCTAGAGAGCCGAAATCACCCGTTCTGCTTGGGATGTCATAATGGCTTGCTATATGATCCGAAGTATCGGGTCGTTTTCGCTGCTTTCTGCTCGCCTTTTTGCTCAGGCGCGATGTAGCAAAATTGAAAGTGCACGTATGGCCTAAGCGCTGGCAATGTGTGCAGGCTGGATTTGAGCTGTCAAGCATAACCAATGGAAAGGTACAGCGACGCTTTGATCGGCGACAGGGATCACAGCTGCTATTCTGGCGACGTTGTGGGGAGGCATGTGTCAATGTTTCAGGTGGCATACCGTTGGACATTTTGTCCTGCGTTGACCGTAGCCATCGAACGAATGTTGAAGCAATTATTACGAAGCAATTGTCATGAAGCCATTAATTGTATTCAATGACTAATCAAGTGATAGTTAACTTCGTTAGTTATGCCGTGGCTTAGAAAGCTGAAGCAATGAAAATCGCTACTAAGTAATCGCCTTTCCGTGTCTACCCGTGATTTGCAAAGATTCCGAGAATACCCGATACATATCATCGTCGAACTGGCATTGGTTTCATCAGATAGATAGTCAAGTTGGATTGCATTGAGCAACGGTGCTCAACAGTGATTTAAGCGAGCTTCCTTCCTATTCATTCCTCTTGAAATATCTTTCATATGAGATGACTATTTCGGCCTTAGGAACATCATCGACTACTACACTCTTTGATGCAATCGAATCCCTTTAGAGAGCAAGTTGGCTTTTAAGAAGCCATTTCATACGAAAGAAGGTACCATCGTGGAAGTGTCTATATGTTTATATACGGATCCAAGCTGCAGATTATTTGCCAAAATCAGGTACATGGAACCATGAACTAGTCCCGAATCCCGGTTAGGATGGTCATCATGCAGGTCCAAAGTCTACATGTCCATCGTAATAACAGCATAAAAGTTTCAAAAAGTTCTATAGGACATCTCTTCCACAAATTTAATCATATAGCCAAGTTGGAAAATCTCGATTCCAGTTTTGAAATTGTCCATCTGCAATTACCAAATCAGTCCCAAGAATTCTCAGTACTTTTCGGAAGAGAGTATTTAATTCGAGGTTAAAGAGCCACCTAGCCATTGTTCCATATCATCGTTCAACCTTGGGAGGCTTTAAGTCTAGCCAATTTCGATTGTATGCGACCGCCACATTGAGAAACCAGCTGGGGTCTGCTTCTGGTTGCTGTCAACTTGTCGTTAGGTTTCACCATGTGATGAGATATCTGTGACAGGTTGACATGGTTGATGTGATCATTGGTAATTCACTCACCTATTCCACTACGCCAGGATGTGATCAACCTATGGAGATGGGACGATAAGCGCTGCTCACGATATATGTAGCTTTCAGTTTTTAGGTTGTCTGTTTCGCATGCTGCAAGATGCCTGTTCTGTGAAATTCAAGGAAAGTGCTCCCTCAACTCTGAGAGAGACTAGCGTTATTTATCAATGTGTTGAGTCAACGCTTTTACTATGATTTCACTAGTCGCCCCATATGGCTCTGTCCCTATGACTGAAAGAACATCGGACTAACAAGTGGTACCAAAATTTCAACCGCAATCATCCTTCTCAACGCCGTTGACATGGAGGATCCCCCTTCAACTGAGGCTCTGACGCTAGAGGAGACTTCATACCTGTTTCACCACTTGTTCCTTCCGCCAAAACTTCCCCAGGCAGAAGATTACAATGCAGGTCATGAACACCTCCTGCTCAACATCGTCATCGATGCACTTCGCAGCTTCAGGAAATACGTTCCAAATACCACTGTCCTTCATCAGGTGACTGAGACTATTGCTCGCTTGAGAATAACGCATGGCCCACAAGGCGATGTTGATGAAACGCAACTCACGAAGAGTCTAACTGAGCTACCGGTTCATGGTAAGCATTTGAATACACAAATCGTTGAGGTCATTTCTAAGCAGGCAGTAGGTGGGTTCCTCCCCATTCACGTGCGACAGCAAAACGCGGGCATCCTCTTGAGCTGGCAGGACGATGCGATACACATAGAGTCTTTTGAACTGTCAGCTCGCAACGAGTCAGTTATGGTAACAGTGGGCCGACTGCGCCGTGTTTTTCCAGGCTCTACCATGCTGATGGATAAGGCTACTTTCGACGAACCCGGATTCCAAGAACTCATGGCCCAAACAATTGCACGGATGAGTCACCAGCGCGTTGCGGGAACCAAACCGAAAGTCAAGAAAGCGAAGCAGGAGCATGACGAAGACAGAGATACTACACATCCCAAAATGGTGACGGAGTTCCTCATGTCGACCCTCCGTCCTCGATGTACCGACGTCACGGCTGCACAAATCCAAAAGAATACTCGCGAGGAAGTGATGTGGCTTGACTGCCAATCTCCGTGGCGCCGATCCGCATTGTGGCTCTTGGTGCGCGTAGTCCTTCAACTAGTGTTCCACAGACTAGCTAGAAAAGAAAGCTCAGGTGATCTGTACAAACAGTTCATGGTCTTCTTTATGACGTCCATCGTTGACAGGGCGTCAAGTGCAATGCAGTCAGAGAGCCTTTTTCTCATGAATGCAAAGATTCTTCGCCGACTGCTAAAACTTGGCTTGACAAATGAGCCCGGAGCGTCCTCTCCCAGATCTTCAGACGCTGATTAAATGATTGAGAATTCAAAATTGTATCCCATTTTGCTTACTGCACGCTAGTTTTAAATACATTGCTCTTAAGAAAACGGTCGCCTTCAAGAAGTAGAAAAAAGGCTACTACATCTGATGGTACACATTCAAAAGCTATAAATTTGTATAGAGTATTTCTGTGAGTGAGTGTGGGAGATGTTCGAGGGAGATAGGAAGAGGACATATTCTGCCGCCATAAAGGGGTGCAGTACATTTAGACAGTTCCTTTTATTTGCACCACTCAATGCAGCCACAACATGATGAATGAAATGACCGCCTCATACAAACAAGAACAAGGTACGTGACTGGGCATTGGAACGGGATTGGCACCGTCTCTTAGTGAAAGATAGAAAACCGAGACATTGAATGTATTCATAATCGCGGACAGCATTAGAGCTAGAGATCAACTTCAAATATCCACGATATGACGATACCAGCTGATAAGAGAAGCGTTCCCGAAGTAGGCAGACTCGATTTTGCCGAAAAGCTAAACGGGACCATAGTCACATCTGGCCCGGTTAGCTGGATCATGGGAGTGAAGTACCACGTCGATGTGACCGCAAGCCATGTCATGACCCACATCAATCCAATGATCCTCTGCCACATAGCCGGCTCAATCTTTTCAGAACTAGAGCTCCTCTTATGAGCTCCAAAACGACCCCATAAATGCTGTACAAAATCCTCGAGCATAATTCCAGCAACGAAGATCATGTAAAAAGTAATCGACCCCGAATATTGAGGTGGAACACTTTGCAACAGGTCCACAATAACATGGTAAAGACTCGATACCAGAAACACAACGAAGAGATTGGTGTATCTCTCCAGAACCGATGATCGAGCCAGGCCCAGAAGATCTCGGGCAATAAACTTACCCAAGGCGGAGAAAGGTTGTCGCATAAACTGGTGCCAAAAGGTACTGTAGCTGTTAGAGAAGAATACTGGAGAAACAAGAAAGAAATGACTTACCCCCAGAAGTTTCGAAGGGTATAGGCTTCTTTCATCCTCCCCCAAGCCGGTGGCCAGTCCGATGGGGAGTCGTTTCCAAGACCAACACTCACGATTGAAAGGAGACGATACGCAGAGTCCCCAATGAGTCGATTCACCACGAACCAGATTGCTAGATGCGTGCCTGCTCGCTCACCCCACTGACGGCACGATACATTCCAATGGATCTCCCATGAAATTTCTTTCCTCTCGGAGGCCTGCTGGGCTGACAGCGTTTGAATAATATCGAGAGCCAAATATTGCCAAGCGAGGATTACAGATTGACGAAGCAAGAAATGGGATCGACTAGGTACCTGCATACCCCGCCGCGCATAATAACGGGGCTGAGATGGTATATTCTTCACTTGCCAAGGAGTATTGACCCCCCGAGTAAATATCAGAGCTCGAGTCGCTGCAAAAAAGTACGATATGGTGCTTTGCGAATTTTTGACCACCTTGGTTAGATCTTGGCGGCCCACGGGATTGAGTAATAACAGGTTGATCGCTTGCAGAACCACGATCACCAGCTGGCAGATCGCCTGGCACCAGGCCGGACCACCTGCAGGTGCAAAAGGTAGCATGAATCGGTTGGCGATCCATATCATACATGGTATGGCGAGATATCGAAGCGGTGATTTCTTCGGGGTGATGACGAGCAGGGCGGTCGGAATGGATATTTGAATGAGATAGAAAGCAAGAAAGTCTGCGATATTTGCCGTGGTACTTTCATGCAGTCCGTACATGTTCCCTTTCCAATGCTTAGATAAGTATGGCAGTTTAAGTTAACTACGCCACTTTCCCTGCACGTAATTCGGACGAGTGCCTGAGCTGGTCGCCTCAGGCACTCCCACGTGAAATGACCCACAAATATCAAAGAGCAAAGATTACGGAGGGACCAACCCCTGCAGAAGCGACTGCTCTGAAAACAAGAATGGGAAACCAAAAGTTGCCAAGAAATATATTTGTTTTACTGTGGAGTAGAGAATGTCTGTTCCCCTTCGCCACGACCACCAGCTGGAGATTCGCCAACATCTTGAACGTCCCTTCACATATGATTACTTAGAAGGCTTGTATGCCTCACCATACGACCAACCATCGACCTTGTTCAGAACCAGCTTATCCTGATCAAAGTCCTCCAGCATCCGAACCTTCACCACGGGTCAGCATAGTTTCATATGGAATGATTGGGTCCAGAGAGCCTTACATTCACAACAAGAAATGGAGGATCAGGCTGATCTGGGACGATAAAACAACTACTACCACACTCCCCGCAAAACTGGTGTCGAACCATACCAGTGTGGAATTTGTAATTTCTCAGCACATCTTGCCCGCTCTCAAGGGTGAAGTCAGCCATGTTGGGATATACAAGAAGATAGCCATTTTTGCGGCAAATTGAGCAGTTGCAATTGTTGACGGGGTACTCGTGCAAAGGGGGGGGAAATGGTAATGTTGAATCGAACGGCTCCACAGTGACAGTTCCCCTTGTGGGAACTGCTTTCGGAGGTTGGAGGTGGCCGCGGGTCGTGCATGGTTTGAGATGATTGGGTCTTTGGTTGATGTTTCTCGCAAGGTACTAATGGATCTGCTAGTTTGAGTAGTGGGATGGTTGCCCGTCAGCTCCGTACTGAAGCCTCGTTGGCGGTCTGGGCCCTGGTTGGGGGCCAAAAATGAGGCTCTATCCTCCAATGATCTACGCTGAATAGATGAGTCAGAAATGTACCTCGTGTGCAGGTTGACTCGGGTATCTTTTTATTCTATACATCCTTCAGAAAGCGAGTGGAGATATATACACAGACATCATCGGAATGACTAGATAGCCATTAGATATCATCTGCTGCCCGACGCAGACACTCCACAATAAAGCCCGGATTGCTCATAAACGGGGAATGGCCTTCCTCACACTCTTCCACATCAAATGCCCCCTCAGCCTGGGCAATAATTCGCCCTTGTACTGACACTGGTAAAGCCCGGTCGTTCTTGCACTTGATGTATGTGCATGGAAATTCAAGAAAAGGCGAATACGTCACGGGCACAGCCATGGGACCAGGAGGAAACGATCCCAAGAGATCGAGAGCTTTCTGTACCTCCTCGGGGTCACAACGGTTATAGAAGACCTCCCGGACGACATCCTTGTCGAGAAGGATCGCACCATCCTATGAACCCTCAGTTATTCAATCCTTCCATGCCACAACAAAAGGTGAAATCAGATTAGTCTTACCGCCGTAGTCTCCATCTTCTTGTGCTGCGCTTCAAAGCTCTTCTTTTGTTTTTCAATTTCCTCTTCCTCGGGGGTGGCGGGTACCATTTGGCCCAAGAAGGTTTGGCCTTCTGGTAATGCCATTGCACACATATAAACCAGTCGAATCACCGCCCCCTGCAAACCCTGCTTCTCTCTATCGCCCTTACCCAGACCTTTGACAGCCTCAGACATGGCAACGCCGCCAAATGAATGCCCGACCGCAATCACGTCTTTGCCTGCATCGAGGTATTCCATGATCACTCGGCGGACTTCTGCAGCATCCTGATCCCAGCTGGCATGTGGGGGACTGGAGTCGACAGAAGGCATGGTAATCCCGACTGCCGTGTAGCCAACGGTTCCCAGTGCGTCAATGAGCTTTTGGTAGTGTTTGGGTCGGTGCCATGCGCCGGGCACGATGACGATGACTGGCTTGGGCATTTTGATGGGTCAATATATTGAATGGAAATCAGTAAGAAAGGAGTTTTGAATGATCACCTTTTTCGGGGTGATAATTGCAGGTATTTATAAAAAGTTGCTTCATGGATTGCGGGCAACATCATTGGTCAAGTCCTCGCATCGGTTCCGATGATTGTCGGCTCCGCTGCAGGATCCACCTGAGTTGTGACGAAATGCAACAACACCGATACAGGTGCTTTTATCGATAGATTTGTTTTCAAATTGGTGCAAAATCGTTATTTTTCTTATACCAATAAGTTCAGGTCTATCTCAATTGAAGCCCACTACTGGATGACAATAGATGCTTCTGTTCGGCCATTTTGGACTTGCACCGAGAAACTAAGTACAAGCCTTCACACCCGGACCCATCATACACTCGAGGAATACAGCAAGCCAGTTCAAATTAGAGCAGTATTTGTATGCTTTAAATGGGTCAATACTTTTTTGGGGGTCTTCTTTGGCTTAGCATTCGGGGAAGGTATGGCAAAAGTAGAATAAGACGTATTGTATCTGCGAGTGATGATCATCGCTCCCACTGCTGCCAACGGTAAGCACATGCCCCTAGATCCCAGGTCCGACCACGCGAAATAAGAAAACAGGATTTTAAAAAGATTTGAAAACGCGTCCCGAGGCCAGAGAGTTTGTAGTGGGAATTGCTATGTGTGAGTCAAAATCCCGTCCAACTAGAATGACAATATCATTACGCTTTTCAGGTCTCAGATATATGATCACTTTGGATCAAATTCATTTCTACTCTTTATATTTCTGACTTCAGATATATGACTATCTAGGTTCTTTCCGTTACTCCTGCTCATCAACCGGAAAGCCATAGCCGACCAGCAGAGCAGGCTCTTCAATATTATGATGCTGGTAGCTACAGAAAAGTCAGAAAACCACGAGAAAGGAGTCAGGGATATGAAGGTCCTTACCTAAGAACACCAACAGCACCAGGCTCGAGCATAAGAAGCAAAGGGAAGTCCATCGGATATCCAAGCCAGCGCTTGGTAAAAGCCCGAAGAAGGTGACCGTGTGCAACAAGTACAACATCCGAGGGACTTTCACCATGCATGTTATCTTTGTGAGAAGCCCTGATTTCTCGAATGAGACTATCAATGCGATCCGTAACATCTTGCGCAGACCTAAGACCTTGTCAGTCATGCATCCCCTCGGAAAATAGAAGAAATTCGAACTTACTCTCCCTCTTCACAGCCATCGCGCCAGATATCCCACGGCCGTTCAGTATCCAGCCCACGTTCTTTTCTCAAGGTGCGAATCTCCTTCGTCACCAACCCCTCGTACAAGCCGTAACCCCACTCAGCCAACCTCTCTTCTTTCGGGGTAATCTTTTCTTCGCGCTGTAACGCCTGCTTATCGGCATCGTCAAACGCAATCTCAAAGGTCTGCATTGCTCGCTTGCGGGGGCTAATGTAGACCCGAGCGATATTAGCCGGGTCAATTAATTTGCCTGAGCCAACAATCATTTTTCCCGAGGCGGAAACTTGTTTCTTGCCAGTGGCTGTGAGGTCCAGTTCAGTGACGCCGGTGTAGCGGCCGTTCTGGGACCATTCTGTCTGGCCTGTTATTGTTGTTAGAAATCTTTCTTTGTGTATTCTATTTGGTACGTACCGTGACGGTAAAGGAATACACGCGGGGTGCCTGCGTCTTGTCCGGGCATTGTTGCTAGCTAGTATCTGAGGTTCAAGGTCTAGATGGTGGCGTAATGGCAGGACATTTGGGGTACTGTCCAACCTGGGGATCGAGCGTCGCTTGAGGTTAGTCATCACTTTTTCGACTCACCGGAGTCGTGACTCGTCAGTTGACCCCATTTCAACCACGTCGGTCATTCCCACGGTGTCGATGGATATCTTAAGACCAAATGTGAAGTACAAAGAGTGCCGTTGATTGAGAGATAAGAGAGACATTTCAGGCCTCCTGCACATCCAACCGTGCACGCTTGTTGGTGCCTGAATCGCCAGGCAGTCACGCTGTTTACAACGTCTGCTGTCCGATGGGTCTATCGTCTAAATCTTCAATTGCTAATCTACAGTCTCTGTAATCGTCAACTTAGAATCAATTGTACATATCTCTCCTATCTATCTTTGGTGCTAAATCGACGGGAACCCACTCCAACAAACCATTCTGTCCGTTCAAGCTCACATCCTTTTCACAAAGCCAACTTCGACCAATCGCTCCATCTCAACATTCAGATTCTGAATCTTCGTCCGGCTAGAATCCCTTATGAGCAAGAACATCCAAAGGATCATGCGCCGGAAATAGTTCCGTTCCTTGGTGATATTGAGCTGCTCCTTGCCAACAATGTAGATAACCTGCGAATTCGAGGCGCAGTTCAAAGCAGCCACTTCAGTATCCTCGTCATTGACAATATCTGAGCATTTTAGGAACCCGCGGACTAGCCCCAGAACATGTATACCCAAGTCTGGAGTGATAATCTCATCGGTGTATCCATGTCGCACCATCAAACGATAACAATTAGGAATCGGCTGCTTAGTCGAATCATCGCCCTTTGTGAAACACCGCGTGATAGTGTATCTCTCCTCAGGAGCAACTGTGGGGATAGACAGAGGTCGCAGGTGAAGAAAAATTGTCACCTCCGGCATTGCGCTGAACTTTTGCAGGAAATGGAGAAACACCGTGGGGGTATTCACTGCACTCCCGGACTTATCGAAAAATATTCCAAGTCCTCTGGTCCGTCGGATGGAAGACTCTTCGCTGTCAAATTTTAGATAGAGCTGGTTGTCGCGTAGGACGGTGGTCTGGTAGAGAGGAACATTGTCGGATTCTTCCGCGTTCCATTGCTCTTCTTTGCCGTAACGCCAGAGGATAAAGAGGCAAGTCAGTATCACGGCTAACATAAGGGTAAACCATGCACCGTGGGGCACTTTGCTTATGGCGGCTGATAGAAACATGCCATCCCAGAGGACGAAAATGATGAAGATTGGGATGACGATCCAGATTGAGAGTCTCCATACGATGAGGGCAACGACAGCCACCATGCAGGTGGTGAGAAATGAGACTAGGATGACACATGTTCCATAGGCTTCGCCAAGTCGAGTTGTCTTGTAAGAAGCTGTCAGTTAGCAGGGTGGTACCTTCGGATAGGGCACATTATGCATACGTTGTTGTAGACTGCGGTCACGATGATTGTCCCAATCATCATTAGCCAATTCGCGATGGGAATGTAAACTTGGCCATGGAAAGTCTTTGAAGTATGGTAGATCTTTACTTGAGGGAAATATGATAGTTTCATGATTTGAGACAGTAGCTAGAGTCCTGTTAGCTCGGTTTGACAAGAACAATTCACGTAGAACAAACCTGGTAAGCCCCGGTGATGACCGCCTGGCTTGCAACAATACACGCCAGAACAGCCACAATCAGACTGGGCCAGAGCATGCCAGGGGGGACAGTCAGATAGAACGGGTTGGCATAGGCACTGGGATGAACGCTGATGTGGGCTCCTTGGCCAATGTACTTTTCCGCAACATTAGCTTTACCCTGAGACTCCAGGCCTGACTTGATCTTACCGAAATGAGGAGACATGGGTAAACAAAACAGAGCCACGAAATCTGGATTGATCTACAAAAAGGGTCGTGTAAGCACCTTGCATTTGATCAAAAAGAAAAAAAAAAGAAAAAGAAAAAAATACGCATATGCATACCTTCGGGTAAACGCCCCCAGATCAGCGAACAGGGTCTCGACACCAGTAAAGGCAAGTAGGATTCCTCCAAGAGACAGCCATCCATCCCTTTTGTTTCGCATCAAGAAGGCACCGGCAAAGTATGGCGAGAATGCCTTGAGGATAGAGGCGTCGAACATCACCAAGTTCTATCAGGGGAACAGGCATCAGTAAACCATATTCAAAAGTTCGGCAGTAATACACCCACGTAAATTCCAAAGATGAGGTTGAAAAGCATCCAAACAATAACGATTGGCGCGAAAGTGCTCGCAATCCTAGTGGTTCCAAATGGCTGGACGGCGAAAACTAGCACCAAAATTCCACATGAAATGCCCACGACTGCCGATGTGGACATGTTTGGATTAACAACAGTGACTCTGTATCCATTAGACTTGGCTCTTCATTCCTCAATTTTGAGTCTCGTACCCTTGAATAGCGCCCAAGATCGACTGTGCTGGAGTAAGAACACCATCTGTAATGAAAATGTCAATCAGAGCAACATCTTCTCGCTGGTATCAAACATACCTGCCAGAATCAACGCCACACCAAAAGCGCCGACCACTTTCAGAATCCATTTGATGGCAGTGCTTCGCTCCATAATACTACGAGTCATCAAATTGGGCTTTTGCAGATCGTCTGTGTCGAAACGTTGCATTCGAACCAAATCCGAGTGGCGAGGGTCATACCGAACCAGCTTAGCCTGTTTTATGTCAGCCATCGCACTCTTGCATGAGATTGAGGAACATACATATCTGGAGAGAAGAGAGTACAGTGCAAATGTACCACCCTCCCCCTCATCATCTGCACGAAGAACGATGAAGACATATTTGATAGTGACCATGATTGTGAGGGCCCAAATAACAAGAGAAACCGCTCCAAGAATATCTGCCTGGCTAGGTTCACTGCTGAAGGTGCTGGAGTAAACGTAGAGAGGACTCGTGCCGATGTCACCGTAGATGACTCCGAGGGACTGGTAGGTAAGCCTTGTACAATTGTTAGCATGAGCTCGATAGGTAGATTTGATTGAATGAATCTTTGTCACAAACCATGCCAGTTTCCACCCTGAGAACACCTGCAAGGGAGCAATCTGTCAAAAAAACTCTGATGGAAGTCCATTACAATCAAAAAGGTTTTACCTGTTTGCGACGGAAGTCCCTTTCTTCCACTTCTTTACCCCCAGGAAGAGAATTCATCTCGACGTCAGCTGTCTTGGGGTCCTCTGCTTTTTCGCTATCGAGGAAGTAGGCCGGGGCGATATTTGTAGCGCCAGGCATCACGATACGCTTCGACCCATTTGTGCCTTCCATGGCGAACACTCTTTACTCCAGAGAGCAAGATTGGGAGACAACAAGGCCTGGCAGGCAAGAGGCGTCGGCGTGGAGGTAGGAGTAGGAAGAAAAGAAAGAGGAGACAGGTCCATCGCAAACATTGAAGCAGTTGTAGAGGCAATAATATACTGGTAAGCAAAAACTATCCAGAGATCTCGATGGCGCCGAAATGATCTGTTATCTCGTTCTAGCATCTAAGATTTCCCACGTGTCAGGGATTTTACAAATCGGAGGCATAGATCATACGAGGTAAAGATTACTGAAATCAAAACGATACGAGTAGAAAAATTTCTCATACAGTCTAAGAGGCTCAGACCTGCATAGCCTTCTAGTAGCGCCGTGTGTAGACAGTGATCCTTTAACGCCACAATAATGAATTACTAGAGCTAGATAAGATTTGAACAATGCGATTGGTCATTGGAAAGCCCTGGGTGACCTTTATACGGCCTTGAAACTTCACTGGGAGGAAAGAGGGATTTCTGACAGTTAATCAAAGGGAGAGCGGGAGCCGGGGTGTTATGAGGCAATTATCTCCCCCATACAGATTTGTCCCGCACAACACGGACCATCTAAGTATCTGTCCTTGTGTCATACTGATAAGAGATAATCAGCGATTGAATTACGAGTTCCATTTACGATGACAGTCTTCGTCAAGAATACCAAGGGAGTGATCCAAGGTCTCATTTCACAGGGTGCGGCTGGTCGAAATACTTCAACCTGATTTGGCTTTTCACAATCGCTAATGGCAATTCTATTACCAATTGGATTTGGTTCCGGAATCCATACTATTTACCCCTCCTCGCCCCTCTTCCTCTTTCCTCTTTGACTTGGGACGAGTACCTGTTAGGCGAGACGACCTCCACAATGAAAACAGACCTGCCAAACCCCGAGCGAAATCCGAGTTCGGAGCGTTGGAAGTGGCTGAGGTGCTGAAAGTGTGAAGAACTGAGGGGCTGAGGGGTTCCCTGAAGCGGCTGAGGATCGGCAATGGTTTGCATTCTCGCCAAGGGAGATCCGATCGATTCGATCCACATTTAGGCATGTGCTGAGAAACCACTAATCAACCCACTAATAAAAAATGGAGCCCCAAATGTTCGGAGCGAGTGAAAATGGAGAATGAGGGGTACAGAAGTAGCGGTGTCTTTTAAAACGTCCACCGAGTTCAATTGCAATCTAGTCCAAACAAGTTTCAGAGCTCTGTAGAAACTCAAGCGGGATCTGCCTTCACAGGAGACCCAAATCCGATCGGCAGATCTCGTGGCAATAACAACGGGCCCATGCAGGCGGACGCACAATAGCGAAGTATATTTGCTTGTTTCTACGCCACATCGACCTCGATAACTGGTTTGGAGTGTCGTGCCGTGTGACACCTCCGGTGGCACTACAGAAAGAAAGGTCGCTCTAGATGCTACGGCCTCGCTTAATAGGAGAGATGATGAATGATGTCATATATTTCGTGAATCCGAGACTAGTGCCGCCATCGCTAGTGTGCGAGGTGATATATGGCTATATATATTAAAATTTTGGAACAGAAACTTAACATCAAATCCATTGCAACCACAAAAGACCACGAAACAAAAGTGCAGACCCAAAAAACGACACCCCCAAAGAAACACATAGCGCCCGTAATTTGTTGTAACCGGGTTTGCCCATCCGGGATCGCAGATGATATAGATCCTGTGCTTGTAATCCCACACCCACCACTCGAGACCGTATCGAATCGACCGCAGACCCAAAGCTGCTTAAGACGCCATGAACTAAAGAACGCCCCTTCCTATAGGATATAAGAACAACAATTAGAACATAAGATGAACATGCAAAATTTCCCAAAAGATGAGACTCAAGGCAAAAAAGCAAAGAACGCCTGCTAATGTGTGTTGGTCTTACACGGTAACCCGGCCTTCCGGTGCCATTCCGACTGGAACATCCGCGCTGGTAGGTAATGCACGAGCGGCGCTGTTCCCCCCAAATTGGGATAACAAATTCGCAATCATCTGTCGGTAGGTGTTCATTTGGGAGAGTTTGAAGCGTTGGATCTTCCCGCTGGCCGTGCGGGGGATCTCCTCGACGAAGATCACACCGCCATCCAGGGCTTTGTAGCTGGCCAACTTTTCGCGGGCAAATTTGTACACTTCTTCGGCTGTGAGTCGGTTGACGGCTGGGTCTCGGGAGCGCACTACGAAGGCGCGGGGCACTTCACCGCTACCATCCGGCAGGTTTACGCCAGTGACGGCGGCGTCGGTGATCCCTGGGTGTTGGAGGAGGACGGTCTCCACCTCGGCGGGGGCTACTTGCCAACTGTGGGGAATTGTTAGTTTATTCAATTTTGGGTTCGGCAAATGCAGTTCTGTCTTACCCTCGCACTTTAATTAACTCTTTTGTTCGCCCGACAATGAAATAGTAGCCGTGCTTCACGTATGCCACGTCGCCCGTGCGGAACCAACCACCGGCTTCCTTGGCGTCGGTGCGGCCCTTGTAGGATTGGAGGAGGCCGGGCCCGCGAACGTAGAGTTCACCGGCTCGATCGTCATTGTGCACGATTCTGCCTTCGGGATCGACCAGGCGTGCTTCGTATCCGGCTAGACGGGTGCCGATGCTACCGTGGTTGTTTTGCTGACCGTAACGGTTTTGGAAGATCACACCGACTTCGGTCATACCCCACAATTGGCAAGCATAAGCTTGCGAGTGGAGGAGGCTCTGGAACTGGCCCATTGTCTGCGCATCAATGGGCGCACCGGCGACACCGACATATCGCAGCGACGAAAGGTAGCTGGCAATGGGCAGAGTAGAGCGGTTGATTGAGTTCACGATTGCAGGCACCAAATACGTCTCTGAGATCTGGTACCGGTGGATCGAAGTCAAGAATGATTTGATCTCGAAGCGTGGCAATACGAAAACAGGGTGGCCATAGCGCACAGGGAAGATGTGTGTCCACAATGCGCCGAACAGATGGAACATAGGTAGCGACATGAGTCTGCTCACATGGAATGGCACATCATATTGTATAGAACGGTGGTGCGACACAATGGCGTGGTGCAACAGGATAGCAGCCTTGGGAAGGCCACCTGTTCCACTAGTCGAGAACATGGCTGCAGGCGTGGACTGCGCCTCCATGGGATCGGTGAACATCATCCACTCACTTTCGCCGTAGCAAAGCAAACGAGGAAAATTGAGATATGCAGCATCCTGCGTGCGCATGGCCAAGGCATCTTTCGCCAGGTAACCCATCTCGTACGACAGGAAGAGCTGAGCGCAGTGATCCACTGAGCGCTCATCGACCACGCAGACTTGTTCCGGACGGATGCCCCGGGTGGCACCCACCTCCAGCACCATTGGCAGCGCATCGCTAGTTGTGAAGATAAATTTGGGCTCGGCCAGGGAAACTATATGTTCGAATTCGGAGGTTTGACTGCGGGGGTTGGAGCCCATGTACACACCACCGGCACCAATGATACCGAAGAAGAGGGCGGGATATAAGATCTGTGTCACGCAGTCCGAGTCAGTATCTCCGAATAATGTACTTGGATGATGAGGTGCAGGCCAGTTGGGTTTCTCAATTGGGCTGGTTGCGATTCTGAGCTACTTACGCTGTTCCCCAGATGAAGTAGCACACAGTCACCCTTCTGCACGCCATGCGCTTTGAAGCCCGCGATCAAGGTCTGGACTAATTGCCGGAATTGGTTGCCTGTGAAAGACCGCGAAGGGTCTTCGGCATCAATGAAGATTGGCTGGTTTAGGTTGTATGGATTCGGGCCACAGAAAGTGAATGTCAAGAGATCGGTGTAGATATCTTGGCTCAGCATAGGGTCCATGACGCCCGTAGGCACAGAAGCTCCCCAGTAACCCATGCTGGATTGAAATCAAAGGGGGAAAGAAAGTAAGTCGATTGGAACGCAAGTTGGAATCACGTAGGAGCGGAATAGGGTGTTATATAGGAAGATGTGGGATTGGATGCTCCTGTCAGGGTGGATATAGAGGGGACCCGAGGGAGGGAAGGGGAAGTTATATAGAAACATTGTATACAATTTGATTTCCTTGAGAATCGAATGAATCGTTGATTTGGAATATTTGGAATACAGGCTTAGGTCATCAGGCCCCACTTTGACTTTGGACCCAAGATACTGGGACTGACAGTCCAAAGGCACGGAAAGTGTAATTTTAGCTTTTTGGTTCCTTTCGCTAAGGAATTCACTCCCTTCGTCAGATGAGAGACAATCCATTGAACTATTCCCATGATTGAATTTATTGAATGTGATATCATGTCTCCGATCGTGGGGAGGGAGGCCATCCCAGGCAACAGTGACAAAAGTACCCAAGTACGATATATCAAAAGAAAAAAAAAAAGGACTAGACCTAAAATGTATGTGTCATGGTCGATGATGCACTCGAACCGAGGAGGATCGAATTCGTTCGGCTCCACCGAACCGGTTCGCGCTAAAACTAGTGGCGCACCACTGCGGGTCTATCATTAGTAACTTCCCTTATCCCTTCCCTTGTCTCCCTGAGAAGCCAGCTGAGCCACAAGCCACAAGCTCGGAGCACTTTCATTTATTGTGTTACATACCTTGCCGGCCCATCCTCTCTAAGGGGTAGAAGGATCGGCGAGATCGGGATCGAACTTCTCCCTTTCTTGTTTGCTGCGAGTCAATGATTTACCTGTGCGTGGGTCCCCTTTAACCTAATCCCCAATTTTGAGTGGCGCTTATGTACTGCCCGCACTCTAATTTGCTGCACCGATACAATAGCTTATTGGTCATGCATGAATCTGCATTTCCCACGAGCTGAACTCCGTCAGATCTGGACGGGGATGCGCATCCACCATCCGACAGCCCGAGCCGACGCTTGTCCCGTGTGTTCGATGATGTAGTCGTTCGCAGTAGACACCTGCCAGCTGTAACCCCGGTCAGCTAATGCAGGCTTTTTTTTTCCTTCTTTTTTTTCCTCTTCACATCTTTGGGTGATTCCCAACTTTTCCCATTTTAGGGCTCCACCCGGTGTCATGTCATCGGTGACAGCCCCCAGAACCAAGGGAACTGTCACCGCCTCCCGTTCCACATCTCTTCCAAGGTTCACGCTCGTCAGCGATATCGCTATCCCACTTTTCGCTTTCCCCTCACAACCTGATCTGACCTGAAGTGGGGAAATTGGCCCACTATCGAAAGGGAAGCCCCTTCCGTGTGACGAAGCGTAGGTGAAAATGCAAAAGAAAAATAAAATAAAATAAAATCCAAAATTGATCCCCACCTCCCTTCGCCGGAATGTAGAAAGCACCCTTCCAGAGATCTAGATCGACTAGTAGAAAACGTGCGCCACACAGCTGCAATGTATCCTGCAATGCAGGCCCTTCCAGGACCGCGGTGTCGGTGACCCACCCCGACCATCGGGCGCCATCATGCATTTGGGCACCTGGGAATTCAGGATTTGGTTCCCACAATACTGCATGGCGCACCCCGCTGTACAATCAATGATCGACGATCGACAGTCGCTGGACAAGGCGAAAAAAAGCAAAATTAAGCCCATTCCTGCGAGGGGTTGCGGCAGATGGACGTTCAAGGTGCATGTGAAGCGCTACCACGTTCCAGGAACAGAAAAGGCATTGTCTCAGACCGTGTGATCTGGTATGCTGTTGTCCGCCTTGGTTGTCGATCGTCGCTCCAGCTTCCCCCGATCCCTTCAGTAGTCGTCCGGGTCGTGGAAGGTTTCACATCCGGACATAGTTAAGCAATATTGGGGTTCCCCATGCAGTTCCCTTGACCGATCATCTCCGTGGCCAACTTGCATGCAACAAACGCCTAAGAGCCCCATCAGAAATTGATTCTATAGGGCGACCTGCAGCGAGGGCGTGAGAATAGCGCTCGTGGACCAGGCTTTTTGGCCGACGATCGTGAGAGTACGACTCTTGATTGGGTTACATCTCGAGGCGAACGAAGGGGAGTACTTACTGGAATGGGACGGGCTTCCGGACCTTCCCGTCTATCCCGTCTTCACTCTGTCAGGTGTAGATAAATGTGTTCAGGCGTGGTCCACCTCCGACGCTATCATTGACACCGCATGAAGCCCCATAATGACCCCATCTGCGATAACCCTATAGATCGTCATCGGGGGCAGCTGAATGTAAGGGTAGAGGAGGTGGAGGTCGCAAGCTCATTGGCACCTCAGGTTAAGTCGAATCCCGCTAGTGAGCCTTGCCCTAACTCGGCGGGGATCTGGGCCCATGATAGTGTCATACACTGGATCAATGTTAGGCTGCGGTGGAGAGCAAACACCGATGTAATCCTGTAAATCCCATGGAAAGACGCACGCTAAAAAATTGAAAAAAATGAAAAACAATAATTCAAGAAATAAAACAACCATTGTAAAATGATGCCAAGGCGCCATCATGGTACCATTCGTCCGGAACAGGTTTGTGATGAAAGCAGCTGTGGACCGAAAGGGAAAGAGTCGAGCGAAAGTATTGATGATCCATAGGCAACCCCGACTTGGTTCCAGGTTGGGAATCCACTGGCGAGGGACGAGAATAGAGGATCACACCCTCGCAGTAGGATAGGGCTAAGCGCACAAAAGGCACAAGATCCCTGCCAAAGTATGAAAGGGTATCTGACTTGCCCCCTCCCTCCCTCCAATTGTGTACCTTCATTCCCTTTCAAGGTTCTTGGTGGCATTCAAATTGACCATTGTTCGGCCTCCAATATTATTCCTTGAACCAAGCATCCTGGTCAAGTTGCCAACTTCCTCGTTCGTTTCATTTCGGTCCTCTTTTGAAACATCCTAGCCTGCTCTTTTATAGACCGAAAATATCGTCATTGATTCTAAAATATAAGAATCATGTCGATATCAGAGAAGACCATTATATCCAAGCCTGAGCCTGCCTTGGTCAGGATGGAGTCCTATTCTTCTCCCACATCCAGCGAGGTAACCCTCACCAATGGAGAAGCAGACCTTGAGAAGTACCTGTCCAAGGAGATGGGCTCGGTCTCAACCGACTCAGGTCATGACCAGGTTGACTTGGAGGCTCAAACGCCGCTACCCCAAAAGAAGCCGTTAGCCGGCTTGCGCTTTGCCCTCCTCACAATCTATCGACGACTCTTCACCCTTGTCTTTCTCGCAAATGTAGGCGTTTTTGTGGCGGTCATGCTTGCAGACCGCAAGCTGATTGCCCTGGTCAACGCAACGGCCGCCAACTTGCTCGCATGCGGGCTGGCCCGACAGCCACTAGTCGTCAACAGCATCTTCTACCTGGTGTGCTCGATGCCTCGGTCTGCCCCATCTCCGTTGCGCCGATTGGCCGCACAGGTGTACCACTATGGTGGCGTTCACAGCGGGTGCGGAGTAGCTGCTCTAGTGTGGTACGTTGGGTTCGTTGGTGTCATGTCACACCAGTATTGGACGCCATCTCCGACTAGCGCATCGGCTGTCAGCATTTCAGCCGCCCCCGTTGCCGTGGCTTATATCATTCTCGTGCTTCTGTTGGCGATCACCGTTGTCTCGCATCCCACGTTCCGCACAAAGTTCCATGATTATTTCGAACTGATCCACCGTTTCTCCGGGTGGCTGGTCGTGGCCCTGTTCCTAGTGCTGCTGATGCTGTTCGCGCATGAAATCAGCTCGGCCCAGAATCAGCCCCTCGGCTATTTTCTCATCACCCTGCCTGCCTTCTGGTTCTTGATCGTGACCATTGTGGCGATCATTCAACCTTGGCTCATGCTCCGCAAGGTCCCGGTGCGGGCTGAGAAGCTCTCTTCTCACGCCGTTCGGTTACACTTCGACCACACAACCACGACCTTTGGCAAGGGAACCCAGTTGTCCAAGCACCCCCTGCGTGACTGGCATGGGTTTGCCACTTTCCCTGACCCCACCCCGCTAGGAACGCGTGGGAGGCCTAGCTTCTCCTGCTTGGTATCCAAGGCTGGTGATTGGACGGCTGCCACTATCAACGAACCGCCAACGCACTTCTGGAAGCGTGGCGTTTTGATCTATGGCTTTGCATATGCCATGCGCGTCTTCAAGCGGGTCATCGTTGTAACCACAGGCTCGGGCATCGGCCCCTGTCTGTCGTTCCTGGGCGATGACAACCGACCCGCCCTGCGGGTGATGTGGCAGGCTCGCGCCCCGCTAAAAACGTATGGACAGGGGGTTCTAGATCTGGTTCGCCAAATGGATGAGAACCCCATCGTTTTGGACACGGACCAAACCGGTCGTGTCGACATGGTGCCAATCATTGCACACCAGTTCAAGGAGTTCGACGCCGAAGCCGTGTGCGTGATCAGTAACCCTGTGCTGACAGGGCGCATCGTTCATGAGCTTGAAGCGCGAGGCTTCCCAGCGTTTGGCCCGATTTTCGATTCTTGAGTATCCAACGTTTTTTTCGGACGCGCTGGCCCCCACCATGTCGGCCCCAAGGGGGAGATTTTGAATTTTCCAGGTTGTTGGCGTTTTCTTGCTTGGTGTTCATTCTATGTGTTTTTTAGTTATATATCCTCTCTGTTTTATCGGCGTTCTCATTGGGCATTGCACAATATTTTATCTCGAGTCATAGTTACCTTGAATATATCATCATCCGAAACATTCTTCTCATTTGTTCCTTGTTTTTTTTTCCCCTCTTTTCCCCCTTTGAACCTCATCCCGGAGAAAATGCAAGTGTTTGAAGGGTTCAGGGGGGGGGGGAGGGAAAAGGGTGGTTGCATGATTAAGGATGATTTTTGGTTCTTTGACTGGTGATTTGGAATCGTATCTGCACAGGGGGCGCTATGACCTCTTGGAAACGAGTTTCTTGGTCAAATACAAACAATGGCAAGCACACGTTGGTCGCCTTGTGCGTGAGACGTGATTCCCCATACATGCATGGAATTCCAAATCGTCCGGATCCACTCAATGCTCATTGGTCGTTGGGGACTAACTGCTTCCAATAGCCTAACACTCAAGAGTCTATTTGACGGCCCGCAACGTGTTTCGGAGGAATTCACGTCAAAAAAAGTCTCCTTAGAAGCAAGGTGTTTCTTATTCTCACAGCTAAGTCTTTTTCCTGCGGTATGTTGCTTGCCATGAATACTTATACCACGTGAATAATCCCTCATCCCCTGCGTTTGAATCACGACCTTCACCATCGTATTGTAAATCCACATCGTTGATGCACGAGCAAAATGTAGCTAATTTAGCGTAAAATTCCTCTCCTCTCCTCATTAGCTCACTGTCATGCCGCTTAATTTATCCGGCATGCAGCGAGGCAATCAAGAGAGACCTGTGCACGGGTACATATGCACATGTACTCTCACATAGCGCAATGCAAATCACTGACTCTTGGTCATTTGAAGCTACTCTCACGTCAAGCAACAACCACATTTTTGCAGATCATGCCGTCTGGTTGCCTTTTGCCGCCCTGATGCGACCCATTCATGCTCAAGTGGCATATGGTGGAGGGAAGTGAGAGTAGTAATTCAGCCTGATGCCCAATTAGGCTGTAATACATCACTTTCAATGTTAGTGATATGTATGCTGTCATCTGTTTACCTTAGAGCGAGAGTTGGCTATTATGTATCAGTGTGGGTCTTCTGCTTCGCCAGGTGCTGTGTTTCTGTGAAGAAAGCCATGAAAACAACATTTCTCCGCTTGCGGAATTCTTGCTAAATTATTGGGATAGCTAGGTATTTACAGGGATTTACAGGGATGGGAAAAATTCGTGATCTTTGCTTTCCATTCTCCGTTAATTCAAAGTTCTAACCTTCCATGGTTGTGGCCTTGTGATTAAAATAAGCTTGGAGCATTCCAAGGTTCCCGATTCCCAACAGGAAAACTACCCGTGGACTTGTTTGGTTGCTGATAACTCACCAATTCATACCTTGACAAATACGGTCTTAAACCCCTCGTACATAGCTACTGGGGTCTGGGCTTAGGTTGACCAGTGGTTCGTAGGCCCTCGGATGTCAGATTATATCCATGGATAGCCAGGTGGCTGCGGAGGCGCGGCTTTCTGCATACATATTCTGTGCGCCACCTAGCAGAGAGGCCTGAAAAAGCTTTGCAAACAGGCCGAACATAAGCCTCAACACACATGCCGTACATAGCACTTATAGTATTTCTCTAAGTTGTACAGCCTTCGTGGCTTCGCCTTATTATGCAAGTGCCAGGTGTCAGCTCCTCAGCTCCAATGAGCGTAAGGCAGGACGTCACTGAAGACCTTGCACAACAAAGTGGGATCCCGAGGCCGCGGCCCCGCGGTGCTAACTTCCAAACTCGGTTAGACCCCGCGGATCAACCACGATGAAATTAAGTATATGAACCTCAGCATCTCACCAAAAACGTGAATTTAATAATATCCAAACCTTGGACAAAGAATAAAGTTAAATCCCGAATAATTAAAAACCGAGAAAATGACTGAGAAGACCCGCAAGGTAAGCCCCAACGGCCTTGAAACCCAACCCCCGCATCGATAAGCAAGGCAACCCAAAGGCTGACATGACATCAACGACATGACAGGCAATCATAATGGGTGCCGGACCCGCCGGCCTCGCAGCAGCCCTACGCCTTCAACAACAAACAAACATTACCTGCACAATCTACGAGCTGCGGCCCCAACCCACCACACTCGGTGGCGCAATTGGAATCCAGCCCAACGGCTTACGCCTTCTAAGCAGACTGGGCGTCTATGATGCATTTGCAGCCCACGGATATAGCGGCACAGACTTGACGTTGCACTCACTTCAGGGCCATGATGTCGGTTCCGTAGATATGGTAGGCTGGGCACGTGAGAAGACGGGCTTCGGGTACCTACGTATCAAACGAACCGATATCGTGGAGATACTGAAGAAGGAGGTGGAAAGAGCCGGTATCAACATCCATTTTGGGAAAAGATTGGTCAAGACCGAGAATTTTGAAGAGGCAGGTGGATCGGGATCGAAAGCTGGGGTGAGGGTAACGTTTGAAGATGGAAGTGTCGATGAGGCTGATATATTGCTTGGGTGCGATGGGATTCACTCGTTCGTTCGACGCTCCTACGTCGACCCGAAACATGAGCCTGTCTACTCTGGTCTCTCGGGGCTCGGGGCTCTTATTCCCAGTTCTGCTTTGTCGTCCAAGTCTACGGAGCTGATTAATGGGCTTGAGGGCACGCTAACGGAGGAGGGGATGTTGGCGGTGAATCCTTGTTTGCCGGGTAAGGAAGAGATATTTATGTTTTTCTCAAAGTGGCTTCCGCTTCCCGAGTCTGGGGATAGTCGGGATGGGTGGGAGATACATGGGAAGGAGGAGGTGGATGGGTTCAAGGAGCAGCTTCTCAGTACACTTGAACATGCACAGGGAGACTGGGCCAATGCGCTTCGAGAGTTGACGCACGCTACCTCTGCTGTGAACTTTTATCCTGTTTATCGGCTGCCGCTCGGCGGACGCTGGTCAAGGGGACGTTGCGTGCTTGTGGGTGATGCTGCTCATGCTATGTCGCCGCATGCTGGGCAGGGTGTTTCCATGGCATTGGAGGATGTGTTTTTGCTTGCGCGGTTACTTGCGGATCCGGAGAGATCTATCGAGGAGGTTTTTGAGAAGTATGATCACATTCGACGACCTAGGGTGAACGAGATCTTCCAAATGGCTGCGGACAACGCGGAGATGAGGAAGAAGAGCACGCCGACAGGTTTGTGGTTGAAGGAGCTGAAGTTCCATACAATGATGAATATTGCCTGGGCTTTTGGTCTGGACAAGAAGGGGATGAAGCAAAGACATTTGGTGTATGATATTGATGAGGCGGAGCTGTGATGGTCGTCTTTTCCCCCCTTTCCTTTGTTAATAGTTCATAGACGAGTACCCAGTCTGAATATTATCGCTATACAGGATCTTTCTCAGTGGGCATCCTCCATAACCCCAACATACCCCTATTCTCTCAGCTCATCACAACAAGGGATGAGTATAGAATGTGGACATGCATCCCGATCCCGATCCTCCGCCATCGACGATAGAAAGTGGAACAAGAACAACGATGGAAAATGTCACAAAGTACAAAAAGTGGGGACGAAGGAGTCATCCAATATTGTACATGTCTCGAAAATCGAGATAAATGTTCTAGATTTGTTCGTTTACAGTAGTGGCAACGTGTGCTCCCTTGCAGCCCGGGAATCTACTACCCCGTTCCGCTGCCGTGAAGGCACCAGTTCATCGGGTGTGATATCGATCCACGGACAAGCCCTTGGGATCTAGGTACGTGCCTGCATAAGCGATGAGGCTTCGGAAGATCCAGCGATCCGATTGGTCTGCTTATTTCTTTAGCTGGGATCCAATACCCAAGCCACCCCTTGCGTACTACAGCGCCCTACAGTAAGCCCAGCCACAGGAGCCACTTGCCAATAATACAATGCATTACTTAGTGGAGCTGCTTCTGGTGGGACTTTCGAAGGCTGCGTCGGCTAGACCAATGTATTGACTCCATGATCCGGACATCCGGTGCCGAAGTGGAGGGTCTAGAAGCATTCGGATTTCCTTTGAAACGGCGAGTGGGGCATCACGGTGGGACTGATGAGTGTGACATGACGCAATGTTATGGGCAAGTCTAGATGTCAAGTGTTTACGTGTTTACAGTGAAGATGGAATGAGAAGAGGATTTTGGTAGACTTTGAGTCATTGCATTAAGACATAGAGTTGAGAATCGATGACAGCCGAACCATAAAAAGCAAGTCTAAACAGATGGGGAATAATAACAGGAGAATGTAAAGAAGATTTGTTCACAGAAGCGAAAGGTATTGGGTATCATGCAGTTGGAACGAAGCCCGTCCGCCCAGCTAAGGAAATGCGATCAAGGGCCAAATGTCTTTTCTGTAATCCGATTGTGTTTTTTTCTTGCCTCCATGAGACCATTGAGTTTCGTTGAGTCTCATCAACGTAGCTGAATAAGAAATGTGGGTATTGGACGTTCATTGCGAATCGTTATCCTCCGAGAAGTGATTATCGTGATAGAATAATGTTGAAAAAAAAAAAAACTGAAACTGGTAATGTCTTTTTGGGGGGGGGGGGTCGTTGAGATCGTAACGTCATGACGGAGAGAACGATGAATTGAGGCCGCGGTTTGGATTATTGGCGGGAGGAATCAATCGACGGAGCGATTGATGGAGCCCGAGAGGCAGGAGCAGAGGGACCTGGGGAGTTGTCGGTGGTGAGGTCATCTAATGTGAACCGCACATGGCCACGAGTAGACTGGTTGGAGGAGTGCGTAGAGTCACTGTCCAGGCGCAGGGAGTCTAGTCGCTCCAGGTCCTCGTAGTCAGGCAGCGGGAGCGGTGATCCATGGTAGTCCTCGATAACACTGCGGTTATCATCGAGTTTGAAGTAGCCGGGTGGGCTGGCGGGAACATCCTCGTAGACAGGAGGCATCTCCTCGTCCCAGCTAATACCCAGGCCACTGCGCTCGGTAACGTTGAGGTTAAACTGCATGCGGAGAACACGAGCGGCACCAGTCGGGGTGATAAGACGAGTGTTGCGGTTGGGGCAGAACTCCTCGGCCACGATGAGCTCGATGACAAGGTTGTGCTTGACTTCCAGGCCACCAGGAGCCTCCATGTCGCAGACCGGGTTGGTTGTCGGGTTGATGCTGGCTTCGAATTGCATGCCAATTTCACCGCCAGCGGTGTCAAAGTCTGTCTTCCAGCCGCTCTTCTCTTCGTTGTGGCCGATGATGCGAGTCTCCTGGTGGAGAACACCCTTGCCCTCGCCACCAATCTTGTGAGTGTGCTTCTGGCAGGCTGTGGACACAATCTTCTGGTGCTCCTCAATACGCCACATCATCTTGCGTAAACGCCAGCGGGTCTGAGTCTCGTCGCCCTTATCCACTACACCACTCAAGGTCATCTCGACGGGGAATTGACCGATGGGGTGAACCACAGAAGGTAGCACGATTCGGCCGGTGAGATTGGTAGGAGGGAAAATCCGGATAGACGACTTGTCATTGCCGGGAATCAGAGCGCGGCGAACGTTCAGGGGCAGCTTGACGTTGAATTCCTCGCCAGTGGTGCTCTTGGCATGGGCCAGCAGGTAGTACTCGATCTGACCCAGCGAGCCATTGCAAGAAGCAGGAACATGTCCGGGGAACAGGTAGCTGAAGGGGAAGTCGTGAGTACCAGCGTTAAGGGAAAGGTCCTCGGTAAGAAAGTTCCACTTGTTCAGCTCCTCGGTTCGTGTTCCACAGTTCGCGCAGTGATTTGAAACCGGCTTCTTGGTAGTGGTCTTGGAGATGAGCTGAGCGTCAAATTGGGTCAGAGTGACATGGCCAATCGCTTCGGTGATGGCAAGGCGCAGGCGGCCGGAGAATAAGGCACCGGTCGAAGTGGCGGGAGTTCCATAGCAGACCAAGGGGGGTGATTCCACCAGGACCTCCATCTTGGCCGATGGCGGGGCCAGTTCCTCCTTTCCATGGCGCTCCTTGGACCGCGCCGACTTTCCCATACTCCGGCGCTTCTCTTTGCTGTGATCTCGGTGGGGGTGAATCAAGTGATCCATGTGGAAGGACAGACGACGTTCCGGAGAGCGAGCACGATCCGGTGTGCCATGTGCAGGCTTCTTGTGGCCATGGTGAATCTCATTGACAGAGGTGGTAGAAGAGGAGTTGGAGTGAATGGGAGTCGACGAAACCGACGAATGCAAAGAGCCAGAGCCCCGAACAAAGTTGGGGATCAGACGGCCCGGCATTTTGGGGGAGGTATGAATGGTGAAGGTTTTTTTATGGAGTGAGTCGAGGGGGGTGTCAAATATTTGGTGGGGGTTGGATAGCTGTCAGTTGCAGATCAGGAAGCAGTGCGGTGTTGATATAATTGCGACAGGTCAATCCAAAACATAACTAGGAGTTCCAAGTATATGGAAAGAAGGAAGTGACCAGTGGGAACCCGTGTCTATTTGAACCTGAATTGAAAAGATCATGTGCTTGAGCCTAATAGACCACCGAATCCGTGGAAAAGCGCATTGAAACTAAGAAATTTTCTAGTTCCCACTTACATCGTCTATGCGGCGAGCCAGGCACGGTGGATGCTGATTGGCTGGCGGCGCCTGGCCACTGAAAATTGTGGATCTTTTTTGCCAAAAATTGAAAAAAAATTGCTCAAAAACTGCAAAAAAGGATGCGACAGAGTGGGGCGTGGAAAAGCGTCATTGTGGGTCTGTACCGTACACATACGCTTCTGTTACGCACCTCTTTCATTCTTTCACTTTCTTTACCGCTTTCCCCCCCCACCATGGTTTTCTTCCTACTCTGTTTGTTTCTGGTCACTAAATCTATTAATTGTTTCTGGTCTTCAATCTAATATTAGTGAAGTCTGGAACCATGACTGACGTAGATTATCTAGATTTATAATAAGGGCATTCATGATCCTCGTCATCGATTTCTGATGAATCATGTTGCGCCATCTACTCTCACGGGCTGTCGGATCTGGTGCCGGGGGCCATAAACCAAGATGATCTCGACTGGGCAAGGATCGGGATCGTCTTCCATATCCTGTCGATTTCCCCACATAGGGGGAATGTGAGCATCATTTTGGGAGGGAATGGCCGTGCGTAAATGACTCACGGTCGGCTAAGTAGCCGGCCTAAGGTTTTAGGTCTTTGGTACTCCGTACAGGTACAACTCCGTCGCCTTTGTTTCGGGCACTATGGTCGGTCCATCCTCGCATGTGGTCGGCGGGGTACACCTCACGATTCGGCCACTTTCAAACTTTGGCCTTGGAATGGTCTATAGGCGCCACGCATACTTCCCCGGATGATTATCAAGCAAACTTGTTCCCGGAGGCTTTGACCGATCAGCTGAGCAAATGTCCGGTGGGCTAGACTAGAGGGTAGTTTACTCCGTCGATGCGTACTAAGCTACTGAAAGGCTAGGTTCGGCGTTCCAAGTCGCCGAGGCAAACCTACCTTCCTTCGTTTCAGTCGCCTTCCATTCTTCTTAGGGCATACGTAGTATCCACGTTTGACGACTACAAAGGTACTAATTATACACTTTGACTACAGAAAAGTCAGCTGGTATCATCACGTGGCGCCATGGCATGTCGACAATCGATGACAGAACGGAACGGGCTGCAATACCATACCGTACGGATCAGAGGCAGATCACGATGCTCCCGCTTTTCCGCTTTGAGGCAGACAAACGCGTGCAAGACCCTGATCCACTCGACTTCGATGATTTTTTTTTTACTTTTTTTTTTTTTCTTCGCCGGCTTCGTTTCTCCCTTCTGCCACCGTTTTGGGATTAGTCCATTCTGCAAATTTGCATCCTCATACCCCGCAACTACTACTGATTTTGCGGGGCACTTGTCGCTTCCATGAACACATGGCAAAGGAGAGTGGTAGCTGTGGAATGAAGAATATATTGTAGAGCTTATGATCTCCATAGAAAGTCTAGCCCAACTGTCAAGATGTGCTCTGTGCTCTCCATCAGGGGCTTCTGGCGAATCAAGAACCCTCCTGTCCGCACTAATTACCTAACAGTTTGCTCCCACGATCCCTGACACCTACAGAACCAGCACACCTCAGGTACCTCCTACTAAGCTGAGAGCACGGATGTATCAGGTTCATATCACCTGCAGCTGCACCTGGACCATGTCCATGCAAGTCCTACGTAGTCGTGAATAAACTCGTTTTTGGGGCTCGAGCGTCCTTGACTCACTCTCTCCGCGGAGCACGTCTACCATGCGGTGAGGATCTGATCACGCCATGAGCTCTTCTAAGACCCGAATGCTACACACAAAGGTACTTTTGATGATCCAACAAGGAAATTGGGGTCGCGCTCGCCCGCGTGGCCCCCTCCTTGGCGGTATCCCCCCTTCAACCATGTCGATCCATGGCTCCAGACCAGCATGGGGGACCCATTTCCCGTTTAGACGCTTTCCTATGCGGGTACCGCGTAGAGTAGCCGGTTTAAGGTGACCGGAGTGGGTTGTACGACGTCGGGCGGTTTACATCATCTCATTGAATTGAATAGTTTCATTTATTTCAGGATGGGCCAATAGACTATGGTAGATCGGGTTAAGCAAGTCGCCAATGGAAAAGGCGCGACATGGCATGCCGTGGATACGCGCTCCGTTGAGCTTCCTGATTCGGGTCGATCTCGGAGAACCCCTCCGTGGCTTTAATGTTGACACAGCCTTGTTGGCTAATTGCTTTCCCATACTTGACACATGTCGTTACTTCCAAGGTTCTCAATTGCTTTTCCCTTTTAAGTTTTGCTTATTCGATCAGGATCATCTACATGTCCCTACGTAGGTAAAAGCCACCGACATCTCGCTTACGTTGTCTAAGCAATCCTCATGTTGTTCACCGCCCCCCTAAACGTCAGGCCCATGGCATCATCTTTCCGTGGTTCTCTAGCTTAGTGTATTTGGCTCGTCCTCTAGTCAATCGAAATTTTCTAGATGCCACGGAAAACTCCCTCCGCCCCACCACCAGAAGCGGGAGTCGCGCAGAAATTTTCTGTTTTCCCGGGAAATATCCACACTTTGAACTTTATACTCGGCCCGGGGCAACGTGATGCTTAACCTACTGGCGGTGATTCTCTTACCAAGACTTTTCTTCCTTGGTTCTAGAGTCCGTTTCAGGAGATGGTGGATGTGTTTATTACAATGGTCCCGTACGGACGTCCGTCTGTCTTCCATAATCCACATGGGGCCACTCCGCTTCGTTTCGGAGAGCCCCGATGACGGACGGGAAACTCGCAGAGTTTTGTTTTTCTGTTTTTATTCTGAGTCGTTGACCGGCCCGAGTGCAAGTATCGGTGTACCGGGTGGAGATTTTGGTTTTTCTTATGTTTTCGATCACAAAGGAATTGAGGGGGGAATACATGAAAATCCGATCACATCATTCCAAGATTTTTTGATGATCGCCGAGACCTTGGTGGTCAGCCTTATACGACTACGGTCTATATGAGTCAATTCCGGTTCTTCGGCAACAAGAACACCAAGGAACAAATGATCGTATGAGCAATTAGCCTGTTTAAAATGCGTAGCACATGAAGCCACCGTTTGAAATACTTGAACGTTGATAGATTAAATGTCAATCTGAGAATTGCTAACTGTCACCTGCCGACGTCCAAAAGGTTATGGACAAAATCGCTCTCGTTGCACTTGATTCCCAACCTTGAATAATGTGCTTTTCATCACTTCTCAAGTGTATGAATCCAATGAAATGAGGCGCTCAATTGTGCCATTTCTCTACTAGCAGACTAGAGGACCCTGAGTCAAAAGTCGGACAGATCGGACTCGGCGTTATTCCAATGTTACTACACCGAACATTGTTATCAATTCATTGTGACAAAGAGAACTCGGGTTGAAACTACATGGAATGCGTTCCTATGGTCGAGAGCCACCACGATTTGATCCGCATCTTGGAGCTTGTCTAGGATTTTTGATGAATGATGACTCGACGTCATGTATTGAATCAGGTACTGATACTAGTGGGAAATAAGAGACCCGGGGAAACGTATTGGCCTTGGCCCTGCCATATTATCTGGGCACCAACGTTAGGCATTCCCTATCTACCAGGGATCCAAAGCTAAGCAATGTACAATTGCAGGTATGACACGTCGTTCCGAGAAAAAAAACAAGTCTTAAAAAGTCTAAGAATGAAATTTGATTTATTCGTTTGAGCCAGTTTTTTTTACTGGATCCCTGGTGGCTGCCAATGAGCCCGATTCGTCTATGCTGTTCTCCGGGGCTATTGGCGATCAGCCATTCGGACTAACAGTCAAGTCAGACTGAGGAATTTTTGACTCTATGCTAGATTTGAAGATTCCCCCCTTGCATGTTCTAGTTGATCCCGTCGACATTGAAGCCAGCTATGGGCATTTGGGTGCTGGTCTTGGTCTAAATGGTATCCGAAGGCAAATCATGGTCTGGATAGCGAGACAGTCTTCTTTAGAGGACAACCCATTGGTACCAGGTCTGAGCTGCGCGTGTCCAGGCGTCCATGGCTGGGGCCTTTGGGACGCATAGGTACATACTCAGAAGTCTATTCTTAGGCAATTGTGTGAACAAAGTCTAAGTTCATAGCCAGGAAGGTCTGAGTGGGTACTACCGGTATATATATCTTCGAATGTCCACAGACGCCATCCACGGCTGTGATCATTTTCCAAACTGGCAATTCGATAACGTAATCCCTTATTCAGACAAGCAGACATCCTGTCGAAAAACAATAACATCAGTATTGAGGCCGAGAAAGATTGGAGCCTGTCCTTTAGACTGCACTGAACCGCACGTGATCCATTCTGGGGGATCGACCCGCAGAATCATAATTCTGAGCTTCCCCCTTTTTCGGGACAGCTTCATGCCACCGTGTTCTTTCAATGTGAACACTTGCTCTACCATGGGTCTAACCAACCCCTAAATTTATATCCTATACAGTTGAAAGCTCACCCCGGAAGCTTCGCCCCTACATAAGGTGGGATGTTGCGGGAATCTACTGCCGTTCCCCACTGTGCCATGTCTTGAGCTCCTGCAGTCTTTGATCCACTTTTTTAACGAACCGACCCCTACCGCATCCCGCTGTGCATCATCACCTTTGATCTTTCAGTGGGCAAAGTTGAACCAAACACACACCACCTAGGCTCAGGGCGCTGAAATAAAACATAAAACTGCCGAGCTAGAGGCGGGTGACGAATAGGCACACCACGGCTTCAAGGGTCCAATCAGTACCCTGAACAAGCCCCCATTCCTCTCGGCTTACCATCATGGCGTCGCTCAATTGGGTCTCAGTGGTGGTAGCTATTGGGGCAGTCTTCCTCTTCTGGACCTTCTCGGCCACATCATCTTCGCCCTTCACGCGCAACTTCCCACGGCTCCACAACAAGCGCATCTGTCTGTTAATCGCACACCCTGACGATGAGGCAATGTTCTTTGCGCCGACAGTTCTGGCGCTCACCAAGCCGGAGCTAGGTAACCATCTCAAGATTCTCTGTCTCAGCACTGGTACGTCATCATCTACCCCCCGCCGAGAATAGGGAGACGTGTTTTCCAGATCAATGTCTCAACAGAGAAGTGGACTACATGAGAAGCTAGATCAGAAGCTAATAAGTCTCCTCCGGATACAGGCGATGCCGACGGTCTCGGCGAAACCCGCAAAAAAGAGCTTCAGAAAAGCGCCCTCCAGCTCGGCCTTCGCGATGAATCCGACGTCTTCATTGTCGATGACCCCACTCGCTTCCCGGATAGCATGACCAAAAACTGGCCGGCCGATCAAGTCTCCTCTCTCCTTGCTTTTGCCTTTGCACCCGAACTCGCTGCCTCTCTCAACGGAAGCAAAAAGGCAGACCCCAAGAAAGCTCCCACTGCCACCATCGACGTACTCCTTACCTTCGACGAGCATGGAATCAGCAATCATATAAACCACCGCTCACTGTATTATGGTGCTGTACACTTCCTGCGCTTGCTCATGAAGGAGAAGCCCGGATTTGCGTCTCCCGTTGAGCTATATACTTTGACGAGCCTTTCGGTGTTCAGGAAATATGCCGGAGTGCTTGATGCGCCGATTTCCATGCTCCAGGGTGCCTTTTCCAATGTCGTAGCGAGATTGAGTGGAGTGAAGAAGGACGGATCCGGTCCGGCAAGGTTACTTTTTGTTAGTTCCGTGGGGGAATGGCTGACTGCCCAGGCGGCCATGGTGAAGTGCCATCAGAGCCAAATGGTTTGGTTCCGGTGGGGATGGATTACTATTGGGCGGTATATGACCGTTAATGATTTGAAGAAAGAGAAAATCTAAGAGCGATTCTTTTGCTGCGACTTTTTGCGTTCATGCAGCTGTTTTTTCTCGAATATGAATTCTTTTCTGGACAATAGTTGATTAATGGCTGTACATCATCCAATATATTCAGGCCTTAAGGCCATGTAAAATTGCGAATATTGTACAATTTCGTGATACTCAAACATGCTGTCAGAAGATGTCCGAGCCTAAAGACTCCGTGGGTATCTAAATTAAATGGATGCAGCGCTAGTACAAAAGTTCAACTCCCAAACAGCAACTTTGGACCTGTAAATAAAGCCCTAAACCCGGGACGATTCGTCCAGCAGATACACACCTCGCTTGCTGGGCTTCAACATGTCTAATGCGGCAAGGCGGCCATAGAATCCACCATTAGGGTTATTCGTTGTGGACAACGGATGATCATCGGGATAATCCACCCATGATTCACGGAAATTTGCAAGATTTTCCTCAAACTCTTTCGAGAGAGGCATTTGAAACGTGAATAAGGTATTCAGCGGCTTCATGCTTTTATCCAACCAAGGATATCGAAGCAACATATCCTTCCATTTTGCAGCTTCGCCCCAGAATTGGTGGTCCGGACGAAAGAACAGTTTCTTATGATTTGGGTCTCGTCGCGCAGGCGCCAGATGCTGGTCCACATGCCAATCTCGGTCTTTGAAGCCTTTGGGACCCAGGAAGTCGACCGTGCCGCATTTAGGATCGTAGAAGATTCGCATTCGACTGGGGAGGAAATCGCGCCACTCTTCGATCATCTTTGGTCGCTCTCTTAAGCACCAATCCTCATCCATTGTGTCCTGCCAGTTAGGGACTCGAACTGTGACGAATAGAATACGTTGTAGGATGTAGGCTTGCTGGTAGACTTCTAGTCGGGTGATATTATAAGAATTGATCGCTTCGGCGAGCAAAGGGTCCTGAAAAATCGATTCATCTGGCGAAGTAATTTCTTTCCTTTTGACCTGCCGATTTGCTCTTTCCAGCACTGGTTTGAGAAGCCTCATGATAACTGTCCGTTTCTCTTGCTGCCTGTGTCTGGTTTTAGACAGCAGGTCATACGCGTGCTGCAAATACGACTTGCATTCTTCCAAGCTGCCGCAGTCAATGCTGATATTTATCATGAATCGCCACATTTGCATAGTTGGCGTGACATTGTAGGGTTCAGAGGTCATGGTCGTGAATATTGATCGTACCAGGTCTGCCGACACTTTACCGACATTATTGGCATCTTCGTACCGGTTTTCAGGGGCTCGGACTCTGCACAGAACGTACGCCCTTTCGAATAGTTCATGCCACGTCTTTGCGGGGATAGGGATATTGTATGACGAAGAGATGAACTGAACTGTCTTGAGTGCACCGGTGATATCATTATTTGTGCCCAAGGCATGGGCGACTGCGAAAAGAAGGCTCTCGGTCGGATATAATGCGGACCATGGTTCGTAGGGTGTGGGAGGCGGTAGCTGAGACAGATCATCTGTCTCTTTGATAGCGTCGATATCAACGTTCCACACTGTTTGCAAAACATGCCGGAAACCAGGACCGTGGCCCGTCCGAGCTGATGCAAGCATCACGTTGATATAGGTGCGCTCATCAGGTATATGTCCATAGTCCGTCATCTCTCGAAAGAGTTGCAGCACGGGCCTTCGGATACTGTATTTTGCTGTGCCGTAACCCCGCCAGCCACTGTTGGGTTCCGCCATCCGTCGCTTTTTGTAAGGCTTGGCTAGGATTCGCAAATGATAAGCCTCCTCACCGGTATAGCAGTGATCCCACACCTTCGCTTCCATGTAGTGATTGTAGCAGGTCCCATCCGGAATAACCCTGTCTCGTCTCATTGATTCCCATAGATCATCCGCTAGTGGACCGTTGCCCATTGCTCGCGCACAGTCCAAGAGATGGGTATATTCCGCCAATTCCAATGCAAGACCCTGAGAAGTCCGATTCCGAGTGATCAAAAATAGGTTTTGGACCATTTCATCAAAGACTTCTTCCGCACGTTTGACGCCGTTCAGCAAGGAGGACCAGGCATGCAAGGGGTGGTGGAGGTCTCGGAAGGGCTCCACAAAATGGGCGGGTGACAGCCGGTGGAGCGACTCAATAAACACGATCTGGGGTAATGACCCAACCAGCCCCGCCGACCGTGGGTCTGTCAAACTCGCCATCACTTGGTTGGGTTGACCGTTCTCAATGACGCGATAGAATCTCTCTGCGTATTCTGCTTCTTCCTTTGGAGAGTTCCATGTTGGAAGAGCATTTGCGATCGGTTCTTCTTGTACTTGATCCACTTCGTAGACGGGGGATTCTAGTTGTAGACTGCTGGTATTGAGTGCCTTAATCGAAGTAAGCTGCGCATGGTCTCGTTTTCGCCTCAAATGAGAACTGTTCAATGTTGAAGAGCCTGGAGTCACGGATGAGAGTGGTCTCGTGCGCCCGGTGAGATTAGGGGACCGAAGATGCGTGGAAGTGCAGGAACCAGGCACCGAAACTCTTGGGGACAAGAGCCAGCAAGAGGAGAATCTCTCCCTGGAGAAGCTGATTCTCCTCATCATTGGAAGATAAAAAGCAACATAGATGTGATGGAAAAGGGAGAAGAAAGGACAAAGAGAACGTGAAAGGAAAGCTACATAATACGAGCTGGGGCTAGCGCTTCGACCCCGGATGAAAGAGAGGGGTACACAGTACTTCTGCAGTAGCGTTTCATCACAGCAGTTGAGTGGTGCTCAGACCTCTGCAGAAGTAGAAGCGACCGGGGTTATGCTAATAACACAGTTGCTACGGATATAGACCCATGTCCAGGTCTTTAAAAGTCTAGAGTGACTTGTTATGAGAATCCAAGCTTACTTTCATATATACTTCGGATGGTTCAAGTGGAGTGACGAAACTTAAATGCAGTTGCACTCCATTCTTTTCCCCATTTTTTCTCCAGAAAATCACACAGAGACAAACACTTCAAAAAGTCCGGGGTAAAACCTGAATGACTCAGCATTAGCCTGCCATGCGCTAAACCTGATTAGGCAGCGGACAAAGCTCTCCAATTCTGTTTCCGCCCGCGATCAAGCTGAAGACAAGGAAATCCACCCCACCCTTCAATTCTACCATGGCCGATAACGAGGATGCAGGCGCCTCTGTCTCAGAGCCCTTGGATCTTGTTCGTTTGTCTCTGGACGAAATTGTCTTCGTGAAGTTGCGCGGTGACCGTGAACTCAAGGGCCGCCTCCACGTGAGCCCACCCGCTCCCGCACTCATACGACCCCTCAGCTGATTATGACGACTCGTTAGGCATACGATAGCCATTGCAACCTGGTTCTTGGCGATGTGGAGGAAACAATCTACGTGGTAGAGGAGGACGATAACGAAGAGGAGACCACACGGGTAGGCATTGTGTGTCCATGTTGAGGGACCAAAACGCTGACTAGGAATATCCTGAATAGACAATCAAGAAGCAAGAAGAGATGCTTTTCGTACGAGGTGAGTCATTTCGGCTATTCATTCTCCCCGAGTCATCTTCCTAATTCTGCTATAGGTGATTCCGTCGTTTTGATCTCCCCCCAGGCCTGATCGGCCCACGAATCGATAGAGAAACAGGCGTCTGGCGAGCGGAGGACCTGGGAGGATTGGACAATGAGACACTGAGATACCATCCACGGGCTGAATAGATACGAGACCCCATGAAAGTTGGTTTATGACCCTTTTGACACCATTTCCTGATCTACCGTAATCTGTAACCAAGCCGCAAGACTGTAGGCCCCCCACTAATGGAACTCCACTGTTAGTCACAATAACTTCTATCTGTTTCTAGCCTAGAGCATAGACTTATGCGTGGTCATCACTTTGAGCAGGTGATGGCGGGGAGTGTAGTGATGACTCAAAGCGGGTGACTCGATTCCGGACAGCTATGGTTATCGATAAAGATGGCCCCGATCGCCCCGGGCACCTTCTTCCCCCTTCACAATCTTCATACACCTTACCAATTAAAAATCGCATTCACTGTTCTTAGTTTATTAAGGACAGTCAAGCAATGATCCCTCGAATACAAGTCTGAAACGCGCGCCAGAGCAGAGGCCAACAGGTCCCACTTTGATATCCATCCCCGACCGCAACGTCACTACCCCAGAGGTTCCTCCGTCCAGGAAACCTTTCCACCCAAACATGCCAGTACATACGAAATCAAATCCCGAAGAGCGGAAACGAGGCGAAATCGTATGTTAACCCGTTATATTTCTGCGGTTACTCCCACTTATCTGTCTATATGTCCTAGGCCCTCAGCGAGTTCGCCGAGTATGCCGAAAAGCAGCAATCGCACCGCTCAGCTGTCGCTGTCCCCAGCGACAGTGGCTATGAGACAGGAAGCGTGGCGCCTAGTCTGGAAGATCATGCAGAACTAGATATTCTGGACCAACTCTGCCTTTCTGACGCCCCCCGCACCGTCAAGTTGAAGGAGCTTCTCCTGGGGACGGGCGAGGATACTGAGAATAGTCTACAGCTGCTAGCTGGGATACTACAAGCGCGCACTGACGAAGGTCTTGGCGAGACTATTTTCGACCTTGGCCTTGAAGATGGCGGTGATTCAATGGGCTTCGACCTTCCTCAATGGGAAATTGCTCTACAGCGGCTGCGCGAAGCGGCCGAAACTATTCCTGCTCACTGCCGAATACTTCTTACCTACAATGTTGGCGGCCCTCAGGAGTGCCCGGCGAAGGGAGAGCGATCCAAGGATGTGTGGGGTAAGGTGCTTATCCGCCAGCATGCGGTCAACATAGAGGATATGGCGGAAATTCGGATGGCCGTGGTGGGTAATGTCGATGCAGGAAAGAGTACCATGCTTGGCGTGCTGGTCAAAGGCAGCCTCGATGATGGTCGTGGTCGTGCACGACTCAACCTCTTCCGCCACAAGCATGAGATTGAGAGTGGACGAACTAGCTCTGTCGGGTTGGAGATCATGGGATTTGACAGTCACGGCGAGATTGTCGCAAACTCGCAGGGTCGAAAACTGTCCTGGGAAGAAATAGGGAAAAAGTCCGCCAAGGTGATCTCCTTCTCTGACCTTGCGGGTCACGAGCGGTACCTGCGAACTACCGTTTTTGGTATGCTGAGCAGCAGCCCCAACTACTGTTTGCTGATGGTCGCCGCGAATAATGGCCTAATTGGAATGAGTCGTGAACACCTGGGCATAGCCCTTGCACTCAATGTGCCCGTCATGGTCATCATCACTAAGATTGACATTTGCCCGCCCCAGATCCTCCAGGAGACTCTGTCTCAACTTTCGAAGATTCTCAAATCGCCCGGGGCGCGCAAAATCCCCATTTTCGTCAAGGACATGGAGGAGACCATCAATACGGCGGGTCAGTTTGTCAGTCAGCGGATTTGCCCTATCTTCCAAGTCTCCAATGTGACTGGCGAGAACCTGGACCTCGTCCGAACCTTCCTGAATATCCTCCCCCACCGGGGTCACTATGACCAGGATGGGCCCTTTGAGTTCTTGATAAACGACACATTCTCTGTCCCACACGTGGGCACTGTGGTCTCCGGTGTTGTCAAGTCTGGTGTGATTCACGCTGGTGACTCGGTAGTGGTGGGACCTGACTCCCTAGGCCAGTTCACTACAACTGCCATTAAGACCATTGAACGTAAAAGGATACCAGTCAATGCTTGCTTCGCAGGCCAGTCAGGATCCTTTGCGCTGAAGCGTGTGCGCCGTAAGGAAGTGCGTAAGGGTATGGTCGTTTTGAAGAAGATGGACCAACCCCCTAAAGTTTACCGGGAGTTCGTTGCTGAAGGTAAAATGCTAGATCGGGAATCTTGTGAATATCTACTGACATAGCTTTAGTGTTGATCTTGTCCCACGCGACTACCATTAAACCCAAGTACCAGGCCATGTTACACGTCGGAGCGGTCAGCCAGACATGTTCGGTCATTGACATTGACCGCCCTTTCATTCGAACGGGTGATCGTGCTCTTGTCGCCTTTCGGTTTATTCAGCGGCCCGAGTTTCTGGCCCCCGGCGATCGTGTACTCTTTCGAGAAGGTAAAACGAAAGGGCTGGGAATCGTCAAGAGCATTGGCTATGATCCCAGTCAGCCGCTCAGTGCCAACACAAAAGGTGACGCAGACACCTCAAAACCTGTGAAAGAAACATGATTACGGTGTACGGAGCTGAGCCTTATTGTTTCATCTATTATTTCCTTATTTTCTACTCTTCTGGTGGCTTTTTTCTGTCCTATTGATTATTAGCCAAGCCCACGTGACGTGACGTCAGATGATGACATCCGTCGATCGCTGTATCCATTCAGATCCAATTTAGCTGAGCTCGGTCCAATTATACTTGAGCAACCATCGTGTCCATTTTGTTCATCCTGGGCTCCACTGACGTAGTGGATTACATGGTAGCAGATATAGCTTAAGACGCCCTGCCACATGCGTACCTTTCAATCAATTTCAACTTACGCTTTCCACCAAACTTTCCCCTACCCATTGATAACCGCTTTTTTCTCTTGAAGCACCTCCGACCGTCATAATATCTTTTCATTACTACGCTACATCCTATACTTCCCCCCAAAAATGGATACCGTCAACCGATATGTCACTGCGGCCTCCACTGCACTGTGGGGCGAGAATCAGGAGTCCCAAGATGTCGCACACGGCGATGAGCCCGTGTCGGGTGTGCAGGGAAAAGGAGTCGGCAATGACCCTTATGATGCTGGAAACCGTGATGGTAAGTGTATAGTCTGCCAGCTGTCCATCACGAGAAGCAAGACTGGCATTAACCCCATGTAGAACAACCCGATGCTCCCAAATCAGATGGCAACACTGCTCCACAAGAACCCAAACTTGGCGGCACACCTTTGAACAAAGCTGAGCCCGTCTTGGCAGACAACAGCTCTAGCGCTGTCGCTGGTGGATCTGGATCTGGCACCAGCGAATTGTCCATGCCAAAGTTCATTCAATCTCAAGCCCCAGAGCAGCGAAGTACAGAGAAGAGCGCAGTCCCCAAGGACCAAGGACTAGGAAATCAAGAACAAGACACTGCTGAAAGCAATACCACCGAGAAAAATACCACTGACAATAAGACTGACGAGAGTAACACCGATGAGAGCAAAAACACGGGCGAAAACAACAAGGAGCTCCCTGCTCCACCACACAACAAGGAAGTCAGCGAGGAGGCACTGAAGGGTCCACAAGGACCGGCGCCCAAGCCTGCAGAGCAGTTCGAGAAAGAGGAAAAGATCAAGCAGAAAAAGCCAGCTGAGTCTAGATCCAGTGGGGATAGTATGTTTACATTATCCATTCCAGTTGCTACTCAATCGTAGTATGCTCGATGGCTAACATGTCTCATTGGCCTAGGTGACCCATCTTCAAAGAGCCACAACAGCAATGACAAAGCATCTAACGGAAGCGGAAGCGACAAAAAGCACGGTGCCATGGCGAAGGTGAAGGAAACATTGAATAAGGTTGCTCACCCACGCCACGGGAACAACAAGGCTTAAACGTGAAGCTTGACCTCTGCAAGGCGGATTGTTCAGGCCGTTTCCCCACGATTTCGTTTGTGTTGGCGATGATTGGATGTTCTGTTTGATATATTTTCTCGGACTACATATTTTTTGTACTATTACCCAACTATGAATGCGTTGCCCTTTCATTCGAGACAAGCCTGAAGTAATTGAGCCTAGTATACTTCACCTGGTGCCCGTAGGCAATAAGATCACCCTAGGTAAAACCTAAGGTTACTTTAGTTTAGTATGTTAAATGGAAGCGTCAAATAGTCATCTGTCATGTAGGTAATCTTCCTTCAAATGCTTTGAAGTTCCAGGGCTTCTGCATCAAAACCATTCAACTGATATCTATTCGACATTCAAAGATTCGAAAATGGCGACTCATAATATGTACCCACGCTCTGGCCGTGACTTTTTTAAACCTCGGAAATTCAAAGTGGTGAAACATTATTACGTGATAAATTATGTGACTACAGGTCAGACAGGCCTATTTTTAGAAGTCGATAGTTGAAGAATTGAAAACATCAACTATAACCCATGACAGAAGCCTGAGTCTCGGTTATCTTTTGGTTGCATGGCTACGGTCAATAGCGTCCAAAATGTATCCATGGCTACTTGCAAACCAGCATGAAGACTGTCAAATGAGAGTCTGCAGACCTCTGCCTTATTTTCTATTATCTTTCAAACCATTCCGTGAATTCAGCAAAGTCAAAGTATCGCATAGAAATGTGTGTGGTTCATTCTTAAACCTGAAAATGTTGGTTGAGTATATTAGGACGGGATGGATCCAAGGTCCATGATGCGTCCGTGCTTTCTGGCTATTTCTTGGTTTATCGAGTCCCAATTTAATCTATTACTGCACAGCCACCTGGGCAGCATCCCGATTTTTGTTGTTTCATGAGAGTGCTGTAGGTCAGCATTGGCTCAATGGCATTGCGCCACTGAAATCAGTTCACGTCATTTCCCCACAGATAAGATAACCTTAGACAGCCCCTGTCGACCTGCATGCCAGTGACGAGCACTTCCACATCGTGTCTCAGGGACACCCCTTTCTGCTCTTGACCCTTTAGTCGCCCTAGGCCCTTTGAACCAATTCTTGATGAAGTCAAGGTCATCCAAGCCAATGAAAAGACGCCTCCCATACAACACGCACCCCGCATAGCGGCCACTTGATCACCCGCCGATATGAGCGTCCACTCGCTCGACTATGCGCAGCCGGACAATATGCGACTTGAACCGCTTCCAAACCTTGATCTCGAAGCTGGACGCCACTCGCCTACCTCCCCTACAGAGAGATCCCCAAATAGGGGGAATGGGTCATTCGTAGACGTGAACGCGTTCACCACTGCAGCACGGATCAACTCAACCGACACAGCCAAACGTCGCATGCGACGTTCGAACACGGCGCGCTCCTATCGACCTGAAGGCTTTGCCCAGAACTCGACTTGGCAGCCCGGAACCGAACCTGGTATCGATCCGACCAAATCCCTCCCCGACTCGAGTGCCGAATGGGCATCGAACGTGCCCAGCGATCTACATCGAGAGTGTGAAATTACAGTGGTGGATTTCTCGCAGAATGAAATGCGGCAGTATGAGTTGGACAACGCGACGCTAGAACAGTTTCTGGCGCGTGAACGAGAACCATGGGTGCAATGCCGATGGATCAACGTGAACGGCCTAAGCTGGGACGTGATTAAAATTCTTGGAAATCATAAAAAGCTACATCGACTTGCGATCGAAGACGTGGTTCACACAACGAACCGAACGAAAGCCGATTGGTATTCGGACCATGTTTTTGTTGTGTTGGCATTGCAAAAATTGGTCAAGCTGCAAGAAGAAAAGAGTGACTCTGACGACGAGGACGCCGCAGATGGTAAATTTAAGGAGAGAACCGGATCTGTTGCAAGTGACAGAAGCTCGGTGTCTATCAAACGGCTCACCAAGCGAAATCTCATCCTTGACGCTCTCAAGGACATCTTCCGGCCCAAGCGAGGGTCACACGAAGAACGCGAAGACAAAATTCCCGTTGGAGCTAGTGTTCGCCCTGGTCCACGTCGGCAGTCTTCGAAGCATACTTCCCATTTTGGAGATTTGTCTGTGACCAAGGGACGCACTGCTAGGACTCTACAGCGATATCGCGGTGGTCCAAATGAAGGCCGAATTGAGTTCATGGAACGTCATGCAGTGTTGGCAGCCAAAAACCTATGCGTCACACTAGAGCAAGTTTCAATATTCTTACATGCCGACAATACCGTGACATCCTTTTTTGAAAGCAGTGCCGATGATATCGAAGCCCCTATTGTTCGGCGTCTGAGTTCTCCTGAGACGATTTTGCGACAATCCTGCGATGCAAGCATGCTCCTGCAGGCCATCCTTGATGCCATTATCGATCTCGCGCTTCCAGTAACCATGGCCTACCAAGATGCCATTGGCGATCTCGAACTTGAAGTCTTGACTGATCCGGATATCGATCAATCCAAGAGCTTGTACATCCTTACGTCCGAAATCTCAGTACTGCGTAATTCTATGCAGCCTATCGTCGCCGTGATCAACGCGCTTCGTGATCATCGATCGCAACCAATCGGTACACCTGGACTCGGAATTGTCCGCAGTAGCCCTCAGAGCCAAGGTACTGCAACGGATGATCCATATTACGACCACGAAGATGATCCACGAATCGAAATTGCGCCACCAAATTTAAAGAGTACTAGCGGCTCGACTGTGACGATAAGTCACATGTGCCATACCTACCTGGGTGATGCCCTAGATCACTGTATTACCATCGTGGAAGGATATGATCAAATGCGACGTGCTGCGGATAACATGATTGATCTTATTTTCAACACTATTGGTGAGTCTGGTCTTCTACTTTGGTAGTATAAAACTAATACCTTGGAAGGTGCCTACCAAAACGAGAGCATGAAACAGCTCACCATCGTCACTTGTCTGTATCTCCCTATGACCTTCTTGACGGTATGTGATACTAGCATCATCTTAATATGTGCATTCTAACGATTATTGTAGGGGTACTTTGGAATGAACTTCACTGACTTTGCTGGCATTAACAATAGCGACTCGTATGTCCCCCATAAAACCAAACAGCCCTATAGATGAGATGCTAATTCTAGATCCAGCTATTTTTGGAAGATTGCTATTCCTTTCGTTTTCGTGACAACTTGCTTTTTAATGTGAGTTGTGAGATACCTGGTCCGAGAGAACCTACCTACTAACATTATCCTCAGGCGTGACAAGATTCAGCGTACCGCTGTCATGCTCGCTCAGAAGCGTCTTATCACTAGCTCCAGGAAACAACGACAAGAACGGAAGGAGAAGTAATTTTGCTATAACACCACAGCGGACTAAAAATTTGAGCGAAGGTTTTCACGCTGTTGTACATTTGTCTTATCGACAGACTCTCAGTCTTGTATATCATATCCATAGAGTACAGTTTTATTATACAAAGCTTGACGTGTTCTCATCAAATAGTCTTCTGTCGGAAAGCCCAGTAAGCCTTCCAAGGAAGTCTCCAATCAGACCGGAGCAACTCGGGACGGAAAACATCGAAATCATGCTCCTGCAGCCGATCCAGCCAGAGCCTCGTCCCGATAGCAGGCATGAACACGCCAAATGCCCTGTTCACCTCATCGAGAGGCGAGTCACGAGAGTGGCTCGGCGCATCATATTCATGACCCTCTTCACCCTCATGCTCAAAGTCGTGTCCAACGTCCTTACCCTCGCGCAGATTACTCAACATCTGCTCCACAGTAATCAAGTGATCGCTCGCGCGGGTTGCAACCTCAAAGACCGCGTCTCGCAGCCCCTCGGCTTCAGCACCTCGCCTCAATACTTCCTCCTCCTTCACACCGGTCTTGGCCATAATATCTAGCGGCAACATCACGGCACCTTGCCGCGCTCCGCCACTCAATCCCAAAGTGGCTGCGCCACCACCAGCCGGCAAATGAGGCTGTGGAGCTGGAAATGCAACCAAAGGCAGGCCGCGCAAGACCGCCGCAATACCAACTGCTTTTCCGATATGCGACGCGACATGGTCGGCCGTCACAGATGTCATTGGCAGCGCCTGAAGAGTAAGGTACATAAGAGTCGAGTAGGTATTCTCGGCGTAAGACTCCAGCGCCGCAATATTGGTATAGGGATCATTCGTGAGTGTCTGCTCGCGAGCATTAATCAATCGTGTAAGCCAGCCCTTGCTGATCCGGGCGTGGCCGTCTGTGCGCTGGTGAAGTTCGGAGATGGCAGAGGAGAGGAGGATTGCGACGGGTTCTTTTGGTGGGTTACCAGCGAGAATCTTGGCCACGGAATCGCGCCAGAATTGAAGGCGCATGAGACCAATTGTGGGCGATGACGTTGTTTCGGGGATTAGGGAGAGAGAGACGTTCAATGCGCGGAGGGCGAGGTAGAAGGATCGGGCGTGAGGGGGGATGAAGCTGCTTAGGGTGTAGGAGGGTCGGTCATATTTTCTGGATTGTAGAATATGGTGAGTAGCTGAAGTCTAAAAGATTGGCTGACCATTGGGAGAGCCTGTGGAAGGTTGTGGTGCGTACGAGAGTAGACCGACGCAGTATTTATGTGCGCCTTCAACTTCTTCGGCGGTAATAGAAGAACGGACTGCATGGGTGCGGCTGAAAGGTCTTTTCTGTTCCCGTAGTGACTTTGAGTAGAGCAGGCGAGCACTGCTGGCCCGGCATGGTCGAGCCGCCTCCTTGAAGAGAGACATTGTTGGGAGTGGGAGGCAGTTGAAGATGCAAGTTGGAGAAGTTGAGGAAGGTTGTAATCCGCTTAATAGTATTGGTCCATCCGCATTTGACCCAGAATGGTCGACCTATTACTAATAAATCTGGTTGAAAGCGTATAGAATTTACCAATCAATAGGAGTTATACAGGAGTACTGTGATTTGGAAGTTGAAAAGTCTTAATAGAATAAAAGTGAGAAATAAATTAATCGTTGCCGACTTTTTTTTTTCCGACTGACGTCGATCCGCCCGTTTTCGCGTTTCTCGGCGCGTCTCCCCAACTTGATTTTCTCACTCAACCTTCATTTTGATGTCGAAACCACGATTATGAGCGAGGACTTGGATCAAAGGCCTGCGAAAAGACCGCGCTTCTTTGTGGATGATGCTGTGTCTTCGCTAGGCCCGGACACGTCGAATACCGACGCGTCGCTACCGCGGTACCACCCCGGTCTCAAGGGTCATGGTACAGAGCAAGATGGTCAGGACAATATCCCGGAGATACAATCGCCTAGGGATGACGAACCTTCAAAAGATTCCACAGAAAAACCGGCTCCTCCCTCCCCGACTGAGATACCAGGCACTGCAATGACGGATTCAACCTCGGCGCCTTCACAGCTGAATGGGATTACTGGGCTACATACAAACGAACTCCTTGTTGCGAAGAGCGAACCGCTGGTTGAGGATGCAGCCGGCTTTGATGTGGAACTTTTCACCAGCATCATAGGAGAACGACTCCCTCCGGCCTCTATAGAAACCATCCAAACCGCCGCTTCAAACAACATTGAAAGAGCAGTGAACATATACTTTGACGGTTCATGGAAGAAGCCCTTGAAGCCGAGCTCACGGACAAACCCTATCCCTTTTCGTGGAACCTATTCTGCACAGCCAGACTCTCGTGCTGGGGTATCTTCCCAGGCCAACGACAATCCTTCGACTGAATATGACTCTTTGTCACGAAAGTTACCTCCCTCGCGATTCATCGGAGCATTTGGTGTAGGTGGCTGGGCGACTCGGAGCGGGCCTGCCTTGCTGAAGCATGGAGATCCTGTTAAAATCGAGCGTGCCAGATCGCAGCCGACTACCAAACGCGTTCGTGGAGGCAAAACGATGATCAACCATAAGGGCGATGTCTTGACACGATTCACCAATACTGCAGGGCAAGAGGTTGGACGACTGCCTCATGAAACAGCAGAGTGGGTTTCTACTCTGATCGACCAAAATATTTGCCATTTTGAAGGAGTTTGCGTCTTTAGTGACGACAGGCTAAGAGTCAACGATACCATTTATCTACAGTTGCACTGTTTCCTTCGTAGAGAATCGTTCCAGAACGGGTTGAACATCGGATCCGGAACCGATGATAACAGATCTACTGGCCTCTTTGAAGAAAAAGAGAGCATAGAGGAGAAGAACCTACGACTTCGACAGGTGTCCCTCGTTAAATTATTCGATGCAATTGAACTCAAGCCCACATCGACAAATCCTGCCACGGAGAAACACAAAAAGAGCGGAATTCTCCGGGCTGCCGAGATGGCAGAGCAGTATGACGGTGTCAAAAAAGAGAAATCTAAAGGCTCCAAAGACCCCGAAGACTCCTCTGAAGAGGACGACACTCCGGAGCTTGCTCAAGACCAGCTTGATGCTCTGTATCGGAAAGCCCAATCATTCGACTTCAACATGCCGGAGGCTCAGCCTGCGCCGACTTTCAGAATGAATCTTCGAAAATATCAGAGGCAGGCTCTTCACTGGATGCTTTCAAAGGAGAAGGACCGGAAACAGACTCGTGAACGTTCAATGCATCCACTATGGGAGCAATACAAATGGCCAGTGAAAGACAGCGATGACAAAGATCTTCCTGCTTTCGAAGGAATTGAGCATTTCTACGTCAATCCATACTCGGGAGACCTCAGCGTGGACTTCCCAGCTCAGGAACAACACTGCCTGGGTGGAATACTAGCAGATGAGATGGGACTCGGAAAGACGATCGAAATGATGAGTCTTATCCATTCCCATAGAATCGAGCCTCCCCGATTGTCAAACGACATGAGTTCTGTGAACGACCTTGCCCGATTACCGCATTCGACAGGCATAGTTCCCGCGCCATACACAACTTTGGTCGTTGCCCCCACGTCACTACTTTCGCAGTGGGAGAGTGAAGCATTGAAAGCGTCGGAAGAGGGGAGCATGCGTGTTCTCATGTACTATGGGGCCGAGAAGGTTGTCAATCTTCGAGATCTTTGCTGTGAATCTAATTATGCTTCTGCACCCACTGTTATTGTAACCAGCTTCGGTACTGTGCTATCTGAGTTTCGCTATTTGGCATCTCAATCCATGATATCAGCCGGTGCATACGGTGGCTTGTTCTCTGTCGAGTTCTTCCGCGTTATCATCGATGAGGCCCATACGATCAAGAATCGGCGTTCCAAAACTACTAAAGCCTGTTGTGAACTCAAGACCACCCATCGATGGGTCCTCACAGGTACGCCTATTGTCAATCGGCTGGAAGACTTGTTCAGTCTAGTGCGATTTTTGAAGGTCGAACCCTGGAGCAACTTCTCGTTCTGGAAAACATTCATCACGGTTCCATTTGAATCGAAGGAGTATATCCGGGCTCTCAATGTTGTACAGAGCGTTCTCGAGCCACTTGTTCTTCGACGAACGAAGAGTATGAAAACCCCAGAAGGTGAACCATTAGTTCCCCTGCCAGCTAAAGTCGTCACCATTGAGGAAATTGAACTTCCTCAAAAAGAGCGAGAAATCTATGACTGCATCTATAATCGGGCCAAGCAAACCTTCAATGACAATGTCGAGGCTGGTACTCTGCTGAAGTCTTACTCCACCATTTTTGCTCAGATCCTCCGTCTCCGCCAGACTTGCTGTCACCCTGTTCTGACCCGTAACAAAGAGATCGTGGCAGATGAGGAAGTCGCTGCGGCTGTCGCTGATGCAGCCAACGAGATGAAAGATGACATGGACCTTCAGCAACTGATCCAACAATTCACTGCTGCAACAAATGCGAATGCTGAATCCGAAGATCGGTCCGTCAAATTTACTGCACACGCTCTTCGACAGATCCAAACCGAGTCTAGTGGAGAGTGTCCTATCTGCTGTGACGAGCCCATGAATGATCCAGCAGTGACGGCATGTTGGCATAGTGCATGCAAGAAGTGCCTTCAGGATTTTGTGGCACACCAGATGAACAAGCAGGTCGAACCACGATGCTTCTCATGTCGAGCTCCAATCGATGCTAAGAATATTTTCGAAGTTGTTCGTCATCCGTCTTCTAATCCGACGCCAATGGATGAATTTGCTTCTAGTGAAACGGCACCAACCGCTTCACAGCCTGCCCCACGTATTTCCCTTCGTCGTATCAACCCGCTTTCGCCATCTGCACATACCTCTGCCAAAATTCATGCGCTGATCAACCATCTCTCGCGGGTTCCAGCGGGCACAAAATCGGTTGTCTTCTCTCAATTCACGTCGTTCCTCGATCTTATCGGCCCCCAACTAACTCGCGTTGGTATCAAGCACGTTCGACTTGATGGGTCTATGGCCCAGAAGCAGCGCAAACAGGTCTTGGAGCAATTCGCCAAGGCCGAGACTTATGAAGAGGAGATCGTAGACTCTGAAGCCGATGAGAATGGTCACTCTTCATCCTCTAAGCAGACCCCTACGGTTCTATTGATCTCTCTCCGCGCTGGTGGTGTCGGCCTCAACCTCACGGTGGCAAGCAATGTCTTTCTCATGGATCCTTGGTGGAGCTTTGCGGTGGAGGCCCAAGCGATTGATCGTGTCCATCGTATGGGTCAAACACGCGATGTCTCGGTCACGCGATTCGTCATCAAAGACTCCATTGAGGGTCGGATGCTGCGCGTCCAAGAACGCAAAATGAACATTGCCGGCTCCCTTGGGCTACGTGTTGGTGGTGATGAAGCTGACGATGGCAAGAAGGAACGGATTACGGAGTTGAAGATGTTGTTCGAGTAGCGTGGCATGTAATGTTTTGCTTGAGTCTTTTCATATGTATAGTCCATGTATAGTAAGAATAATCCCACGGCCCTCGGAGACACAGTCTATGCATTAACATATTGTCCCATCGAGGCCATTGGACTACATCCTTCTTGGAGAAGAAGAAAGCGAAGGAAGCTCCATTAGATAGTGAGGTATTGGTGCTGTCTAGGAGGGTCCAATACCCATGCCATTATGTATAGATATACAGTATATACAGGATAATGTCTGCTGGGTGGGGCCTTCTTAACTGGGCCGCCGTCGCTTTTATGAGGGCGCTCAGGCTCAGGCTCACTGAGTAAACGTGAGCACAGGTCCAGACTCAGTGACCACACTCAGTGAGCCCTTGCTCAGTGATTCCTTAGTAATGCTCAGTGAGTATCACTCATTTGTTTAACTTAACCTAGGTAGATCAAACCCGAAAGAGAAAGACCCCACAGGGCCCGGCATCAGCAATGGTGGAGAAGTAGCATTCAACAACGCGAGGTTTCAAAACCGCAGCCATCGCCGAGACTAATCCAGCGGCAAAGATATTTGTCAAGCCATTGTATTTGGCTTGATAAGAATGTCAGAAAATGTCTCTTACGCAGTAAATAGGGAGTCAAATACCTGTGTACTAGAGACTGGAATTCGGCAAAAGAGTATTTGGTCTCTGGATCGATGTCAACCTCGTACACCTTTATGTAGCAGTTTTGAGGCCCTAACACTACTAGTAGTCTAGTATTTACTACTATATGTAGTAGTAGTAAAGCTTCAAAGCTCCGAGGATATATCCTCCTGCCTGTTCCGTACACTACATTAATACAGAGTCAGAAGAGTAATGTAATCTTTTCAAGATTATTTAAAGCTCCGAATCGCTCGGCGCATTGTTACATCAATACATTCAAATCTAGGCAGACTCAGCAGTGAAAGTATAGGTGGATCTCATAAAATGCAGGTCATTGGTGGCAAAATTGAAAACCGTGAATCGATATCTAGCCTGTAAAGGAAACGAGTGCGAGACTTGGATATAGTAACAAGCTCGCACCAAAATTTGGGATATTCAAGCTGACAGGATCGCACAACTGACCAGCAAGGATCTATAGCGAATTGATTTCGGGACCAGGAGATGCGTTTGCGTGAAACTGCCCATTTGCGTTCTTGACTAACTTCTGGGCATTGCAACGCTGAAATTTACGGGCTACCCGACGCGATGCCAAGGCCTGGCCAAGCCTGGTTCCGGGCGGATCTACTCCTTAGATTCCGCCCCTCTCGGGATTCCTTTGTCTTTGGTCTGGGGGAAGGCAAACATGCAGGGTCCTCGACCCTGAGGCACACTTGAGCCGCCAAGGCGCGAGCTTATGCAGCCTAGAGTTGAGCGTCTCACTACCGTTGGCTCACATCGTGCAACGCATAGCCCCTTTTTTGCATCTTGACTCTTGACTACCAAATTGATAGCCACCCCCGCAGGCTTTTTGCGAAAAGGGAACCTCAGACTTGTTTTCACTCCACTCCCCCAACCGCTCTTGAAAATCCGACCTGCCCTCAACATGCACTGTTCTCGGGTGAGCTGGCTGCTCGCTTTATTCATGGGAACCATAACCAATGCTTCTGACATACTAGAAGTGGATCTCGTCTTGCCACGCAACGAAACATATGCGCCCACGAAATGGTTCCCTGTTGATTTTGCTTTTCATAATCCAGAGCGCGCCAGATACCTGAATCCAGCACTTGGCTATACGATATGAAATTTGGATGATACGAACAACTCACGTACTTTTTTACATGATCTAAGATGGACTGACTGGACCGGGCAAGACCCCTTCTACGCATATCAGTACTTTGGTTTCCTCGAGGACGAAGGACGGTGGAGGGTGAGATGGATCCTAGACTGGCAACGTTGCGACGAGAATACCTTCGGAGGCAATCCTATCGATGCTAAGATAATAAGTAACTCTTCTACTTGGTCTACCTGGTTCACTCTTCAAAGTTCGGCTCCCAAAGTGGGTCTCGTTGCTGCAACAGCCAACAAAACGTGCCCTGGGGAATACGGTATAACAATCAATGTGACGGACAAAACCATGCAAGTCCCGAGAGGGGTGACTTGGTCTGGTGGTGATTACACTAATCATACCTGCGCGGTCGTGGCGTCCTCCGTCCCAACTCCCACTTCGGATCCTTGCAAAGTCCATATTGACAAGACAATTGTCGCAAGTATGGAAGCCTCTTTGCATACCCAACTATGCAATGGTTTGAATCCACCATCCGATTGCGCGGACGAGAAGGACAATGCTGTGCAGCAATTAGCTGTCTGCGGCATATCATGTTTGCTTGCTGCGGCCGGGGCTTTGGGTTTCTTTGTTGTGTGATTTTGCTCATATGATGTGTCTCTGGTGCTCAATTTGATTCTCTGTTCCTACATCTCATTACGTATAATACTATTTTTTATTTTGTACCTCATATACCCTGTTAGAAACGGTTGCGTGCAAACCGCGAATCTTGGATTGCTCCATAAAAGCTTTACATCGATGTCGCCTCAATGGTTGAGAGCAGAATTTAAAGAGAAAACAGAAAGGTTGCCAATTGTTTGGACCAGCTGAAGATGGAAACCGACAGCCGAGCAGCAAACAGCAGATTTTGGATAGGGTGTTCTCACGGCTGGTGGTGGCTAACAGCACTCCAATCAAGAAGAAAGGGACTGCTTCAATTTTTGCGCATGCTTTGTTATATCTTTAGAGAAAAGGGGTTACGGGCAGTAAAATCTGCTTAGTACTAGGCTATCTCTCGGAACTTTGATTCTTATTATCTCAAGATTCCATCTCTCCTTATGCTATTCAAGGTTCAGTCACTCTTGGCCAGCTTAATCATTCGGACCAGCAAAGCTGCCCTATTTCCCGGCTGGCTTCTTCAAGGTATCTTCTACGCTCACAACGCTAAGATAAAGCGGCAGATTTACCGTTGCATCAAATACGCCTGCACCCAGGATCATCAAATGATCGGGATACTTCTCAAAGACATGTAAACTCCGGCTGTATGCCGGTGCCTGAGGTGTGTCATGCAATTCCCACTGATCAGGCTGGCCACCGGCTTGATTGGTGAAAACACCACTGTGATCAGCGTCGCTAACGAGGATAGTTCCATTATCACCGCCGGATGGCGACCAAACCACATAAGGAGATGCGTTGGGCTGGACTCGATCAACCATGATGGGGATACCATAGGCAAAGCGGAAATCAAACGGACTGTCGGCCATTCGGTAGTAGACCGGGTAGCCCACCCCAGACCAGCTGTCTCCTCCTGGGAACTCGTGCACCAAAATCCACTTCTCCAGAGGAGGGATATAGGAGATGGTGGTCATTCCAGGACGAGCAGTATAGTTGAGATAGGCCACGTCGTCTATCACTGGTCCCCAGGATTTCAAGTCCGCCGATTCCTGGTGAGCAAGCTTCTGACCGTGCAGGGGGTCACGCTGATCGGAGTAGAACACGCCGATAGTGTGGTTGAAAAATCTAGAATTCCCGCGTTCAGTGCCCGGAACAAAAATTAACACGGGCAGAGTACAACTCACTCAATGAATGGCTCCCAAATGCATGGATTTCCATTGGTAGTATCCGGCCCACTGCCTCTCGCCACGTTACTGACGAACTTCCATGTATGACCCTTATCTTTACTAGCATAGATATCAATGTTCGTGCTCTTGCTTCCCCAGCTGTTTCCACTGGCCAAAACCGTGCCGGCAGGAAAATCGCCAACAGCAAATGGTAACTCTGCCAGCGCAGGCTGGGCTGACATTCCCAATCCATTCACCTGGTCAGTCAGGTTGGAGATCCAGGACCAGGTAGCACCACCATCTGCACTTTGGAATATGGGGAAGTATGGAGTTATATCGCCCGCAAACGAAGCTGTCGCAAGGAGACTTCCATCCGATAGTTCGACTTGCCGGGGATAGAGAACAGAGTTCTTGGAGTCAGGTTGGTAGATGACATTCTCTGCAAAAGTGGACCACGGCCGTGGTGGCGGTGTTGGTAGTTTTTGTGGAGGAGGGGGAGGTGGTGGTGGTGGGTTCAAGGGAGGCCTGACCGATTCCACACAACTGAGGCCGGCCAGACCGAGGAGCAAAAGCTTGGTGAGCATATTTCCAAATCGGGTATATCAATGAGAAAGCTCCTAGACTGCAGCTATCCCAATTGGGCTCTTTCCTCTTGGGCTTCAAGCATCTCGTACAAATCTTCGCCGTAGTATTTATATTGTTTTTGATATATGTGCGGGGACTCCAGGTTCTCTTCCAGTTCAAATCAGGGAAATATCCGTGTTGAGAAGGTTCAACGTCGTTGAAGCCCTGATCCTTCGCTGCACAAACGTTTAGCCGTTAGTTCTAAGACAAGCATTGTAACCTTGAGATTCAGGCTAAAGGCGAGCATGCATAACTTATGATCGGAATGGACGATCTTTCCATTTAGATATACTTCTATTAGCCTAATAGAATCGATTGACTTTTCATGGTTCAGTAATCTCCGTAGTTTAGGCGGGGTACAAGCTGGGGTACAGTGTCGTCGGCACCTCTAGATGCCGCTCATTGCTTACTGCTTACCTGTAAAGATCACTTGCTGGCCCGGGCTTTTCAATTTAGCACCAGTTTGAGACAAGATTTGAACGATCTTCTAAAAGCTTTCGGACAATCTCTGCCACCTTGAATCATGTTTCGGTTTGAAAAAACGGAGAAGTAACTACCGTGAAAATACCCGCAGACGCGCCGGTTCCTAAGGGTCCAATTGCCGCCAGGGTTGTCAGATTTTGCGGGGAAGCTTTTCTAGGGTCTTCTTCGGCAAATAGTCATGTCAATCACTGCCTGTAGTGCATGTTATCCTAGGCGCTCACCTTGTTCTTTTCTTGCTTCTCCGTCGTGAGTGCTTTGACCAGGGTGCCATCCTCCCTTAGCGATATTCCCCGCTTTCCAATTCGAGTTGAAATTTGTACTACGGGTTTGTTACTAAGTTCTGCAATAAAACAAGAATCTAGAAGCTTCCATCAAGCACTTTAATATTTATTCTTCGACAATTGGAATCTGTACGGGTTTGTTATGCGCTGGCATTGGTGTTACGTCAACGTATAGTCCGGGCCTGTCACCGGAGTATGTGGGGAAGACAACCGATGGCCCGTTCTAAATGAATTGTTACCTGCCCCTCGTTCCACACCGGAGATCTTCAAGACGAGCCAAGAAGAAGCATCCCGGGCCTCGAGTCGGAGTATATCCGACTAATTATGAAATCCGTAATTTAGCCTAGGGATCGATGATGAAACTCTTTAAGCAGGGATTTCAACATGCAGCAGCACATATCTAAGTATCCAGCAATCACTTAGACTTGTTCATCATAGCCCTGGAGAGTGAGTTATTATCCTATAAATTTTTCCTGGGTAAAGACTACGAGTTCCCTGTGTTTTTGGGCGCAGAAATTGGAAGGGAATCATCATGGCACCATCTCAGCCCTTTCGCGCTGGTGCAACAGTACTGCTATCTCTCATAGCAGTACACACCGGCGTCCACGCAGCATCTGTCTGCAATGGTGACAATTCAGCGTCGAAGGCAGCCTACGATGCCTCAAAAAGCTACGTTGGGTGTTACTTAGATCCCAAAGTGAGCATTTTGACGGCAGCGAAACTTAGCACCATTGGTATGACGCCTCAGTACTGTGCCAACTGGTGCGGTCAACGAGGTTTTGCTTATGGTGGCATCGAGTTTGGAACGTAAGCGAACTGTCTTTTAATCGATTGAACCGTTGATGCTCAAGCTGACCCCTAAATAGGCAATGTTTCTGTGGGAGTGAGCCCGATTTCAGCCTCGCGACCAAGACAGATGACAGCAGCTGCAACTCGAAATGCGCAACTGAACCATCCAGCTCATGTGGAGGAGGCTATGTGTAAGTCAAATGCAAGACTTAAAAGAGAACAAGGTGCTAACATCGTGGAACTGTATTTAGTATGTCTTTGTATAAGATCTCGAATCCACAAGGGGGCGGAGTGAACACTAAATTCGTGCCAGCGTGCCAAACACAGCCCCTCTGCAGTCACGCTATCTGTGATACTTCATTGAGTATTGCAGAGAGAGTCAATTCGCTTGTCAAATCCCTGACCCTGGAGGAAAAGATCCTCAATCTTGTGGATGCTTCAGCCGGATCTGCCCGCCTCGGCTTGCCTTCCTACGAGTGGTGGAGTGAGGCAACGCATGGTGTTGGCTCTGCACCGGGTGTGCAATTCACTTCCAAACCAGCCAATTTCAGCTATGCCACAAGCTTCCCTGCACCGATCCTTATAGCGGCTTCCTTCGATGACGCTTTGATTCGGAAAATCGCTGAAGTAATTGGCAAAGAAGGACGAGCATTTGGCAACAATGGATTTTCGGGATTCGATTTCTGGGCCCCGAATATCAATGGTTTCAGGGATCCTCGATGGGGAAGAGGGCAAGAGACGCCCGGCGAGGATGCTTTTGTCGCACAGAATTATATTCGCAATTTTGTTCCGGGACTTCAGGGTGATGACCCGAAGAACAAGCAGGTCATTGCAACATGCAAGCATTACGCGGTCTACGACTTGGAGACGGGCAGATATGGTAATAACTACAACCCTACCCAGCAGGATCTGAGTGATTACTTCCTGGCTCCGTTCAAGACTTGCGTGCGTGACACGGATGTGGGAAGCATCATGTGTTCGTACAATTCGGTTTCCGGCATTCCAGCCTGTGCGAATGAATACCTTCTTGATGAGGTACTCAGAAAGCACTGGAATTTCAATGCAGACTATCACTACGTGGTGTCTGACTGCGGCGCAGTCACAGATATCTGGCAATACCACAACTTTACCGACACCGAAGAAGCAGCAGCCTCCGTTGCTCTCAATGCCGGTGTTGATTTGGAATGTGGTTCCTCATACCTGAAGCTGAACGAATCTCTCGCAGCAAACCAGACCTCAGTCAAAGTCATGGACCAGTCCTTGGCAAGACTATTTTCCGCATTGTTTACGGTCGGCTTCTTCGATGGCGGAAAGTATGACCATCTCGATTTCTCGGACGTATCTACCCCTGCGGCTGAGGCTCTCGCGTATGAGGCTGCAGTCGAAGGTATGACACTTCTCAAAAATGACGACCTTCTTCCTTTGGACTCTCCGCATAAATTCAAGAGTGTCGCCGTGATTGGACCATTTGCAAATGCGACGACTCAAATGCAAGGCGATTACTCTGGGGATGCACCATACTTGATCAGCCCATTGGAAGCATTTGAGAGTGACCTAAGGTGGAAAGTGAATTATGCCATGGGTACAGCAATCAATAATCAGAATACTACTGGATTTGAAGTAGCTCTAGCAGCCGCAAAGAAGTCTGATTTGATTGTTTATCTTGGTGGCATCGACAACTCCCTCGAGTCCGAAACGCTTGATCGGACTTCACTCGCTTGGCCTGGAAACCAACTCGATCTCATCAAGAGCTTGTCCAAGCTCTCGAAGCCAATGGTAGTTGTCCAATTCGGAGGCGGCCAGGTTGATGACAGCGCCATTTTGAAGAACAAAGATATCCAAGCTCTGGTTTGGGCGGGATATCCCAGTCAAAGCGGAGGCACTGCTCTTATTGATGTCCTTGTGGGCAAACGATCACCTGCTGGCAGACTACCAGTCACGCAGTATCCCGCCAGCTATGCCGACCAAGTAAATATCTTCGACATCAACCTTCGCCCTAAAGATTCATATCCCGGACGAACATACAAATGGTACACCGGAAAGCCGGTGATCCCATTCGGCTACGGTCTTCACTACACAAAATTCAAGTTTGACTGGGAAGAGACTTTAAACCGGGAATACAACATTCAGGACCTTGTTGCCTCATGCCAAAGAAATTCTGGCGGTTCGATCAACGACAACACAATCTTTACCACTGTCAAGGCACGAGTCAAAAATGTGGGCCATAAAACTTCTGACTACGTTAGCTTGCTGTTCCTTTCCAGCAAGGATGCAGGCCCGGCTCCACGACCAAACAAGTCCCTTTTGTCATACGTGCGTCTCCACAATATTGCTCACGGAAGCGATCAAGTGGCAGAGTTGCCTCTCACTCTCGGCTCACTGGCACGAGCTGATGAGAATGGAAGTCTCGTTATTTTCCCAGGGCATTACAAGATTGCATTGGACAACTCCGAGGACTTGACTTTCGAGTTTACATTGAAGGGTAGCCCAGCGGTTATTGAGACGCTCCCTACGCCTGATGCACAGTATAACTTTACTGTGCCCGTTCATATTCAGCCAGCGTCCATTGAAGCGCATAGTTAGGTTTTGTGAAATGTACTCTTCTTGGCCCGGGGCTTTAATGCCTGAAATTGTCAAAGTTCAAATTTTTGAAGTAGACATGTCTGCTAAAGAGTTGGTGCCTTTAGGCCCTACTACAGAATACAAGTCTTCTGTTTCTTCTATTGAGAAAATTACACCTGTAGATGGACCGTGACCGGCTGGCTTTAACAGAAATAATAGTTAAAATGGTTCAATTCCATTGAGTAACTAGTGCCTCTCCAGTGTATCGGATGGTCCAGACTATCTGAAGCCTACCTTACTACTGAAAAGTGCTTGGGTCGTCCTCAATAGTCTAACTAGACCATCGTGGCGCCAAGGTGTGAGAAAAAATAAAGGTATCAATTCTATCGATTCTAACATTTACTCGACACTTAGACCCTCAAAATGAACTTGCATGCCCTCCGTCTGCCCAACAGCGTAGACGCCAATAATCGGGCCAGTAAAATCAGGATCGGTCATATCCAAAGTATCAACCGTTCCAAGGCACGTCCAGTTATTTCTAACGTGAGGTTGGAATGAATAAAGCAGGGAATACTGCTTCTCTGTGTACTCTATCCGGAAAAGCAGCGAGCGAGGGACTTCCTCGAGAGTATGTTTCTCAGTTCGAACGATCTTCTGGCCAGCATTGACCAGTTCAAGAACCACCGCTTGCTGAAAAGGGTCGTAGTATATTCTTGAGAAGCGGTGCTCTTCCTTGTAACAGGCGAGACCAGCCTGGATCTTTGCAGAGCTCCAGGAATCCTCGATTCCTTCGAGGACCACAGAGCTACTGCCGGATAATTTCCGTTGCCGCTTGCCAATAAAAG